ATCTCGGCATCGGCAGGGTTGACGTTCTCCTCAATGAACTTCTGGATAGTCTTCTGCAGCTGCTTGGCAGGGAACTCGGCCTTGCGGGCGCGAGCACGGTCAACCACGTACTCCAGCTGGCCATCAAGCTTCTGGGGCATACGGGAGTGCAGGGCGGAAGACTGGGCGTTCCACTCTCCATAAGGAAGATCAGGGTTGCGAAGGACGTCGACCAACTCCTTAAGGGTGGAGTTCATGATGACCGAGTTGTCGTAACCCTTCAAGATGTTCTCGAGGATGCTGTGCAGCAAGAAGAAACGCTGAGGGGGCTTGTTACCGACAACCTGGGGAGGGCCGAGATCAGGCAGCTGGCCAGTGAAAGGCTGAGCGTGCTTGACGCGGGACGGGTCATCGAGGGCGAGGATACCCAGGATGTCACCAGCCTCCAGAGTGGCTCCGGGCTGCTTGATCAGCTGGACGATGCCGTCCTCCTGGGCGATGAGGGGCATGTACATCTTCATGACCTCAACTTCAGCGAAAGGTTGGCCTGCCCGAACGTGCTCGCCGTTCTCGACGGTAAACTTGACGAGCTTACCGGGAGAGGGGGTGCGGAGCTGAGTGGGATCGTTCTCCTGCTCGAGCAAGCAGGTCTTTCCGTCCACGCTAAGACGGGTGGCGGCGGGCTCCTCCTTCCAGTAGACGTTGTGACTGCGTCCGTTCAGGAGAACCAACAGACCGCCATCGGCCAGCGCACGAACACCGACGGAGCACTTGGAGCCGTTGATGAAGAGGTGATAGCTGTCGACACCGGCGCGGGTGGCGGTGAACTTATACCGCATACCCTCGTAGATGAAGTCCACGGGGAAAACGGTCTTCAGGACGTCCTTGGAAGGCACCTGACCCTTCTCCAAGCCCTTGCGGTACTCCTCCACACCAGCCTCGCTGGCCTGGTGGGCCTTGGTCACGGCACCACACAGAACGGCCACGATGGGGTCCGGACGCTCCGCAGTCAGCTTGTTGGAGATCAGCTGGTCAAGCCATCCGGTGGTGATGGTGTTGTCCTCGAATGCGGGAGTCTCCAGCAGCTTGATCAGGTATTCGACGGTCGTACGGAAATCACCACGGATGCTCAGTTCCTTCAAGGCGATAACCATGTGCTTCCGCGATGCCTGACGGTTCTCACCGTAGGCGAAGATGTGACCAAACTGACTGTCCGAGAAGCTGTGGATACCACCGGAGGTACCGACGGAGAAGTAACCCCAGACGTTGGACGAACTGCGGAAGTTCAGCTCGTGCATGGTACCGCTGGAAGGCTTGAAACCCTCGCCAGGGTCCTCGGAGGTGATACGACAAGCAGTGGTGTGGCCCTTGGGCTGGGGACGACGCTGAGTCTTGAAGCTCTCCTCGCTGGAGAAGTCAAAGTCAATCTCGCCGGAGGTGTTGGGGTCGACGCCGTAGAGCAGACGGATATCACGGATGCGGTGGAGGGGGATACCCATGGCAATCTGCAGCTGGGCGGCGGGCAGGTTGACACCGGAGACCATCTCAGTGGTCGGGTGCTCGACTTGGAGACGGGGGTTCAGCTCCAAGAAGTAGAACTTGTCGTCGGCGTGAGAGTACAAGTACTCAACAGTACCAGCGGACACGTAACCGACCAGGCGACCCAGGCTGACGGCAGCGCGCTCCATGGCCTGGAAGGTGATGGGCTTGGCGATGGTGACGGGGGCCTCTTCGATAATCTTCTGGTGACGACGCTGGACGGAACAGTCACGACCGAAGAGGGAGATGTTGTTGCCATACTGATCAGCCAGCAGCTGGACTTCCAAGTGACGGGCATTACCGGCGAGCTTCATGATGAAGATCGGGGAACCGGGGATCTCGTTGGCGGCAGCATTGTACAGGCTGACGAAATCGTCCTCGCTCTCCACCTTACGGATACCCTTACCACCTCCACCTTCAGAGGCCTTGATCATGACGGGGAAGCCGATTTCCTTGGCCTTTTCCAGACCCTCTTCCGGCGAGAACGTGCAACCCTGCTTGTAGACCTCATCGTCGACGGTCACGATACCCTGGTCGTCGACTCTGACTTCGTCGACCCCGGTTCCAGACCATGGGATACAGGGGACACCTGCATGCTGTGCGACGATGGTCGAGGAGATCTTGTCACCCAGCGAGCGCATGGCCGAGGCGGGGGGACCAATGAAGATGATCTTCTTGGGGGAGGCGGCGAGGGATTCGGGAAGACGGGGGTTCTCGGAGGCGTGACCCCAACCGGCCCAGACGGCGTGCACGTCCATGCGCTCGGCCACATCGACAATTAAGTCGACGTTGGCATAGTTGTTGTTATTCGTACCACCGGGAACCTGATGTGGTCGAGAGCTGTGAGTGACATGCGCGTGGTAAGCCCGTCGAACTGTCCGGGAGCACATACCTCGACGTATTGGTCCGCCATGCGGATGTAATCTGCGTTTGCTCGCAGATCTTCGGGCGTGGCCATGACTGTGAACTGAATGGCCCGCTCGTTGCCGAACGTCTCGTAGGCCCATTTGCGAACGGAACGGATCTCCTTGACGGCAGCGATACCGTTGTTGGCAATCAGAACCTGACCGTGGCTCGCTGGTTAGTGACAAGAATCCCCAACCTCTCATCTCTCCGCACTTCTTCCGGGACAACTCACCGAGCTGATGACGGAGTGACCCTCATGCTTGGCCACGAAATCCCTGACCGCACTGGGAGGAGCAGCGTCGAGGTGGTTACCACCAATGAAATGTGAGGGAATGTTGGCGGCTTTGGAGCCAGCCTGGCCGTTGACGGCACCGTTGGGGGCGCTCATGATGCAAGAGTTGGGAGGATTAGGTATTATAGAAATCCCATGCAATGGAATGCAAACAAATCACTCAAAAGAGAGGGAAATTAAAGGTCGCGGGAGAAGCGTATGAGGCGGAAAGAGGAGGATGCAGGCGAGATCGGTAGAGACAGGGCGCAACGAATTGACCGGCCTGGGAGGAGAGATGGCGATGGAAGGGAGGCGCGACTGGCGGAGATTGTGAAGAACGCCCTCACCGTTCTTAAAAGTGGAGAATTGGCGGGAGTGAAGAAGGGGAGGAGAGGGAGATTATTTGCAATGTTCTGAGGCTGAGACAAGGTGAGCAAAACCAAGTCAGCTGTCAGCAAGCAGTAAGAAGAAGAATTGAAAGGAGGGAAAGAATGCGCGATGCGCTAGGGAGGGGGAGAAAAGTAGATTGGAGGCAAAATAAAAAAAAAAAAAAAATAGAGGGCGAGTAGCGTAGCAGCTGGAGGGGAGGGAATGGATTGGATGGGGAAAGAAGTGGGAGGACTGAGGGAGGAAAGTCTGGGTCCGGAACGGAACTTACTGTAACTAAACACACCTGCGAGAGAGGATGTACAGTATGTACTGTAGTAGTTGGGAGAGAGGAAAGGGAGGGAGGAAGGGAGAGGGTGAGGGGAGGATATAGATAGATGGAGAAGAGGCCGGACCGGCTTTCAATTGGGAATTACAGAGGAGAAAGAAGTGGAGGAAGAAGAAGAAGAAGAAGAAGAAAGAGGAAGGAGAGGACGAGGAGAAGAATGGGGATGCGAAGAATAAATTTAATTGCCAGAAGGAGTCGACAGAGTTGAGGCAGAGTGAGTTGTACTGACTGGAAGTATACGATTGTATACGATTGTATACAGTTACTCCCCGAAGTTGATCATCATGAATAAGAAGTTGGGTATTGTGTACTGTACGGAGTGGTATTGGTAATTACCGCGGAAGGGCGGGCAGTACCAGTCTTGGTGGATTGGGATCGGGAAAACTAGAAGCACTACTCGAATAGCGGTGCGGCCTGGCTTGGGAGGTGGGATCCATCCAGGTTGTGGTTGTTGGGCCCATGACGTCCCCGCCCTCCCTTTTCCTTTTCCCACCACTTTTTTCTGTCGACTGGCTTGGCTTGAGTGCCAATTGCCCATTGCCAACAAAACCCAGCATTTGTCGAGTCAACAACTTTTTTTTTTGTCCTGCCGACCTCGACAGCCAATCCCCGCCCGGAATTTCTCATGTAAGGCACTCGGTACTAGGTAACTACAACTTCATCCACCACCACCACCACCACCACTCTAATGCCTGTATCTTCCAATGCCTTCCATTCCGTCGATCATGAACAATGTCTGTATTGATTGTAGTCTGTATTACCTCCCGGTAATCTACTCTTCCTTGACGGACGGTCTGTGTGTTGCGGTGTTGCGGGACAAATTCCCCGACAGTCCGGAGTTACAGATCGCGCCCACTTCCATTTCTGAACCATCTTTTCCTACTCAGTCTGAACGCGACCGAGAAACCGACCGGACCATGGCATTTTATATCATTCTTTCTCTCGAATCCAGCTGACTTCCTTTTTCTTTTCCGTGCACGGAGGATTGTTTTGCTGTTTTGGAATTGTTATAGTTCGGACTGAGGAATTACTCCGACCCTCGGAGCAGGTATACAGTACAGTACCTGAAGTACTGAGTAGGTAGGGGTAGGAGTTCGGCAGATCCAAGCTTAGTGCTTAGTCTGGGTACTATAGTACGTATCCATGTAATAATTCTATTCTGGAGTAGGAATAGCCAGATCCGAATCCTGGGTCAGCCTTCATGAATCAATGAGACGGTAGGCCGTGCAAACGACACATCCCCAAACTGCATTGATTTATTATCATCATTCAGAAGCGGTGGTACCTGAGCACTGTAGCCGGTCAACAAGAGAGCCCGACTTTCATCTTGATGTTTCCAGTTTCTCCACAGAAACTCCCGAACGGGGCCATCCCTGCTTCTAACCTGTTTGGGAGTCTGTTGACGCCCCACCCGTCAGCGCCAATGGGATCGGCAGCAGTTGTCATCGCGTTGGGGATCGTGGGAAGTCACGGGACTGCCTTCTCACCAAATTCATCTTGGCTCTTCTATGCAGTCGAATCTGAGGAATCGTGAGTACTGAGGATTGTATGCGTATGCCCTCACAGCAACATATCCACTAGAAACCCCATGCAAACCTAGATTCTTGGATCTGCAACTATTCCCGCGACTCAATAAGCCCAGCACATCAGCCCAGTCCCTCCCACAGGCAACAATAATATCCATACCAACAAACAACCGGCACGTCAAAAGCTGAAACTCCCCAAGCGAAAAAGGAGAAGCGAAAAATTCCCACGCGACGATCTCCTTCCGCCCAGGCGTTTAGCAACCCCAACCCTCGTGGATCCTGGCCGAGACCGACCGTCCCCGGCGGGGCCCGCGCGCCCAATCCCTCGGAGACATGGATGATGGAACCCAAGTGAAGGAAGACCCGTTTGCCGGTATTATTGAAGAACCGGAAATGCTGGAAATCTCTCTCTCCCTCAAGAGCCACCAAATATCCCAGTTCAACTCGACTAAACCAAACATGAACCACAAGTTCTAGACGTGGGGCTGGAATTTGCTGGCTGGGCTGTGATCGCGCATGGTGATTGGCACAAGACCAAGAACCACCGTTCTGTGAAGAACACCTGCACAGGGCTACACGGCCCAAGCCTAACTTACCTTGTAGGTCAACGGATATCGTCATAATATTGAACTGGATGGAACTGAAGGTAAGGTTCTCTGGGTCACACAGCAATCTGATAGGTTCGATGTCCGCCGCTTGAGGGTACCCGATCGAGATGATGGCATCGAAAAACAATGGATGCTTGCCGTTTGGCACAAAAACAATTGCAGTTCCCATAGTTCCAGGTTCGTGGGCAAACTTGCCTCCAAGTTCTCGGAGTCCGAATCCGGACCTCATCGGAGACCCAGAAGGAGCCAGACCCCCGTCACTCAGCACTGGCAACACCGAATCTCCCGTCAGATGACGGAGGTCGGGGAGATGGACCATTGGCTGAAGATTCCTTCAATCCTTCAGGTGAGTAGTTCGTAGGTACTCCGTACTGTAGTACTGTAGTTACAGTACGGAGTACATACAGAGTAGGTCAGTAGCCTTCACCTTATTAGGTACTCCGTGGTCTGGGCAAGACCAGAGGCTCCTCAAATAAGGCTAATCCAGATTCGATCCACGGCCGTGGCCCGTCGGTTCTGTTGCCCGGACCAGCACGAGGACTCACCAGCGCCGCACGAACTTACTTCTAATCCAACCGTCGGCTGATATACTTGGTGGGCTCTGTAGCTGTAGCTGAAGCCGTAGCTGTCGAGAATGGGAACTCGATTGGCAAAAGACGTTAATGTATGTGTTGTCGCACGACATCATGAACCTATGCGGGCGATCCTTAGCATTGAACTCAATATTCGGTGGTGGTGTAACAAGAAGCTGCGGTCATACCTGAGTGACATTGTTTAGGTAGAATCGCCGAGCTTGAGCTATCCCCTCTGCCAATTAAAAAGCAGATGCGGCGAATAAGAGGCAAGACACGAGGTGCGGATCTTAAGAATAGTGGAGCAGAAACACCTTTCAGAGCTGGGGATTGTTGGTTGGTGAAGGATGAGCCCACCCGGCGAAAATATATATGTACTGTACTGGATCCGAGGACACGCATTGACACGACACCCTTCTTCTTCTGTCCTTTTCATTTGTTAATTCGACAATTGCCTGCTAACAGTGGCCATTTGGAAAGGCCTCTTGATTTGTTGGAACCGTGTTTGAGAAACCTCATGGCTTGACTGACCGATTTAAAAGGGAAAGTGGAAGGCTACGCATCATGTGATTAGATCACCAGAAACGCGACACATTCACTCTCGCAGGAACTTCCCCGCATGATGAGGAGAATGAGGTGACGCAGACCTGAACCCAGCTGACCACTCTATTTTACCAACAAGCAGACCAACGGCTGGTCTCAATACCGAGCACTACAGAATCAAATCTATCCGTCACTGGGTATTATTCTCTAACGCCAAAAGGCAATTTACTCAATACACAGGGAGACAGATAGCAGACAGTCAAAGAAACAAAGAGTGCTGAGTGACAGCTTGGACGCCGTGAGACAGAGTTCAGCCTTCTGCTCCGACAACAATCCTCAATCCATCCATCCGTCCGTCAATGCGCCAGTCTAATCAAGTCACATTGCCCACCAACAGCTGTACAGGCCGGGTCTCTGTGTCCCCGCAATCGAATACAGGGCATCGCCACGGCAGTTGCATTGTAATAAGCCTGAATCATAGATCTATGAACCGGCCCAAGCAATGTCTTCCAGAAGAAGATGTTCTCGAGAAACACACACACACAATATCTCAACTCAAAAAACGTCACTTGCCAAGGGGGTAGTCGCACGGAAAGCGAGGAAGAGCACAAGAGGGTAGTAGAGGAAAAAAAAGTACAAACGAGGGAAAGAATGTTCTCAACTGGGAATAAGTGGAAGGGGATCAACACCTGCGTAGCGGCCGTGAACTTCGTAAAGCCCCTCTGGAATTGTCAATCGGGGTTAAGGAAAAAAGGGTATTGCAAGAATAGAATAAGAAATTGATCAAAAGCCTAGAAGGTCTCGCCAAGATCACCAATATTGGTCTTCGGCTCATATCCGGTGCTAGTGCGGAAGCTCCGTGGTGGCGCCGGGATCCCGCTAGGCGTGCGTTTCTTGACCGTCTTCACTGAGCTGGTAGGGGTGTGGACGGGTGTAGAGAATGACGGAAAGCGTGCCTCCCGAGCCTCGCTAATCTTGGCTCGCACTGACATTCGGAACGCCAAGTCCTCATCTTCGTCAATGTTGGACATGCCGCTCGCATGGCCGTTCTGTACGGACGGGTTGCTGAGTGAGGACCGTGGGCGCCGACTTTCTGTAGTGGGATTGGTCGAATAGTGTCCCAGTGGCGTTTTGGTACGACTCTGTCGGCTTTCAGGACGTGCCGAATGCGTAGAAGGCGCAACGCTGGGATGGGTGCTCTGGCTGAAGGAGCTGGAATAGCTGGTCCGGCTGCTAGGCCGACTGTCGCCCTGAGTTCGAGCGCCGAACGAAGGTCGGGTGTTGTAAGATGAGGCCGTGTCGCCTTCACGCACAGACGAGCTGAAGCTGCTGCCGCTGATTCGTTTACGCGCCGAATTCTGGCGCATAGTGATCGTCGAAGAGACTGGGCTGTCACCGACAATAGATCCAGACCGCGACGAGATACGCGAGGGCGAATCAGAGGGGGCCGGGAGTTTGGACTTGGCAGAGTGAACACGCTCTTCCAACTGCTGCATCTTGCCGATCAGACCGCGGATCTGATAAAGGGATCCCGACTTGGGCAGTGTGGTGGACCGATCGTTGTTGATGCTGGCGGACGAGGTGGGGTCATTGGTGCTAATGCCGCCTGGCTGGAACGCGCTCGCAAATGGCAGGGTCGTTGTATTGGAACGACCGGTGTTGGAGGTGAAAGTGGAACCCCGAGACTTCTTTGGGGTCTTCTTCGAGTCATACATCGACCGGGAGCCCAGCTGAGCGCCGCCACCAGCCTTCTTGAACGGGAATCCGGGAGTGGCGCTGGCAGTCTTGCGCATGCTAGTCGGGACACTGATCGACGCCTCAGACATGGGTGGCGAGGGAGGAGTGGCGGTCACAGTCATGAGAGCATTCTTGATCGGTGGTGTCTGGAACATAGGAGTAGACACAGTTGAAGTGCTGAGAGTACGGTCGAAGATCTCGGGTGTCTGAGGTGTTGATGGAGTGCGGTAGATCAAGGACGCAGGCTTTCTGCGGCGGCCACCATTCTGTTCGTGTCGAAGCTTCTCCGAGAGAATCTCGGCCTCGACTCTCTGCTCCGACAGTTCATCACGGAGACGTTGATTCTCAATCCGCAGACTCTCACGCTCCATTTCGCCATTCTTGACCTCTTCCTCGAGCAGGACACTGCGCTCGATCGCCATGTTGTACTTCTGCTCCAGATCCTCCAGGGATGAAGTGGTGTGGCGGGCCTGACGTTCATAATCATCGTTCGCGACTTCGATGTCGCGCAGTTTCAGTTGTAGGGTGCGGTTGCCATCGCGCAACTTGGTAATCTCTTTCTGCAGCGTATTCTGAGCCGCGCTGGCCTCCGACTTGGCCTGCTTGTATCTGGACTGCAAGGGGTGAAAGGTTAGTGCCGATGTTCACCCATCACCAAGCTGGCCCACGAGGGAGCGCCAGAAAGGTAAGAAGAGAGGGAAGCAATCAGAACTCTAAAGGTGCTCACCTTCCAGTCGTCGATCTCGTATCTCAAGTTTTCCAGCCGTTCCTTCAGCTGCCGTTCCCGCTTCTCCGACGCCTCGATATCCTTTTCCAACTCGGCCTCCAGTTCGCGGCTGGAAGCCTGGAATTCCGACAGCTCCGCCTCAAGCTGTTCATATTGCGCTTTGTAGTACGCGAGCTGGTCCGACCTCGAGCTAGTGCCGTTGGGCCGGGTGGCCGAAGAATCGTCGACGGATGGCATGGTTCCCGCACCAGCAGCTGAGGCCGGCGTAGGAGACGCACGTTCCAGGAGACCACGTCAAAATGAGACCCAGATCTGCAGGGGGGGGGTTCACTCAACGGAGGGTTGTTGAGTGATTAGAGAGATGGAAATAAAAGGCGAAACTTGAGAGCATGCAACGGGAGAGTGAAGGAACCACCGTGCGTGAACTGGTGGTGCTGGTGGAGGGGCCGGGCGGTGTCGCAGGCACTCGGGGGGGGAGATTGCGACGGTGTGGGAGGCGACGGAGGGATGGAAGGGTCAAAAGGAGACGGCCCAGAAGCGAGCTGAGAGTGTCGAGATTTGAGACCAGCGCTGGCCTTGAATGAATTGACTTACCTTGGGGGACTACCCTCACAGAGGGAAGAATGGGAAGGGGAGGGGGGAGGGGGGGGGGAAAAGAAGAAAGTGGGGTTAAGAAGAAGGAGAAGAAGGATGTTTTCAGAGCAGATAGTTGGGTTGATGAGTGATGCTATCCAGAGCCAAAGCCGGGACGGGCGCCAGATTGAATTGATGATTCCGTCCACGGGACAACAACAACTAACCTTCTTGAACCACCCAAGCAGTAACTTATCGGTAGTGACGGGTAACTTACGGGGCGGTGTCGCCAACTAAACCGGGTCTGGACTAGTTCCGGTGACGTCGTGGCCTGAGGTGAGTATATCTGGGTTGTTTGGTTTGTTTTGGTGTCGCTTGGCTTATTATGATTGTTGTTTTTATTTACATTCTAATCTATGTGCCTGGCTGAAGACTGACAAGATGCATATTGATGATTCCTAGGTCATAATCCTGCTTCATTGCATGAATCCTAAAGATGTTATCATGTTTCTATAAGAATACTGACAATGCCGCTTGCGGAGGAGTTCTCGATCAGAAGACGCGCGCGCCTTTGATCATGTGAAAGTCATCAGACTTTGACAATGTCACAGCTTTTGTATCTAGCAAAAGACCACCCGATGCTAAAAATGCTAGAAATACCATCCACGTGTGGAATCATGTCGCGACTGCCACTCAGTCACTTCGTTGATCCATGGCAGCCTAGCCCGCACCACTAGACTTTCCGTGCCCGGGCACCGGTACCAGTCAACCCTGTCTCGATTCGGTTATCGTGCCCACTGGACATAGCAGCCACAACCAGATGGGGCACCGAAACTGGTGCCTGGGGTATAGGTCGCACAGCTACGCGGGCACTAGGCATCCTGCCGTCTTTCCGATATGTGGCCAGGTAGAACAACACGAACAAAACCAGGTACGAGCTGATCACAACATCGCCGGTGGCCGTGGCCAATACGCTGCCCACACATGAGCCATACTGAGGAAAATATACAAAGAAAGAGCCGTAGGAGATAAAGCCTGCGGGGTCATGCTGGTCAGTACTATTGTCCTACTTGAACGGCGTAGAAGGGTACAGGACGAACCCAGCGCAATCACAAATTGGAGGATTTGGCCCCGAGTGATCCATGCTTTCCACCAAATGGGAATCCCTCGCGCGGCCTGAAAGTAGTACCAGTACATGATGACATGGACAGCCAGGTTCAGTGTGATCACAACCCAAGAGATCGCCGTAGTCCCAACCAACTGAGTGTAGCATAGGAAGACGGTTGCGCCGTGATGGTAGCAATGCAGGAACGCTGAGTAAGGCCAGGTCAGAGAGGACGTCTGGTTATGTGGAGTAGACGGCTATGCTCACTGAGAGGCTTCTTCCTCAGAAACAAGTAGACCGTGTCCAGGAGCTCGAAGTACTTCGTTAGGTAATTCAACTGTCGACGCATTAGCACACCGGGAAAGATGACGAACTGGGTCGCGCATACATAATATAGTACAACCATGGGCTGGGTCCAGCCACCCTCGAGATCACAGATGGCGCAGCGCAAGCCATTCCTCGCGATAGTCGGTACTATCTGTTCCAGGAAAAGTGCCAGAAGAATGGCACTGATGATGCTGAGAAAGAGGTTGTGCAAAAGAAAAAGCCTCCTCAATTGCAGTGGTTTTCGATTGCTCATAAAACTTCGTCCTCCCAGGACCACCGCATAATATAGGACAAGAATGGTTGAGGTTTCCTTCAGCGTAGAAAGAGGTGTCTTGCCTTCGATAAATCGGAAACTGTTGGCTGGATACCCCACAACAGCCTCGAAGGCTCTGTTGAACATGGGCCACAAATCAAAGCCATAAGGGCGTTCAAGCGAAGGAATGGGCAAGGTATGAATGGAGAAGGTCGAGTCCATTCCTGCTGCTATCCTACTACCGGAGATTCGCCTCAACTCTGGCCGGGAGGGGGAAGGGCATGAAAGTTCTGATAAGGAGATGCGACTAATATAAAGAAAAGAACGGGATTTCCTGAGAGAAATATAAGCGAGCAACCTTTTTGAGAGATGATCAGGACATGGATGCTGGCTGGACTGTTGTGCGACGAGCAAATAATCCGATGGGGCGTGTAGTTGTTGTGATTCGAGGTTCATGTGACTTTGATGCCTTCCTAATTGAGGACCTTCTTTCTTGCTCTTGTCCAGAATCGAGCTTCAAAGAACCTTTTTAGTGGCTGACAGCGTCGGAGGGTACTCTGGAGAAGCCATGGTTTGTGTTCTGCTTTGAATTCGAAGGTCGTTCAATGATAGCAGCTTCCAACATCGGAGACGATATTCTGCATCCCTGCAGTACTCTATTCACCGACGAGACAGCTGAATTCTGGCGAAGTTCTGGCCCATACTTGATTTTGACAAACAGTTTTCACTGGACAGAGAGTGCTATTGCTGATTTGACCGATTACTTCAATGAGAGATACTTGCGAGGTAAGAGTTGGTACACTGGTTGTCGAAAAACTTGCTCTACGCGTCTTTTGAAGGGAAGAATCATAACACTGACTTGATTTCTGCAGACGACTTAGCATATCATACTGAGTATTGCGATTATCCAACAGTTAACCTTTTTCATCAAGTCACCCTCTCACACCGCGGCCATTTCCTCATTCCCACAGCTGGCACCCTCGCTCTCCTATCTCTCTTATCGCCATCCACTGTATCTGCTCTGCTACGATTTAGGACTTGCCCAAGTCGATCTGAGCTCAAAATGTCGCTTACTGTGGCCGAGGCAAAACGCCGCTGGCAGAACGCAGAAAAAGGTCCACTTCTTCCCCTATCGCCACTACTCGAATACTAACTCCACGAGGTAGAGATCCATCGGACATTCAACGCAGAAGATACGGATGAGTACGATCTACAAGAGACTGCGGTACTGCTAGAAGTGGTACGGCCCCTGGAGCCGGTGAACGCCCATGTCGTGACGACCCAGAAGGAAGATTGGCAAGACTACGTGGCGGACGACTACAACCAATGCTTTGCGGACGCTTCTGTATTGTATCGCCGGGGCGTGGAAGTTGAACCTTGCGCTCAATGCTCGGTCTCAGCCACATTTCGCCGCTGTGTTATCGCGCCACCATATCGAGGACGTGCATTGTTTGCTGCTGCCTGTGCTAATTGTATCATAGACGGCATAGGCGAACATTGCTGTCACTACAAGGCGTTCAAAGCTCAAAATGGCATAGAGTGGGGCGCACCTGTCTCAGAGTGAGTATCTGTCCTAAGTGTAAGAGTGCCGACTGACATACTCCAGGGAAATTCGGGGGTTTGGCGGCCTGCGTGAAGCAATCCAAGCTACGGGATACGACGGTCTTTGGTTTGCTCACGGAGATGCTGGAGCAACAAACCTTCCACTAGCTAATCCATCTCTACAATGCGGCCAAGATCGTGTCGTGCCAGATGAGGCGCAGAGTACCATGGCTACCGTGTCCTCAAATAGCCAATCTGCACCATGGGCTGTTGCTAGCGAGCAATGGAATGATCTATCTGCGCTAAAGAACATCCGCACTGACTTGAAGCAACATGTTCGGGTCGTCAAGGATCGAATTCGACAACTCAGATCCCTCCAAGCATCAAAGCGCACAGACATTCCCAATCTCCAGCCAGGGGCCATTGAGACGACTTGTGCGGTGGAGCAAAAGGCGCGAGGACGTTGATGTACTGAAATGAACTTTTGTGGTGTCATTCTATACCTCCTGTTTACGTGGTTAAAAGACTTGGGATCCATGAACGGGGTCGATTGCTTATTGGCGAGATGTTACACCGATACTCTTGTAGGTTAACGACAGTGAGATGAAGACAGTAGATACCTGGAGGAGTTTAATCGACAGGGAGTCGCTCAGTGCTGAGCCGTAGTTCGTTTGTGTTTGTATTTGTTGTGTTGTGGAGATAAGTCAGCGGTGAGTGAGCGGACCACGTGATCGGACGTGGACACACACACAGACACAGTCCACACCTTCCCTTCCCCGGGTTCTGTTCACTCAGTCAGTGTCTCTTTATATGGAGCCAGCCGTGCTCCTAACAGGCTAACAAGGCTGCTGAATGTGCTGATACCTCCGACCCAGAAAGCCTAATTCATTCCCCCAATCTCGAAAACCTCCAAAACTTGTTTTCGGCACAAGGGATAGTTTCCCACGTGCGACCCCAGATTCCAGTACGTTCCCGTCGCGGCACCCCCCTTCTTTGCCTGTTTTGTGTTGCCTTGCGTGTTCTAGGTGGGTGAAGTAGTGTGCGGTGAATGTCGGGGGAGATCCCGCCCGAACATGAATCTCCCCCCTTGATAATCCACCCCTGGATACGCTATATCCACGCACAAAACACCCTCGGCTGCTCATCATCGTGGGGACATTCCTTCCACGCACTCGCTTCGGTCGAGGAAGCGCAATACTTCAATTGTTCTCATGTTCCCCGACATCCCTTCACTGCTTCTATGAGGCCATAGCCATATGAATGCTTTGGATAGGAATAGGACTGATGGGCGATGCCAGACATCCACCACCACCACCACCACCTCACCGGTCACCATGGCAGATCCCACTGATCTGAACCTGGATGCGCCGAGCGATCTTCAAGATATCCCGGAGATGTCCATGCAATTGCTCCCGCCTCCGGAAGGGACGTATCCCGACAAGTAAGTACTCACCCTTTCACCCCTCTGCTCTTTCTGCTTTCTGCCTTTCCCAGCCCACCGCAATCGCTCACATTGGTGCAACCCGCCTTCACCAGAGCGACGTTACTGGCAGCCGTGTCGGCCCACGGCAAAGCACATGGGTACAACATCGTAGTCAAATCATCGAGCACGCCCACGGAGAAGAAACCGGGGCGGACTGCCAAGGTCTGGCTGCGGTGTGATCGCGGCGGCCATTACCGTCCGCGCAATGGTCTCACGGAGGAGACCAGGAAGCGCCGGCGGACGTCGCGGCTGATGGACTGCCCGTTTATGCTAGTTGCAGCTGGCACGCCTGGCATCTGGACGTTGACGGTGCTGAACCCCACGCACAACCACGGCCCGATTGTCGAGAAACCCCGACAGCTCCCTCACCACAAGGTCCGCAAGGGTCAGATCGCGGCGGTGCCGTACGATTGGCCGCACGATGCCACCTTGACCCCCTATACCACGGCGTTAGTAATCATCGACATGCAAAAGGACTGTGCGTATATTCTCTGGTCTGCGAGTGGGGCTTTTCGGAACTAATCTCCCTGTCACGCAGTCTGTTCGCCGGGTGGATACATGGAGTACCAGGGCTATGACATCTCCGCGAATCAGGCGCTGATTCCGAAACTCCAGCATCTGCTGAATGCGTTCCGGGCGGCGGGGTTTCCCATCTACCACACCCGAGAAGGTGCGTACTGCCAAACGACCGCCCACCCCATCCCTGTCAATCATCCCGGTCCACTGACTTTCTAATCAGGCCATCGCCCTGATCTGTCGACGCTCTCCAGCAGAGAGACCTACCGGTCTCGGAATAATGCCTCCGGACTGGGGATCGGCTCGCCGGGTCCGCTGGGCCGGCTCCTGATCCGCGGCGAGGTCGGCCACGACACGGTGGACGAATTGTATCCGATCCCGGGGGAGCCTGTGATCGACAAGCCCGGGAAGGGAGCGTTCGCGCATACGGATTTCGAGCTCATTCTTCGGAACCGCGGGATCAAGAACCTGGTGATCGCGGGGGTGACGACCGACGTGTGCGTGGCCACCACCATGCGCGAGGCCAACGACCGCGGCTTCGACTGTGTGGTTCTCGAGGACGGCACGGCGGCCAGCGAGCCGTCGCTGCATGTGAGCACGATCGAGTCGGTGAAGATGGAGGGGGGGATCTTCGGGGCCGTCACCAAGCTGGAGGATGTGGTGCATGCGGTGGAGAACTTCAAGGCTGTGACTGTGAAGAAGCTGGCTCCACAGATGGCCGTTTAGGTTTCCGTTGTGCTCATGTTCTGGATTTCATCTGGTGGGGGTTTTTTTTCTTTTAGCCGAGTTCGGATTTAGAGGAGTTGTTTGGGTATTTAGGATGATTGATAGCAATAACGACGAATACGACCATGATTTATGATGCCATCGGTGGTCAATGACGAAGTCACCGGTTCAGGGAGATTAATGAAAAGTTATATATCTACATGGCAAATAAGCCCTGGTATCATCAGAAGCAGAAAAACCACAAAACCTAACGCCAACACCAACCAACACATCTAATCCCTCCACCACTATCACTCTCAAACCAACCCCCGGCGGCCCCCCTGAACAACCGCGAACAGATTACAACCACTTCCGCCCCGCCGCCGTAACCCTGGACCGAAACACAGCACTCCGGATCTCCATCCCCTGCCGATAGAACGGATTCATGACCGTCTTGACGTAGTTCTCATAGACCTCGGCCATGAACTGGCGCACGGCCTCCTCGGTCTGGGGGCTGGTGGGGTTGGCGGCGATGGAGCTGGCCGAGGCGCGCGCCGCCGACGAGCCCGCCGCGAACGAGCCGCCCAGGATCGACGAGCTGCCCCCGATGCCACCACCACCACCACCACCACCGCCGGCGTTCGCATTCGGGCCCGCGGCGTGGGGCGGCTGGTGCAGCAGCAGGAAGCGGGCGCCGGATGGGGTGAGGAAGGCGGAGATGTAGGCTGAGGCCGGCGGGTAGGTGTCGATGTGTTTGAGGTACCTTGTCCAGAACATGACTAGTCAGTAATTGGGGGGGATGCGAGAGGGAGGAGGGTGAGAGTTAGGTAGGGATTGGGGCTGGGGCAAGGGCTGGGGTAAGGCGACAGGCTCACATATTCCCGTTCATCCACTGCGCCTCCTCGACCATATCCAAGCTCGAGTGGATGATGAACTGGTTCATGTACTGGGCGGTGTCCGGGAAGCGGAAGCGGGCGATGCCATCGCCGCCGGATTTGGAGGTGCCGAAGGCGATGTTGAAGAGGGGGACGTCGGTGGGCGAGAGGATGGTGAAGTAGTAGGACATTGTGATTCTTGCAGCCAGGAATTGTGGATGTTGTTGATTTCCGGGGAAGACACCGCAGCCGCAGTAGTAGCAGCAGCAGCACCACCACCCGGAACAGCAAGCGGAGGAGAGGAAGAGGTCACGTGGCGATAAGATAGAATCTCCGCTCGAGACCGTGGACCCACGTGACTCGCATCATCGCATCGATTCTCAATGATCATCATCAACTGCCTCCTCTCCTCGACACAACCCACGCACAACACAATGCCACCCTTCGGCATCAATCTCGCCAACAAATCCACCGCCGGCGGCGGCCTCCGCCCCCCACCAGGCAACCCACCGGCCAACAAACGCAAGAAAACCATCTTCGACGACTCGGACGACGACGACGAGGACACCACCGCCCCGGCGAACAAGAAACCCAGCGCCATTGAAATCACGACCCTGGGCGGCCTCGACGACCCGCCCCCATCGCAACCCACCGACGCAGACCCGCGCGCCCCCAAACGCAAACCCCAACCCACGGACCCCAAACCGCCAACAACCCTCAAACCGCTCTCCAAAACCTCCATCTTCGCCAACGACTCCGACTCCGACACCGACACCGCCACCCCCCAAACCACCTACGGCCTCACCCCCAAACCCACCTCCAAACCACCCAAAGACCAAAAACAATACACCAACCTCTCCGCCCAGCACAGCAGCCGCCAACACCAAACGCACGCCGCATCCGTCGACCCAAGCATCTACTCCTACGACAGCATCTACGACACCCTGCACGCCAAACCACCCACCCGTCCAGGAAAACACCCCGATGATGATGGTGCAGTCGGAACCGTCCCCAAATACATGACGGCCCTCCTCCGCAGCGCCGAGATCCGCAAGCGGGACCAGCTGCGCGCGCGGGACCGGCAGCTCGCCAAGGAGCGCGAGGCCGAGGGGGATGAGTTCGCCGACAAGGAGAAGTTCGTGACGGCCGCGTACAAGGCGCAGCAGGCGGAGATGCGGCGGATCGAGGCGGAGGAGGCCGCGCGCGAGGCGCGCGAGGAGGCGGACCGCCGCGCGAACGGCGGGAAGGGCATGGTGGGGTTCTATCGCGAGATGCTGGCGCGCGGGGAGGAGCAGCATGCTGCGGTTGTGAGGGCGGCGGAGGCCGCGGCGAAGAATGTTACCGGGGGGGAGGAGGGGGTGGAGGGGGATGCTGCTGCTGCTGCTGCTGCTGTAGGGGAGGAGAAGGACAAGGACAAGTCGGAGGCGCAGGTGGCGGCTGAGCTGAATGCCCGCGGCGCGCACATTGCCGTCAACGATGACGGGCAGGTCGTGGATAAGAGGCAGCTGTTGTCGGCGGGGTTGAATGTCGCGCCGAAGCCGAAGGTGGCGCCGCAGGGGGATCGGAAGGCTGGGGAGAGAGTGGCTGGCGCGTCGACGGCGAGGCTCGGCGCGAATCGCGGCGCGGATCGCGGCGGCCAGCGCGCCAGGCAGACGGAGATGATCGCCTCGCAGTTGGAGGAGCGGGCGCGGCAGGAAGAGGAAGCCGAGGCGGCGCGCCAGAAGGAGATCGCCGAACGCAGTCGGAGCCTGAAGACCCAGGGCGATGTCTCGAGTGCCAGGGAGAGATATCTGGCCCGGAAGAAGGAGCGCGAGGCCGCGGCTGCCAAGGGGAAAGCCTCTTAGTACATTGGTCCTGTACTATATACCTCAAGAGCTGTGATATGTGGCTAGGGGCTAGTGCTAGTGGCACCTGTAAACTGTACGATAACATGAAGACGAACTGCGATTCTCCCGGTAACGCTATATATATATGTGTTCCCCAAGTAATCAGATACAACCCAGAAACAATCAATCGACCCCCGATATCGTCACGTCATTTCATAACTTCACAAAAAGAGTCACTCCGCTTGAACCATGCTATCTCATGAGTCATTCTGTCTAGTAACAACTGGAAAAGAAGGATGCAAGTTATATTTTTTCACCCCGTATCATACCCGAGAATCAACGCCAACCAACGATGCACGAAAGATCATGCCGTGAGCGCAAAGCTGAGACCCATCAGGACCATACCCCCAATCGCAAACCCCGTGCACATGCCCCGATGATGGGTCAAAGTCAACCCCTCACTGAACAGCTGCAGCGCCACCGAGGTCATGACGCCCGCGGTGGCGGCGAACATGCCCCCGTACACGCCCCACGACGGACCGGCCGTCCCATCGTCCCCGTTGGCGCGCCGGGCGCCCCAGATCCAGAGGGCGGCGAGGCCCGCGCCCGCCGGCTGACTGATGCCGCCCAGCAGACTGGACCAGAACATGGCCCAGCCGCGCGAGTGCAGGGCCAGGTAGAGGGGCAGGGCCATGGCGAAGCCCTCGCTGATGTTGTGGATGAAGAGCGCCAGGAAGACGGTCAGTCCTAGAGTCGGGCTCGCGTGGTTGGTCGCATACGTGATGAAGCCCTCAGGCAGCTTGTGCAGGGCGATGGCGACGGACGTCTGGAGCCCGATGGACAAGAATGCGTTCTGCGGGACGTGGTGGTGATGTTGCGGCGTCTCGGTCGCGGAGACGACCGGAGGCTTGTGCGGGGAGTCTTCCGACGGCTCGCACTGATCGTCCAACAGGCCCGTGTGCGACGAGGAGGAGCTGGTTTCATGGTGATGATGGTGATGATGGTGGTGGTGGTGGTGCGACTCGTGCACGCGAGGTAGACCCGATTCGAGATCGTTGGGCTGGGTTGCATCTCCGTGGACGGTGATGCTGCGGGGGGGTTGGAGGGATGGACGAACCAGGTCACTGCCTACATCCGAGATTGAGGGGGTCTGCAAGAGGGTCTTGGTACATTCATGGCCACACGCCTGCGAAAATCCGAAACAAGGTCCGTTCTCGTCGCACTGAGCTTTGACGCCCACCATTCGGCTGAAGCGCCGCGTCAGACGATCCCGCAATGATTCCCGCCGTTGGAGAGGCACTTGGGTGCGAGAGTTCGCCTCGGGGAGGGTCATGGTCGCCGGGGAGGATTTGAAGGACCGTGACAGAAGGGGGGTGCGCTCGTTCCACGTATTCGACTCATCATGATGGTGCCCGTTGGGCTCATGGTGGTGATCGTGTTTCGGATGCGGTTCGTGGGAATGAGCGCAATCGACGACATGAGAGGGGATATACCGGTGCAGCAAGGCGGATGCGAAGCGAATGACGACGACACCGGCGAGGAAGAGTCCAATGAGCACATACGCCGAGCTGGAGGGAGACCAGCCAGCGCGAATGAGGTAATTATGAGACGTAGGAAGCATGCTATAGAGAGACGTGAAAAGCTATGACCATTAGTCGACGCCTGTGAGGAAAAGGGGCGAGGGCGGCAATACCATGACACCTGCACTCAGACAGAGCGATGCTGACAAGAATGCATTGTTGTGGACTATTTGAAAGTCCTTTCGTCGTGTTAACTGCCGCAATACTATATCGATGCAGATGACGGACGACCCCAGGACGCAGGCTAAAGGCAATCAGCTTGGAAGGCAAATTTCGGAGATAGGTTTGGAGATTAAACTTACCCGCACCAGAGACGGCACTCATGACCCAGCCCCGGAGGTCATTGCTGGCAGCCATGATGGGGGGGGGGGTGGGAAAAGGACTGATGGGGAGGGAAGGATAGGGAAGGGAAGGGAGATCGACAGACAGATGGGGACAGAAGTGGAGGAGCTTGGAAGAGATGAGGAGATCCCAGAATAGGGACCCGGGGGGAAAATTGGTAAACCAAAGGAAATGAATGGGGGGGTTTGGATTGCGGAGGGCGGAGGGCGGAATGGAATGGCTAAATAATGCATGATATCATGTCACGCGGTCGACCGATTAGATAAGGGTCTGGGGACCTTGGAAGCCCTACTTTGACATCCCCCTTGCAATGCATGGCATTCAGAATAAAAATAGGATACAGAAAATTTTCTGATCTCCTGGGAGTATCTTGCTCAGTAACACAACAGCAATTATCTATGTTGGATTCCAGCTGGCGCAATGTGACATTGGTTTCCATACCTAAATACATTGACACCCGGTTCTTTGTGCATTCAATGTCATCTGTAGGTCAATTGGTTGTTCTTGCAGAGGTATTATGTCTCTACTACACTAGGATCATCTACAGTCAACCAAGAAAGAATATTTACTTGTTGAAGACTTAGCATGCTTATTATTATAGTATAATTAATCCCCCTTAGAATACCTTATAAACTTACATTATACAACAAATACAAATATAAATGTGCTTGCTTCAGCACAATTATTATGATAATTGAACGATGGGTGACTTAGGAATAGGGAATTGTAGATATTAGTGAGAGAATAATACATCCCTGAATACTGATCCAAGGATGAATAGAGACAAGGATAAGTATAAGCCTGAGAAGATGGTACCTGCCATGTCTATGGTTCTGAGGACGGACCAGTGGTAAGTTATCACTTAGTCTGCTAGTCCGAGCTGTGGTAATCTTGCGGTTGCCTGTGGCGTTTAGGAGAAGGAACGGCCTAGAAAGGTACAAGAAATTGTTTATAACTCCACAGTGGGAAAGTTAGCAATGCTTGTGCTTAATGAAGGAGCTCTTAGCAGAAAAGACCCTTATAAAGCTGATATCTTCAAGTCAGAGAGCCGTGCACAATGGTAAAGAGGAGATAGTATTGAAAATTGGTAATTCTTGATACAGTGCTGCCAACTCCCAAAAAATGCAAGATGATATTAACAAAACGTTATGGTATCCTCATATCCACCAACTTGGTGTCTCTAGTCTACAAACAGCCCAGGAGAACCAATTCTAATCATCCAAGCCCTCCCATTGTCTACTGCTCTGCTAGGTACTTGTAGTTCTGCCATGCAAGGCCATTGTGTTGCCTGCCTGCCCAGCCTCCCGCGGCTGCTCCACTTAGCCCGTTCAACCTGTTGCTGGCCTGCAACTCTTTACTGTAAGATCCTGATATAACAATTCAATCTGTGGAGCCACTGTTTGTTGTTATAGCAAATTATTGCTTCAATTATTACAGCGCATTTTGACCAACATATAAATTTTACATGTACAATATCATGTGAGGCATTGTACTTTTGCCTGTATTTGAAGTAATCTCTGTATAGTTATCTACTTTATGCGGTATTAAAATCCCCTTCTAATAGTTATTATACGGGAAGAGAGCTATACCTGCCGATAATTGTAGTAGAGAGATATAGCAATATTTCTATAGTAAAATCAAAGAGAAGGGTGTAACATATTGGCATAGTGTGGAAATCGGCCAAGCGGGGATTGCTACAACAAGGTCTTGTAGCATTTGCTCAGCGTCCGGTTTCACCTTGCCATCACTTCCTCAGCCACAAAGCTGCTATAAGGCTGATGGGAGATCTCACCCGTGTTTCACTGGTAGGGCTGGTCCCAAGTTACCATGGTGGTATTTATTCGCTCTCCTTTTCTTTTTCTTCAGTTACGCAACGGTACGAGTACGAGTACGAAAGTGGGTCGGGACTGGACCACCCCAATAGAAACAGTATGATCGCTGCCATAGATACGCAATGGCATACCCATGCATTTCAGATGATCTCAAGCTCTAGAAATAATGCATTGAGAATCATTCCTATTGTAACGCCTCCAAAACATAGGTTTCATAAGTTCATAACGGAAAGGAAGCATCAAGCTAAAACAGATTGTTGTCGCCGTAAAACAAATCAGCAAAAATCCCCAGAACCATCCACGAACCCTCAAACATCACGATGACGACCCTCCGCGGTTCAGATGCATGTAGCCGTTCCCAGGCGTGGCAGCGCCAGCACTAGGTGGCACCAACAACAGCGCCCCAGGGTGCTCGCTCGCCTTGTGGACGCGCTTCTTCTCTAGCCACATAATCACCCCGGCGCCAGCGGCAACCAAACACGCCACAGCCACGAAGAGGCCCGTCGTCCAGCTGGGCCGATGGAACCGGTCCATCGCCCACATGCACACGGCCAGACAGACCTGAAAGACGGAGTTGAGGAAATTGCCCCAGACGACCGCATCCATTTTCCACAGCGAGGTGGGGGTTCGCGGAGCCCCGGTTGCGGTCGTTACTGCTGTTGCTGCTGCTGTTGCTGGAGCCGCCCTCCCCGCAATTGCCTTCTCCTCGTCCTCATCCTCCACAGAACCGGAGAAGCAGAACCACTTGGAATGGACCTCCGCCAACCGGACCAGTCCTTCATGACGAGTGCGCGGCGAGCGACCGAGCCGCCAGAGACACCACAGGTACAGATCCCGAAGCCGCCAGGGCGCCAGGCCAAAACCCGTGACGCAGAATAGGGCGTTGAGGATCTGCGAATCGATCTCGATCCAGACGCGGCGCGCCGAGTCCGGGTCGTCGCAGCTGGGGTGGCACATCGCCGGCGCCGCATTGCACAGCAGCAGGAAGAGCATCCCGCCCCAGGCGACCACGTTCAGACCGTAGATGGTGATGCAGAAGCCCAGCGGGGTGACGGCCCAGCGCAGGAAGGCTTGGATGGCGTGGATCCATGTGGTCTCGTTTGGTGGATGTGTTCTGTCGTCATTGTTGTCGACTTTGAGGGAGGTGGTCATTTGTTCTTCCACTCTCTTTCTGGTAGCCAAATCGGGGTGATAGTTCGTAAGGGCGAAGTACGAGGGAGGTATGACGATAAGATAAATGGTCAAGGAGGAGAGGAGAAGTCGGGTAGACGAAACAAGGGACCACTGACTTAATAATAATCAGTCTCTGAGCATGAGAGAAGAGGCGGATTTAAATACGCAACACGTGGACTGGGGTCTGTACTAGGCGCAGTCAGCCAAGAAAGTATTAATGTATGTGTACTTTGCCCCCTCCTATCATCCATAATAGGCAATAAATTGGGGATCTGAGCCAAGGATGCCTGGCGGGGACGGACGCTGCGCCGGGAGTACCTTATTCTACTAAGTACAACCGAGTGGCGATCAGATTCATGACTGGGACTGAGGTTCTACCCTGGGCACCTATATTTAGGTGATTGAACGTTCCTCTGCTCGTTTGGTAACCTTTCTTTCGTTTTTGTTTTTACCATACCATGACGAATATCCCTCCCTGAACGACACGTGTTTGACGCACTGATGGAAACGTTTTTTCCCGAAAGACAGTCGTCACTCTTACTCGGGAACCCTAATGTCCGACTAAGTTGGGCCCAGGAATATTACAAGTCGACTGCTCTAGTCAAGCCATGGTTTGACCAAACTGATATGAGCCTAATCTAGGCAAACATAGTTGAAGTTGAAACTGGGGCTTCCGAGAGTAGTAGAATCCGGCTAACTGTTTCGAGTAATCGGTACGAGACCCAGCACAAAAATGCTCACTCGGATATCAGACACAACCCTATCCAAAGGCACCCCCCAAAATTTCTTTTCACAAAAAATGACAAAGCAGAAGCGCTACAACAAAATGTACAATAACCAAGAGAATCCGAATAATGAATGTGGGCGTTAAAACAACAAACCGAGCCCCAAGAATGTGACCATCGAAAACACGAACGGCCGCTTCACCAATCACATCCGCGGATCCAGCATCTCGATCTGGTCCGACTCCATCTTGCCGTACGGTTGGCGCTTGGAGAGGATCCGACTCGGATGCATGATGTTGAACAGAAGACACACCAGCAACATCAGCACCGCGTCGAAGATGTAAAGGTAGATCTCATGCTGCTGCAGCACGCCCGAGGTCCCTTGCACATATTCTACCACGCGGTAAATCGATCGGACCATGATTAGGATGCTGGCGGCATATAGGACGCGCATGTAGGTGTACCAGGGGGGATTGCTGATGGAGAGGGAGGTCGGGGTCGGGGAGGCGGTCATGCGGCGATGGAAAACCATGGAGACGAGAATGAAGAAGCCAAAGAACGCCAGCTGGACGATGAGACCGATCACAATCAGCCGGTTGCCCAGGGACACACTGCTGGCCGAGTTCGCGCTGGCCATCATGCCGCCACCTCCGCTCTGGATGAAGAAAGAGAGCACGTCTCCCGTCACGAAGATCTTGGTCAACCAGTTCGGCCGGATAAGCGAGCGCGAGTCCCCGTGGACCAGGCGGATTATGCGTCCCAGCAGCATGTAGATGGAGGCGGAGAAGAGGGAGGGGGCGAGGAGGAGCAGCAGCTCTTGTCCGACATATGGCATCACCGTCCAATTCGGGGTCTGTTTGGCACTGTACCATCGCGCGACATAGCCAAATGCTTCGACTAGAAAGAAAGCGAAAGAGTCCAGCGTGTTAGCCAAAGCCCGGCGATGGTGCTGGCAGAGAAAGTGACCAGCAGAACTCACAGAAGCCACCGATGATAAAGGGTGTGAAGTACCAGGTCCGCCTGCGGACCATCTGGAATAGATGTAGCACAGAGGTTGCGGCAAACACTCCCGCAAAGACGATGGCAGCCCCCACGGAAGGATTGTATTCATAGAGCTTGTAGCTACTCGACATAATGAGTGAGGAAAGGTGGTGTAGTGAAGGAATGTCAAATGCACGGAAGGAGCCCAGCAGGATATGTACTGTACTGCACCCGATTCAGTTGGGACTACATGGGAATGCTGGAGAGACCTCCTTGTAATAGCTGGCGATCTTGATGAGCTATATTTTAAGATGTGATAGTGCAGGCGTCTCAGGGCTAGCAAACATCCATTCTGGGGCAAGGGTACGAATACGAGTGGATCTTGTCTAGATCGGGTACCAAGACGAGCAATTGAACTCCACTGTAACAACGTTACAAATCCATCTACTATGATATGTAACTCAAATAAGATGGAGACTTACTTGATCACCATCCATGCATTCTTCCCTGGACTCTAAGCGGGCAAAGGATTACCGGCGGTGATGATCAGTGATTATCCAGCCCTAGGACGGATAGTGAACGTTTTGCGGGGTACATGCCATCCTAAAGGTTTGTTGAGTGGCAACTCCCAGCAACCTTTACCTAGCATGGGCTGATTTCCATCGCTAGCAATCCCTTTAATTCTTGAGACGTCAGATCCGCACCGCTTTCCACTCCCTGTTTCACCGAACCAGTTCTGTTGCAATGCCTTTTACCTGAGAGCATGTTGCCCTTTTCCCCTGTAATTCTCTTCTCTTCGGCTCAAAGCCCTCGCAGGGTTATGCAATTAGGTTTGGCTTCATGGATATCGGCCAGCACAATGATCAGGATTTGAATGTCGCATCATCGGCGGATAACAACTTGAAAGCGCGCAACTACCGCTCAGGGAGATGTTAGCGCAGCATGAGGTTGGAGCAAGAAAGAGATAAAATGGGACCTCAATCAAAGAGGAGAAACTCATGGCTTCATGCATTGGGAGACTGCTGAAATGAAATTGTGACTGAGTTCGAAGCTTCTCATCTCGAAATGCTGTCACAGCATGTGTGGCAACGACTGCTAGAATGGATGTAACAGAACTGCAGACAGAGAGACAACCTCTGAAAGCCCAGCCAAGGCTGTCTTACCACAAACAGAGTCGAAACAAGGGTTCTGATCAAGACTTCTTCGATCGCGGGGTGGTGCTTGACTAGACAAGAAGCTATTTATAGTGCCCATCATTTAGCCAGGTAAGACATCTTAATATTGTCAGTCTCTGGACCACGTCTTTAACCCCTTCCAGAACAGTCTAAAGAGGTGTACAGGTGACCTCTGCCTTCGATCAAGTTCGAGTAGTTTGACGCCGATTTGCCCATCCTCATCAGGGGTTCTATGCTTTCGAAGGCCACAAGTTAGCATAATTCCGTGAAACCAGCTTCGCGCGTGACACCCCGAATGAACTCAGGGCAATGGGAAAGGACAGCTCACTACCGCAAGGATCATACAGCGAGAAAGCATTTATCAGCAGACGCAGGCTCAGAAACCCCGATCTCAGGCTCATCTACTTGAGATGGCATAGCCATGGGCTATGACGAAGGCATTGATGTTTGACAGGTACATCATTGTACACGTTTTGGTAAGCAAGCTGATACCCACATGTGTAGCGGCTCAGTGGGGGCTTATCGGTATGAGGGATATGATTGACTTTTGGATTTATCCTCCGATTTGTTCTCCAAGTTGATGGTGGTGAACAGAGCGCACTCAACTGGAGGGTGACCAGAGCTTATATCAACCCCAGCGAACAGGGGATTTTCGGAGTCATCTAGCACCAAATGACCACACATGAGTCGGAGTATTATCGCGCTCTCAGCTGCGAAGAGGTACAAGAGTGGTACAAATGCCAGAGTTTTTGCGACATTGCAATCAACCTTGCCGATTCTAGAAGTGATATAAAGACGACAAGCCGATAAACAAGTAGCAGGATAAGCACATCGACGTCAAGGAAACTTGAAAGTACACCTTGAGGCGTCACAATCAAGATGGGGAAGTTGTACAGTGGAGGTCAACGAGGGAGGGAGAGCAAACGGACACTGGCCGAGTGACGTATTACAGGTCCGTCACATGATTGAGGCTTTGAGGTAAACAGTAACAGGAACTCCCCAACTTCGCCCTAGAGGTGCTACACAAGCACTTCCTGTCAGCAGAGCTGGAGCTGGGATCACTGTACGCCTCATCTTGTTGTTCACGTTTATAAAGCACCTCCCATTTCTCCAATCGAGCAGAAGAAAGGATCATCGACATCCACTCTTCTTCCCTTGAGAACTACCGTGGTTCGATTGAGGTACGCCCACAAAACAACCAAGCAAGCAAGAAATCCACTTGAAAAACCTGCAATCATGCTTCCATCTACCCTCCATGTCAGAAGCCTTCTAATACTCCTTCTCATCTCCATAAGCTCCGCCATGTCTCTCACCCGCTATTCCAAACCCGTTCCCTCTGGGGCTATAGTGGCAGAGACCCGCGAGCAGCTCAACCAGATCACCTTCGAGAATCAATACACGCTTCTGCACGAAGAAGACGGCGGCTACATGCTGAAGCATACCGAAGACGGGACTGTGGTGGCAGTAGCTGGCGACGCTCTCTGCGCGGAGCTCGACAAGGTCTTTGCCGACCTCGACGCCAGGGAGGCTGCAGAGGACAACCAGGAGGATCAGCAAGGTGGGGACTCCAGCACCGGCGGCTACGGCAACGGTGAATCGCGGCGAACTGCGAATGACATCCAGGCGGACGATAGGCTGAACGCTTGTGCTCATCGCAGATGCTTCAACTCGGTGATCTGTATAACTTATAGAGACTGTCACATCTGCTCCTCTCGGAATGTGTGTATCTGAGGGGCAGAGTGATTCGTGTGATGTGTTTGATGTGTTGATATTTGAGTGGTGGGTGATGGCACAGTTTATTGTTAAGGACTTGAGGAAGGAAAATGGGAGAGTGGGGGACAAGCTGGTCTCTTGTTGTTGCTGCTCTCGTGCCACGGAGTGTTTCGGTAATTTGGACCGGGCAGGGCATCTCCGAAGCAGTCAGCCAGGACAGCTTTTACAAGTAATTGGAAATTATGACAACCTTGGTTTCTGGCCGTGATAACATTTTGTAATGTCGCTCATTGATAATAGGAAGATCAATTCTGGCCCTGACAACCAATAGCAGCCATATGGCTGCCAAATGTATTTGGTCTATTACTTGGCCATTGTTACTGGAAGCTTTAGGAAGGCTTGTCATTTCTGGCGAGTCCCTGCTTCAAGAAAGCGTCATTACTAAGAGCAATAAGACAGATGCAGATATGTCATTGGAACGGGAAAATTTTTGAATTGGCTGAAATCAATGCAAAGTTCAAATTAGAGGCATAAAGGCATCTTGTGTATGCGCAATGTATCTAGACCAAGCCCCTGGAGATATCACGTGTCTAGTCTTATAGCTGCTCAACACGACATCCTTCGTTGCTTACCCACGCGCTTCCAGGTCCAATAAGCGCTCCGGGGAAGCTTTTCAATGTGCTCACAGAACAAGTTGAAAGTCTCCTCGGTCATGTTTGTAGGACGTTCACCAGCCAACTCAAAGCTATGGATGGTGTCACTGTACTTGGCATACGGCAGTGTGAAGACATTCTCCATATTCATGAGATGCTGATGCAAGATAAAGAATGCTTGATAAGGCGTGATGACTCCCACCAAAATGGCCTGCTCCGCCAAATCTCTGAATGCGGCGAAAAATCCGTCAAATGATCTATAATCGAAAGGATCCATGTAGATAGTTGACCACCAGAGATGAGTAACTATCTCCAGGCTAACACGGCTCACAACGTCCCTGACAGTATTGATAAAGTCTTCTGGAAGCCGTGGCTGGCGGCGAACGAAGATGGGGTCTTCGCAGATGGCAGGCGAGGTGTGAAGGTGCAGCCAGGAGAAGATCACGTTTGCCTGTTGTTCCCAGTATATGTAGTCATACTCATCGGGAGCAGGTCTTGGAGCGCGGGGATCGATGTAGTCTTCCAGCTGCCACGCCTCCAGTTCTCTATGGACGTCGTCGAGCCATCGAACAAAGTTGCTATAGTCGCGGAGTTCTTCGATGGGTGCAAGCAGTTGATACTCCCGGTCTTCGTGAGTGGGAGCTACTTCCTTGGAAAGTTTACGTCTCTTTGGTGGGGGTAGCAGGTCGGTCATATTGTGTACTGCGAATGATCAACTAGAGCTGGCACTGCGGGAGGATGTTGTAACGTTGAAGTTGGGTTGAGATGCACCGACAGAAAGCGTCGCATTCTGTAGCCTTTATATCACAATAAATCGATTGCGCCCGGCCATAGTGTCCAGATCTGACAAAGATAGTCACATTGCTGAAAGAATGTCATTGTTCCTGTTACTTGAAACCAACTGCATTTGTTTCGGAACATACGTGCGAAAGAGGGTGTGTCATCTGCGTGCTGCTGTCACCCGACCTGACCCTGCAGTGCTGGCAGGTGGCCATTGCTCTCTTTGAGCTTATTTATGTGAACTGTCTCCCACATTCAACAGCAGATACAAAGACCAGAAAGATTGAAGCAATGAAACTGTTGCCGAAGGGGAAGTTGAAATCCTTTCAATGAATGTTGATTGTTGTTTCTTTATACTTCGGATCATCTGATTGCCGCGCTCTGATTGGTCAAGCGCGGACGGGACTGCGATCGCGACTGTTTTTGGAGATCCGATTTTTGTCCGACTTTCTTCGCCTTCTTCCATCCTCCAGGCTAACCTCAACCCTTTCCTCTTCCTCTCTCCGCGTCTTCACCCCTTCTTTCACCCCTCCCTTCCTCCCACCCTCCTACCGGACACCATGTCCAAGGCCACTTTCGCCGCCATCGCTGCGGCCAGTGCAGCCACCGGTGCCGGTCTGACGGCTCTCTTCTACTCATCCTCCGCTCCGCGACCCCAGCAACCTCAGCAGCAACAGCAACAACAACAAGTCCCACCACCTCCCTCTCCCATCGCTGCGCCCTCCCCCGCCGCCATCCGCCCTCCCGCTCCTCCCTCCCTCACCCCTAAGCCCGCCACCGCCGGCGGACTCTCCCCCGTCGACCCGACAGGCATCTACCAATATGGCTTCCCCGGCCCCGTCGCGGACACACTCATCTCGGCGCCGCTGGCGGGCGCCTACGACCGGCGCACGCGCAATCCGTCGTGGGTGGCGGAACACATCACGCCGCAGTCGCTGGCGATGAAGAACGCGGACCGCAAGAACAGCACGTTCTTCGAGGACGCGACGATCCCGCCGATGTTCCGGGCGAAGCTGTCGGACTACTTCCGGTCCGGGTACGACCGGGGCCACCAGGTGCCGGCGGCGGACTGCAAGTGGTCGCAGGAGGCCATGGACGGGACCTTTGCGCTGAGCAACATGTGCCCGCAGGTGGGCGAGGGCTTCAACCGGGACTACTGGGCGCACTTCGAGGACTTTTGCCGCGGCCTGACCAAGAAGTACCCGTCGGTGCGCGTCGTCACCGGCCCCCTGTACCTGCCCACCCGCGACCCCGCCGACGGCAAGTGGCGCGTCTCCTACGAGGTCATCGGCAACCCGCCCAACGTCGCCGTGCCCACCCACTTCTACAAGGTCATCTACGCCGAGGAGGGCCCCGCGGCGGCTGGCAAGGTCGCCCTCGGCGCGTTTGTCCTGCCCAATGCCCGCATCCCCAACGACAAGCGTCTGGCCGACTTTGAGGTGCCCCTCGAGGCTGTGGAGCGCGCCAGTGGCCTGGAGTTCGCCGCCAAGCTGGAGGCCGGTCGTCGGAAGCGTCTGTGCCAGGAGACTAAGTGTGATATCGTTGTGCGCGAGTTCAACAACGCCTCCAAGCGTTCTTAATGTGGGATGTAGTCAGGTCTAGTTACCTGAAAGGTTGGAAGAAGGTAGATGGGTGCCGGGTTTTATGTACTCTAGATGTGTTTGGGTATCATATCAGCATTATTCCCTCGTCCGCGCGGCTTTTCGAATGTCGGACATGTATATGATTTTTGGTTTGTCAAAAAACAGCTCCCTTTCTCCAAGCTGTGTATCCCCGGTGCTCCACTCCAAATCTATAATGTACAGTACACTCGGAGAAACCCGACTTCTCGCTCCCATGCAATGAACTTCAGCGAGCTTCAGCATTGAAAAGCGACCCCCTCTTTTGTCGCCACATTCCCGCCCCGCCCAGCAAAGCCCGTCCCCTCCGAACTAATCTCGACCAACCCGGGCGAGATCACCTCCTTATCCTTCTTCTTTTTCTTACTCGCGCTCGCAGACCCTTTCGTCTCGGGAGTGATGTCCGTCTCGCAGACATAGCAAAGGATCCGGCCGTGTAGCGCCGCGGTCTGGTCCTGTTCCTCCTTGGTGGCGTGCGGATCTGGCGCGTCGTGGGGGGTCATGAATTTGTTGACGCAGGGTTGACAAATGACATGTCCACAGGGTTTGGTTACTACCCAGGTAAAGTGACCCAGTCAGTCTACGTATAAGCGCGCCGGGGGGGGGGGGGAGCGGGAAACAAGAGAGAGAGCGAGGAGGAACTTACACATAGCTTTCAGCCCGTTCGTAAACGTCTTCTTGCAACTAGGACACACCCTCGTAGTTTCACCCCGGGAGCCCTTCTCCTCGGTGAAATGCACATCCACCAATGCCTTGAGCGAGTATCCATGCTTATTCGTCTCCGTGGAAGCGGGACAGATGGGTGTCAACTTGACCGTCTTATTCGCAGCGATCTCATCCGGGTCAGTCGAAGGCGTCAAGCTCGGGACCCAAAACGAAGGTAGGGCGGATTTCGCGTCCTAATGCAGCAGAAAGAGGTTAGCAAGCCTAGACCACCCCACCATCAAGATGCAGAATAAAAGAAGAGAGAAAAGAAAAACAAACCTTTTCCCTCCTCAACTCCTCCCTCAACCTCTCCTGCTCCTCCCTCGCAACCTTGGCAACAACCTTCTCATCCAACGCAAACACCTTCTTCCTCTTCCCCTCCCCATCGACAGCATCCCGGTTAGCCTCCTCAACCTTCCTCTTATTCCCACCACTCCCCCCGCTGGCCACCAAAGCAGCAGAAGAAGGCGTCCCCGACCCCCCACCCACAGCCACCGCCTTCTGGACCTTTCCCGCCCCCACCGACGAAGCACCCGCGGCCTCGAGCCCCATACTGACCCGCTCAAACTCCCGCAACTCCCGCCCCTTCACCTCCTCCAGCGCGCGCGCCTCCTCCTCCGCCAGCCGCTTCCGCGCCTCCTCGCGCGACTTCTCCAGCCGCTTGATCTCCTGCCGCTGCGCCAGCAGGTCGCTGATAGCGCACTCGCGGCAGAACAGGTCACCCGCCGTGGCGCAGGCGACGACGGGGGCGCGCGCCGGGCGGAGGCACAGCCGGCACGACCCGAACGGCAGGAAGGAGTCGCGGCCGATCACGCTGCGCTTGGTGCCCCAGGCGGAGCGGAGGAGGGAGCGCTCGTACGCCGTGAAGTGCGGGAGGGAGGTGTTGCGTTTGGAGTGCGCCATTTTCTTTGCCTCCGGTGGTTCGTGTTCAGATATTCAGGGAAAAAGGTTCGGAGGGTTGGCGGCGAAAATTGTGGACCGTGGTGGATGGGTTGTTGGTTTGGGTTTGCATGCGCCGAGTCCGATTGACTGTGGGTTGTGGGTAGTGGGTTAGGTAGTGGTTTGATGGTATGGTGGTAGTGAGCACCAATCCTGGAGGAAGTGGAGAACTGAGAGTTACTCTTCCGAGTTCGAGTAGAGTCGAATTGATTGACTGATCAGGGCGGGTAGAGCTTCGAAGCTCATGAAGCGATACTATCGCGGAGAGAGGTGACGCTGCGGCGAGCGAGCGGGCGGGCGGCGGCAGCAGAAAAGCGCGCTCTCGGAGACTGCGGTGCGGTGATTATGTCATGCTGTCACATGCTTGAGGTAGAGAATCTATAGTCTGGATGTATACAATCTTGCATAAGGAGATGGAAGCGCTTTATGGAGAGGTTATAAGAATATATACTGCTGCACATTGCTTGAGGGATCATATGCCAGAATAGGGGAGCCAGAAAGCTCCCTTGCCAAGCAATATGTGGGCGTTCACTCTTGTACTCGAGTAAATGAATCTTGAAGCCCGAGCCTTGCGGGATTATATACCCAGGCATTATTCTCCCACTTTGATCGATCCTGTATCTTCCTCCGCTTCGACGTCTTCATGAGTTAATTTCCGCTGCTTTTCTTCGCACATGCGAAGAGCAATAAAGGTATCGAATTGTCTTACTAGATAACTAGATGCCAATATCCAATTCTTTAACCCCAAGGCCTTGCACACTCTCTACATGGACCTTACATACCCTACAACTGCACTGTTTACTACCTAGATGGTAAATCACCAAGTACTGTACATAAATAAACGGCGTGTAGATCTATATTATATGCTATTCTGTACTTGATAACCTCCATCAGCCTGATATTGAAAAAAAGGATCTACCCTTGGTAGAGTCACTAAGACTTGAAAATATCACTTTTGATAATATGATTCACCCTCCCACTCCCTTGCCTACCCAGGGTCGCTTTTCTACCACCTTACTCATTTCTCCTCCCTCTCCCTCACTCTCATTTTTTCTCTCATCTCCACCACACTTCTAAGTTTTCTTCAGTCAATCAGAAACTAATATCACCGCGCCTCTCTCCCTCTCACAGTGTCCATCTCTCTCTCAGAATCCTCAAGATGACTTCAACTCACTCCAGGCGACACCACCCTCTCGTCCCCAGCGATCACCCTCTTGGGCCCCAATACCGACAAGCGTATCCATCTACCGGTGCTCGAAGTCCTGGACGAGAGCCCTCACGCGATGGATAAAGCCAAGGCCGACCAGGAGGACGTTCCGCCCTCCGTTATCATCGAACTTCTCTGCTGTGGTCCCCGCGCGAGACGCCAGTGATCATGCGAATGTACTGCCAAATCCCGCACACCGGCATGGAACGGAAGCCAGCAAGCCAACGGGCTACTCAAGCCACAGAGGCAGTATTCCCCCAAGCGACTGAATTGCCTCGCGACGTCCAAGAAGCTCGCCGAGGTCAAGTGCGAGCACTCGCCGGTTCTGATCAGCTCCGCTCAGACCAAGCAGGGACCCGAGGGCTGGGTACCCGGTGGCTATACTTTTTATATCAGACTTACCACTGCTATTGAGGGAGGAGATACTATTTAGCTGGCAAGTTATGTTACTGGTGAGGGCGCTTTTTACAAGATGTCGCCTCAGCAGAGAGAGAGCCTCTCTGGCTTGTTAGCTTCGTGGATGGAGACTTCGAGACAACGGAGACAGAATGGGAATGGGATGATAAGGAGTTTGATTGCTGGTATATCTCGGAGGGATGTTATGAGGAGGAAGTCTGCTATTGGGACAAAGATGAGCGTGGTCGTGGGCAATGCAGGCCAGGCTCATCGTCCGCCGCGGCCATGTCGGAACTTCCGCTCAGATAGCCTCACCTGGCTGGTTATCACTTATCCCTGTCCTTGAAGTCATGGACGCATACTCTTGTCACCGGTTCTTATCATCTTACAATTAGAAAACACGTTATTGTCGATTCTGGTTCCATTAATAAGACTTGTGCACGTACATATTTGTTCATGAAAACAAGCCTATCTTCGTCAAAGTCAAAGACGCATTGAATATGCTGTAGATGCTACCCGTTTAGAGATATACCTAGACCATCAACCGTCAAATCTAATAGACACGATTGCCGTGTCTAAAATTATCATTGTCTTTGATAGCTAAAATCTTAGATTACCTTTCATGGAGCATCAAGACTAAGACTTTTTTGTATGTCATCTCAACAGAATGAGTTGTGACAGAGGTGCCCCTGCTTCCTAGTCATCTAGGACTTACGTCCAAACAGAAAAGACATCAGTGATGATGAATGATGTAAACCATCTATACCTGTCGTATGCCAAGTACCATGCATGAAGAAGAATTTAAACAGAAATATATGACGCCGAAAGCAAAATAATTGACAAAAAAAATTGATTTATGTCTCGTTATTCTTAGATTAGCAAATAAATCAACCTCCAAACCAAGTAAAAGGAGATATAATTGCAGCTCTAGCCCATCTATAGACCAGTGTACCACAGATACTCCGACTTCCGATAGAGCCGAATCACCCGGAGCAGCTGCGGATGCTGAGGCAGGGCCTGCATATCACCCTCGGTGCGGTGGAAATGGTCCACATCCGTCGGGGGCAGCCAGGGACTGCACACCGCGGGGCATTCCCGTCCGTGGGGGCATGGCCGCAGCCCCGCCGCCCGCAGCGCCCAGATGGCGCGGTCGATCTCGTGGTCGGGGATGATCCACCCCGGGGGCGTGTAGCTGCAGGAGACGGACGGCACGGGGCCGAATTCCATGCCGAACTCATGGGCCGACGGCCAACCAAACAGACGGTGGGGGATCTCCGTATCTGCGAGGATCCGGTCCACGAAGTTGTAGCTTTCGCTCTGGAAGTTGTCGGTCACGGCCATCTCTGGGAACACTTGGTTGGTTTTTTGTGTCAACTGGGGTTACCTTGCAATGGAATGGATTGGTTCGAAGGTTAATTGGAGGCATTGGGATTTGAAGTTCGATCCTTATTTATATTAGCGATCATGAGGCTCAGATGTTTCAATATTCCAGGAAATTGCCAGCTGGAGTGACGATCACCGGGGGATGTTCCGAGAATCAAAGCTCGACATGAATTCAGGTGGATGTTGTGCTGGTTAGTCCCTCTTGTCGATCTGGTGCTGAGTCTTATGATTCGAATTATTCATCGCGGCGATCTTTCTGTCCTGTTCCACGGTGCTAGTGTTTGCTTGCATTGGAGATAGTAATCAGGAGGGAACGAAGATTGTCAGCAGTGACGCTGGAACGGCTTAACGCGCTGTCTTCTTTATTGCGGCAAGTTAGATCGCATCCTCATGTCGCACTGCATTGAAAATCTCCGACAGAGTCAGGGGAATCGTTCATTGCCAAACTTGCGTAGAGTATCCACTCTAACTCCGGATTCCGAGTCGGAAAACCACGCGAGGTGGAGAAAGGAAGGCGTTCACGGACGCGCCGGCCCGCTTTCCCACCGCTCTCTGTTTCACCCCTCAGGCTCCCCTTGGCCAACTTCAACTTCCCAACATGCCTGATCCCTCCATAACCCCAGCTAAGCGACAAAAAGCATATGCTAAGAGATCTAAGTCGGGATGTCGAACCTGCCGGTTAGTTCTTTATCTATCTTAATCCCAATCCTCCCCTCTGTGACCTCGTTCAATCAACTCACCCTGGATCCTCCGCCTTTCAAGATACCGTCGTGTCAAATGTGACGAATCTCCTGGAGCGTGCAAACGATGTACCTCAACAGGGAGACAATGTGACGGTTATGATTTGCCCCCAGTTTCTCACAAGCCCTTCTTTGCTACAAGGACTAGCATTCCTCAGCTCACAGCACCTGGCATCCTGACTGCTTTGACCTCAGAGGAGCGACGTGGCTTCAGCTTCTTTCAGCATTGCACTGTCCCTACCCTAGCCGGCTTCTATGACTCAGTACTATGGGAAATGTTGAGCTTGCAGATTGGTCATGCCGATCCGGCCGTCTGCCACGCTTCCATTGCGCTCAGCGCTGTGCACTCCGGCGTCCAAGCGCGCAAGAGGGAAAGCTTACTACACCAAGCTAAGTCCGAGAGCGGGCGCTGGCAACAATTCGCTTTTGAACAAATGGGACGGGCGTTCCAGCTACTTCGGAGGCGACACGCTTCCCAAGATCCACAGTATACCGTCACAGTGCTCTTATGCTGTCTTCTTTTCGTGGCAGCAGAATTTACCCTAGGGCACTACGACAATGCCTTCCGACACTTGCGGAGTGGCCTCAGAATCCTGCGAGACCAACAAATCAGAGTAGCGAGTGGTGTGAAGACACCACTAGAGCCCTCTCTGACTCAGACCTTCGCGCATCTTGACAATCAGGCTGGCTGCTTTGGCTCCGAAGGGCCCATCCTGGTCATAGATGACGATGCCACGCTCTACTCTGACTTGCATTCGTGCAGCAACGTCGAGAATGGCCGCTGGACTGTTTCGGAAGTCCGTCAGATCATGGAACCGCTCGCCAGTGCTGTGGTTCGGTTCTGCCGGCGGCAGGCTAGAACGGGCTACCACGAGTCTGAGTCAGCAGTGAGTGAGCAAGCTTGCATTATCCATCGCTTGAGCTTATTCCTGCTGTTCACGACCAATCTCAACAAGCAACCGGGCCGGGTGCTTACTGCCAAAGAAAACCGAGGCTTGAAGCTTCTCCAGCTTGAAGCGCACGCGCTTAGGAACGCGCTCCTCAGCCTCCCGGTGATGACGCGACAGCCGCAATTCCACGAGTTCACCGATGATTTCGAGATCATGCTGGCTCTCGCCACAGAGATTCAACAATCCGAGAGGGATCCCCAAGACCTCCCACAAATAAGTCTTGACATCGGCGTGATCCCACCGCTGTATGCCATCGCGAAGCGCACTGTTGATTCTGAGCAGCGGTGGCGAGCGATCCGATTGCTGCAGTCCTACCCTCACCAAGAGGGTCCGTGGAGTGCGAGTCTGCTATCTCGTGCTCTCACTAAATCGATGCCCGCAAAATCGTCATTTGCCGCCAAGAGCGCAGAGGACGCAACGGGAACAGTGGTCGCCGTGGGCGTACGCGACTGAAGCAGACGCGTACCTGCTTTGAGGGTGTCCTGACTATTGCCCCCGTTCGGATCTGTACACGCATACCGTTCCGTATCCGAGGCCTGCAGAAAAAAATGATCATTCGAATCGGATGAATCGATTTTCGGGACGGTGCTGAGTATCAATGCCCCAAGGGGCCGTGAGCAGCAAGGCTGGCACCGTGTTGCTCCAAGCTACCTGCAGTTGTAAACCCCGACTCCTTCCTCCGATTTGCGGCGAGCGGAGGTTTACTGCCTTGAGCTAAATTGCTCTCCGCGAAACAACATTCAATAGCCTGGCAAAAACCTCGAGGTTATTATTTCAGCGAGACTTAGACCTCGATACTGAGAAGATGAGTTCTGTGGAGTCGATCACAGCTGCAAGCGAGGAGCATATCAGGCTGAATCATCTGCAACTTGTAAAGTAGGCTTTCAGTATTCCGGTCACTAGTAAGGCCGCATCTACAAGACGTTACATGTACACTTCATATATGAGTAATAGCGATGCACAGTCGTGATGCAAAGACCAAACGCAGAAGCCTAACTATTCAGAGTCTCGAAGTGAATACTGGTAGGGATGAAAGGCGGTGAACGATGATTGAAGCGGGGGCGGGAATCGCCGCCGCGCGCAGTCCCTGGGAAGTACTACTGTAGTCTGCGCACTCCCTCCACAAGGAGGTCGTCTCATTCCTATTTAGGACTGGTCACACCCTAATTCTGCCGGCAAAAGCCACCACCGCCAATTCCTCAATTGTACCATACATTTTTGCTCTTTCCTCCCACTGTAAGTACCTACCCAGTAGTGACTGTAGTTCTTGATTTGCTTTAGAGACTTGCCACAGCCAGAGCATTTTTAGGCCAAGGAAAATACCCCATTTTGTGCGGGCCAAGTACTAAGGCGCGGCCTATGAATCCGGCAGGAAAGGATTTTGTACTGCAAATCTCGGATGGTTAATAATCTGAGAACAGCAAAGTGGGCTTTTTCCTTTCCTGCCAAATCTGTTTTCTAAGATCAATGCAGCCTCTTCTGACACATTCATAATTACTAAGTTACTTCAATTCACATGAAGTTGATGGACTTACTTTGCCCTCCTATAATGTGCTGCACCGCCAGGAGGACATTTCCTTCGTACCACCGTAACTCCATCTCTTCTCGAGACTTCCTTTGATTTTCTGTTTCCCTCTTTCGAAATAGTCAAGTGCGCTATGAGAGCTGCGACCTGAGTACAACCCATGCTGATGCTCAGCCTCTATGCCGTTTCTGTAAGGGCACGACCGCTGTCGTACTGGTGTAGCTGAACATCCGAGCTCCCCCGCGATGACGGGGTTCGGACGCGGTGAAACCCCGGCCGTTTACCTGTCGGAGTGGATTGTGGATAGGCAGGATATGAAGCCCCTCGACTGTGCTGGTCTTGTTTCATGAACAGTTGACGGAAGGAAGCCATGCAAGCGACGATGTTGGCTGTGAGAAATGGCCGATATCGGGCTTGTATTAGCTATACGCCACCAGATAGAAGTTTGGGAGAAGCGGAAGGATGACACCGATAGTAAAGATGGGAAGGGTGGTATATACCAACGGTGGCCTCAATAAAACTCCACATCCAGAGCCAGGAGATATCCGAATTTTGGTTCCGACGGGCTACCACGGCTACTCGGACCACCGCCACGATGATGATGACGACGGCTACCGAGAGAATAGCCATCAAAATTGCTTTGCGACGGACCGGAATACGGACATTCCAGAGAAGAGTTATCGGCAGGCTGATTACTATGTGGTCAAACAACGTGTTATGCGCGTTAGTCTGCTGGGTTTTTGCTCTCGAAAAGATTTCAGATTTCCGGACAATTGGGCTCTTACTGCAAAGATCGGTCACCACATCTAAGACTAGATTCGTGACTAGGGTTCGGAATTCGAATTGCACAGCGGCTTTCTGTGTACAGTGCTCTAGAGATGCCGCAACCAGAGATCATCGCGAATTAGCGATAAAAGTTGCTAATCATATGCGTTACGGTGATGAATCGCGTGGAGTGGTCTCGGTACGTACCCAGGATGTATGCTTCGTTGTTTACGAGACAGTTGTACTCGATGTCCCCAAGACAAACGAAGTACGTCCCCGCCACAAGACCCACCACGCACCAGAACCAGATGATCCAGGAGCGGTCTGTGCCGGCAATCCGGCGGAAGAAGATCAAAAATGAGGCCTTGATCGACCATAAGCAGGTGTAAAAGAGAATCAAGATGGCGCATTCCGCCCTAGCTAGTCGCGAAAGCCGAGCCATCACCTCCACTGTGGGCTCGGCCAAGCCATCCTCCAGCGCGAAGATGTAATACATCGAGTTGAGCTGAGTTTGCCAGGTAATGGCTTGGGCCAGGAGTATCAGCCACGCGCCGATGGCAAAGGCATCGTCAAGCCAGAGGCGGCGAAAGGCCGCAAGACGGGCTATTGTACGAGTTGCTATGAACAGGAAGGAGATCGAGGTTGCGCCCCATACAAAACCCTACAAACACCGGTCTAGTTTTAGTCAATGTCTGAATAACGAAGAAAAGGAATCAAGGAAGTGTGAGCTGTTACGACATACAATAAATGCCGGCCCTGATACTTTGGCACTGGTGTCGGTCTGGAAATTCGTCATAGTAGGCAAAGAAATCAATAAGAGAGCAATGTATTTAAAATGCAAGTCGAGAAAGTCAGTCAAGGACCCACTCCGCTGTCAGTGATACCGACGAAAGTTGATGGGAAACAGGAAGGGAAGAGAACTTGGGCCTCAGCACAGGCCGATGCCTCAAATCGTAGCCACCACTTCAAGTTAAATATGGTTGACATCTTCAGAAATACGTCCAGCGCCGTTAACCCTGGAATCTCAGAGGCACAGCAGTTGGTCTGTGGGGGCGAAAAGAGAGAGCAGAATAGCCCATCCGGGATCTAGAAGCTCTATTATCATAGCCGCGTTCATGAAATGCTTGCCAATCTATCCTGTACCTTAACCCCCAGCGCTTGCTTGAAAGGTGGGGGCAGTGTCCGACTGTTTGGTCACTTGCAGGGTGACATTTTACTCACCTGCAAGAACACTGTAGATAGTCCTCTACCGGATTCGGGCTAACGGAGCGGGGTTTAGAAATTGTTTGCTATGTAAAAAGGGTACCAGATCTGAGGAGCTCAGAGATTAGGGCGAGGGGGCCTCAGAAATACCCATAATCCTTCTAATACCCCCAGAGCTTTTTTGATCATATCTACCCTTTTTTAAATAACGTATGTTCAAAGAGAAATGATCAATTCCCTTCTTGAACCAGTGTTAAGGTCGTTTTTTTTAGGACCGAAATCCTTACTCTAGGACTCTATATTCGAGAACACCTTGGACTATTGCTCTGGATTATGGGTGTTCGGATATGTATCAAGACTAAGAGTAGCTGTATTGAAAGTAAAGAAACATTGGAAAATCCCAGTCATTCTAACCTCCTCCGAAGTGTCACATATTTCTGACCCCCTCGGACTAAATTCTTACCCCCTCAGAGCTCGTAGCTCTACGCGAAAGAAAAAAAAAAAGATTGAGGCTTGTGCTTAGACCACACTACCAGTAAGGCCCGTGCAAAGCAAAGACAAGATGAGAATAGGGGCGGGCCGAGCCTAGTGACTCCAACCCAAGATGGGGAATTTCAAATTGTCTCAGAAACCCAGCGGCTTATTAGCCGCTAAGCTATGAGCCCATTTCTTTTCTTGGCCCCATGCAGCAAAAGGAATCATATGCCGGTTGCACAATGCATGCACCCTCCATCTCATACCCCGCTTTCTTTCTCCCATCCCACCCATGACAGGACGTGCGCTATTATCTGAGTGGTGGCAAAACACAGGGATCGACCGTCGCTTATGCATGTCAGACATAACATGCCGGGAATCCATGCAAATGGTCTGACAGTTGCCGCGTCACATTTTAAGGCTTGGTCCCGTTCGCTGTGCTTACCCCGTCTTCTTCCTCGTCTACAGCCTGTTCTCTCTGCTGTGCCACCCGTTTGGCATTGAGCGGCTCCATCCCGCAAGTGCATAGCACAGAGGCGCAGACACAGCCTACTGCAAAGAGCATCACATGCGACACAGAGGTGCACCAGATTTCCCGAAGTTTGTGCAATGCATCGGCTGATGGAGCAAGGGCAGCAAGATTTGCCGCACCCCAGGACATCACTCGCTCAGGAGAAAGCTCAGGAACTTGAAGAGGTACCTCATGAAGTATGTTGTTTAGTGCAATGGTCTGGCCAATGGCGATCGCTAGGGCCCTAGTGCAGAAGGTGAGTAAGTACGCCGCAGAGGTCATTGGAAACGTCGCAGTAGCTGTTGCTCACCCGCCCAGTTGCCATAAAAAGACTGCGATAGCTACAAAAGACCGCCCGTCAGTATTGTCTTGATCCAGTTATATAATGTGTGGAACGTACCATTGCCTGTGGGTATGTCGTCATCACTAAACTCTGATGGTAAGGTTTTGTTCTTTCAGTGGAAACTGAGAATTTGGAGGAAGATACAGGGGAAGAGAGGGAGGAGGGAAGAAGTAGAGCTCTGACTGAGCAAGAATATGGCGGGCATGGAGACTCACTGCAGGACCAGATTAACAGCTGTGTATGGCAGCTGCATAGCCACCCCCATGCCCGTTCCATGGACCACGAGTGCTGCTGCCCAAAATATGCGCGGGGAGTCGGTTTGGACCCTGGAGATAAGCACCGTCCCCGCTACACAGATTAGCTCCCCTACAATCATGTACGGGACCTGTTTAGTTGAATTCATCAGCATGATATCTCTTTTACGCGGTGTCCTGCTTGTCTTTCGACGACTTACATAATGGCCCCATTGGGTCACAATCCCACTTGTCGCGATAAGGGCAACCATTTCCGGAAGAAACACAGCAATCAAGTCCACACCACTTTGGATAGCGTTGGTGCCCTTGGTGGCCTGAAAATAGAACGGCATGTAGTATGTGACCTGCAGAATTGTCATCAGCATTAACAGTAGATGCGAGGGCTGGATCGACAGACAGCATAGGTCGCTGCCCCAAGGCAGAAAAGAACGCCCCCGCCAGTCCAGATAGACCGTTGCCGAAGTACGCGCAATGGTATCAACGCATCTTCTCCACGCCAGATTTGAATCAAGACGAATAGGATCAACAGCAGGCCGGCTCCTGTAAAGAGTCCAATCACAGTTGCTGAACGCCAAGGCTTCGTTTGGCCTCCCCACTGCAGGGCCAGCAACAAACAGCAGACGGCCGCCATGAATACCAGGCAGCCAATTGGATCCAGACGCCGAAGCTTTTCGCTGACCGCCAGGGATCTATTCTTGTTTTTGCTGCCTTGTATCCGCAGCACAAAAATCAAAAGAACGAATGTTATCGCCCCAATGGGCACGTTTCTGCAAATTCAGTGGTCGGTCAGCTTTGCACTCTCTTGCAGTCGTGGTTGGAAGGCGATGGTCATAGCGCAGGACACCCTATCGGGAAAAACCATACATCCAAAAGCACCAGCGCCAAATGCCGTGAGTGGTGAAGGCACCGCCAATAACCGGCCCAATGCACACAGAGATGACAAAGACGCTAATGACAACGCCCTGATAGAGCGGTCGCTTTTCCATCACAACTGTCATGCTGATAATGCTAAGGGCACCTTGCAGGATGCCGGCTGCTCCCATTCCTGCAATGGCTCGACCGACGATAAACATCCGCGAGCTGACGGCTGCAGCACAGAGGATCGAACCCACTGAATGAAGGAGAGGGGAAACCATTAGCATCAGATGCAGGTGCCGGGATCGTGCATGACTGACCTTCAAACACCACTAGACAAGTTCGGAAAATGACCTCGACATTGAAGTATTTATACATACTCCCATAGAGAGGCTGAAATGCGGTGATAGTGAGTAGGTACGCGCTCCCGTACCAGGCGACATCATCGAGAGCCTGAAAGTGAGAGGAAATGGAGGGAATCACGACACCAATAATGCTTGAATCCAGTGAGATGACAAACACACCAAGAAAAAGTGATAGTATCACGATGCCAAGTTTCCATCCTGATAGATATTGGGCCTTGGATGGAGTAGGGGCAGATGTGATCTCTGCTGAAGGCAGTGTTTTATCTGAAGCCATGCTAGGAGAGGGCGGGGCAGTTCTGCGTTGAGTGAAAGTGAAAGAAAGACAAGCGCTGACGGACACGGAGAGAGAATCGCGAGGACTAAAAGAGGGCCAAATATTTAAATCACCCTTCAATGATGGGTTAGCACTCTACTTTAGCTTTCCGGACAAGCCCTGCGATTTGCGACTGCAGGTACCCCTGTCCGACAACAGAACAAATGACTCGGCCGGCCACTGGGCAAGGCTGAATCCTTTCCGTTTTAGTGTCAACAGTCAGATTGAAAGCGGTTGAGAAGGATCTTTTGGTAGAATGACGGTTCTTGGTCGGATTTCTGTGTCGTCCTGCATGGCAACGGAGCCCACAGAGTCATGAACAATGGAGTTGGTTACGATTCCCTCAAGCAGCCACCGACAGCCTGGCTTACGAAGCGGCCTACTAGGTAGGTCCATATATGCCGCAATCTGATTGTCGGCTGTGCATCGACACCCCTGCTGGCCTGCATAGAGAACATGGTCATGTAGCTATTGACGCATCGCAATTCATTGTATTCAAACGGTCCAAGGCAAAGAGATCGCCGACTGCGCCTTCTTTGTGAAGGCTCTACCCAAGGCTCTATCCAATTGTGCGCCATGTAAGACATTGGACCTTATGGGGGCCGTTGTATTCTCTCCATGCGTAATGAAGCTCACAGCAGGTAGTGCATTTAGTAGACCTTTCGTCGTAATGCGGCTAAATATCGTATTTGAGAAGGCTTGTGACATCCCAACACCGTATATAAGCCTTCAATGTCTGCATGTTGTGAGTGTTCGAATGTTGAACTCGTAGACAAAGAAAAAACTCAACAGCCTAGTCAGCAAGCTTCATACACACATTGATTTGATTTGACTCAAAATGCTTCTCAGGTTGACGTCCGCTGTGAATCATGCGTTTGATCCAGTACGGGAACTGAGTCCTAATTACGTTCAAGGGGCAATTGTTTTGTTGGCGACTTTACTCAGTACCTGGGGTCTGTGGAGACTCTGGAGATTCACCATCCAACCACTTTTTCGGCCTAACGAGCCACTCGAACTCCCCTATTGGGTTCCTTGTCAGTACCAAAGCCCTTGAACTATGAAGTATCTTGTTCCTGACTTTTGCAGACTTTGGTATAATATGGCTGACCGCAAAGGCACTTGGATGGACGCTGAGATCTCAATTGCTTAGGGCATGCGGGTGCTTTTTTCGAAGATTGCCACCAGCTAATGAGAAGAGCTGTGTAAGTGACAGGCCCATGGCCATATCTCAGTGCTTCTTGAAACATGTAATTGACTCGCTTCAGAAAACAACTCGGGACACGCGAACCTTTTGCGTTAACCCTGGCCGGTGACCGATATTATGTAGTAACATCGCCGGCTGACATTCGCCCTTTTTTCGCCAATATCAACGCTCTGAGCCTGGATGGCTTCCTCAACCAGGTCTTGATTGGCTTCGGCTGTGGGGAAGACCGACTTCATACCCTCTGGCAGCGCAACCAGCCCGGCCCAATCAACCCCAAGGGTAAGAGCCTTATTCACTTGACGGAAGATCTCTTCAAGCAACATCTCCTCCCTGGACCGACATTTGACACTTTGTTGAGCCGATACCGTGGCGCCATCCAGGAGCTACTGTCCTGGAGTCAATTAGAGGCTACATATCCCACAATGACTGGTAAGGAGACGGAGGCTATATCGCTTTACGATCTGTGCTCCGATTTCTTGATCAATGCCACACAGATGACATTGTTTGACCCCGCTTTATTTGCCATTGATCCTGAAATGACAACCGAGCTGCGAACCTTCACCGATGAGTTCTGGCAGCTCATTTACCGATCCAGGTTCATTGACAGCACACGAGTTCGCCGCATTCTGGCCCAATACACTAAGGCGTTCAATGCCTACCTGCGACTACCGCCTCAGGCACGCGCCCGTGAGGCATGGGTGATCCGCACCTTGATCCAAACCTATACTGATCTAGGAATCCACGAAGATGACCAGGCAGCCATGATGGTGATGATTTACTGGACGTGAGTGCGCACCTCTCTCTTTCACGATTGTGTGACGATGAGGGTCCTGATGAGCAATATCTCTGCAGTGGCGATGCCAACGCATACAAGGCAGCGTTCTGGGTCCTGGCTCACATTCTATACGATCCGACACTACGAGAACTGATCCAGGAGGAGACAGTCCCAGCAGTGGGCCCGAATGGCAAGGTGGACATGGCCTATCTGCGTCAAAACTGCCCCCGGCTGTCATCAATCTATCACGAGGTGCTCAGGCTTACCAAGCGCGATGCGGTGCTTCGGCGAGTCGTCCAAGATACGGAGCTAGGCGGAAAGCAGTTTCGCAAAGGAAGTTTTGCAATTATTCCCTCTTGTCAGTTACACGACAGTCTAGAGACGTACGGGCATGATTCGTTGTTGTTCAACCCCGAACGCTTTCTGAAGCGACCGGAGCTGACTCAAGACCCGGCTTACTTCCCCTACGGCGGTGGAGTCTACTATTGTCCGGGTCGTCATTTTGCAACTTTGGAGATCTTCGCCTTTGTGGCGGTGATGCTGAACCGATTCGATGTCCATTTGGCGTGGCCGAAGCAGGAATTTCCACGTAAGGACGAGAGTGTGCTTACCTTTGGGATCTCAAGGCCATTGCCAGGAGATGATCTGTATGTGGTCCTCAAAAAGCCTGAAGATGCAGATGCCTAGTGTCGCTTGAAGTCCACGAGGAGAGATGTCAGCACAGCGGTGAATGATTTTATGCGGTATTTCCTTTTTTTTTTTTTTTTCTTTTTTTGCTTAGTTTTTTGCTTAGCTAGCTTATGTTACATCGTCCTGTTTTGTCTTCTTTGTCCGAACAAAGAAAAAAGAATTCACTTTACCCTCTCTCTAGGAGGGGGGGCGGCACAAGGCGCCTGCAGGCGTTGGGCTTAGGGCGGATGGAGCCATTATTAGTTGCCAATGGCCATCAACATGACAACATCCCTGCTAGCTACATTAGCCGTTGCTTTAGATCACTCGCAATTTTTGAACCTCTTTTTCTTTCTTTCTCCTTTATTTTTCTTTCAATTGGAACGTTGCGCTTACTCCTGGTTTCTTTCCCCCTCTCATTTTGCCGCTCCTGACCTTTCGGATATTCCCACGCGTCTTCGTCTGAGTTACATCGCATCCCTCTGGCTGCTCCTCTTTCGTTCACCCTCTGTCCCTGCTCCTTTTTTCGCTGCACCATGTTCTATCTGCTTCTAGGCACCACTCTCTTTGCATGGACTCTCTACAGTCTCAATGGCTTGATCCAAAATATCAAAAGTGTCCGGAAACTGAACATTCCTTACCATGTTCTCCCTGCCAGTCCCGTCAACCCGCTCTGGATCGTCCTCGAGCCGGTAATTTACTTCATTTTGGATCGTCTTCCATTTGAATTTGGTCGAGTCAGACATTATGGCCGACGCAGCTGGCAGTTTGGCGACCGAGCGCAGTCGCACCTGCGCATGGGCGACGCGTGGGCGCTGGCCACCCCATCCGAGGTCTTCGTCTATGTGTGCGATGCGGAGGCAATCACCCAAATCATAAATCGCCGTGCAGTTTTCACACGCCCAGTCGAGCTCTATAGTATGTCTTATGCTGCAGTTCCTCTATAGAAACTTACAGTTTCTGACGCGGCTTACACAGAGATGTTGGATGTGTTTGGTCCAAATGTGGCAACGGTCAGTTTCTCTCTGCTCCGATCGACTTTTCATATTCTGTTGAGCCTCGCTCACCGCGAGCACATTCCGTAGACCCTCGGGGCCGACTGGCAGCGTCACCGCAAGATCGTGGCCGCACCGTTCAATGAAGGCATCAACAGTCTTGTCTGGGAGGAGGCTTCCTCGCAAGCCCAGGCTCTGCTTGCAACGGCCGGATCGGCCCCAGCCGGCGGGCTGGGCACCGACATCCGCACCTTGGCTCTCAACGTCCTTGCAGCCACGGGGTTCAAGCGCCCGCAATCCTTCCACGGCTCCCAGGAGGCCCGATCCCAGGAAGCTCGCTCGTATGGCGATTCGCTTAATCTCGTGATGGAAAATTCTTTCTTGATCATGCTAATTCCCCCGTGGATCCTGAAACTCCCTGTGCTGCCCAGCTGGTGTCGACGGGTCGGCGAGGCGGTCGAGATTTTCAAGCAGCATATGCTGACCATGTTTAACGTGGAGAAATCGCTGCTGGAAAAAGGGGAGCCCGGCACGGGGACCCTGATGTCCTCCCTTATCCGCGAGTCTGAGGTCACCCGTCACAGCAACCGCAAGCCGCTTACCATCCATGAGATCCTCGGGAACATCTACGTGATCAACTTCGCCGGACATGACACCACTGCCAACACGATGACATACCTGATGTTCTTGCTAGCTGCGTACCCGGACATCCAGGAGTGGATAGCCGAGGAGATCCGGACGGTCATAGCCCGCAGCGACCAGGACTCCGTGGGCTATAAAGCAGCGTATCCCCGACTGAAACGCTGCCTCGCCGTATTGGTATGTTCTTTCTCGCTTTATCATTGGCCTTGAACCCATAGTCGAGTTCAACTCGTTGACAATCATGCTACATGGCGGGGGAAACAGCTCGAAACTGTCCGCCTGTACCCGGCGATCTTGGCCCTTCCCAAATCCGTCGCACCAGCGCAAGCGACCCTCCACCTCCCCGAGAGTAATCGCACCCTCGTCCTCCCGCATGGAGCCGTCATCCTACCTAGTCTGCTAGCTGTGCAGACCCACCCGCGCTATTGGCCTGATGAGCCAAATGCCTGGCGTCCCCGCCGCTGGATCAGTTCTCCTGCGGTGGACACCACGACGAACCAGAGTATGGAGGGTATCCCTGCCAGCCAGGTGGAGCAACTCGCACGCGAAGAAATTATCGAGCCGCGACCGGGGACCTATATCCCTTGGTCCGCTGGAGCGCAGGTGTGCGCGGGCCAGAAGTTCGCGCAGGTCGAGACTGTGGCGGTCTTGGCTTCCCTCTTCCGCGAGCATCGGCTCCGGGTTGTACTTGAAGACGGAGAGGATTTTGAGGCGGCTCAGGCGCGGCTGGTGGCCAAGACGCTGGATACGCATCAGCTGCTGGTGATTCAGATGCGGGATCCGGATAGTGTCAAGTTTGTCTGGGAGCATGTGGGGTGAAAAGCGGTCACGAGATGTGTTTCTATCCGTGAAGATCGTGGACCAACGGCCCTACTTGTACATGAGAGTTATTATGGCAAGGAGTAGAATTAAATCGCGCCGGATATACTTGAGTGGCATGTTGATGTAAGTGTCCTGCTGGAAAGGCCAGGGATGATTGAATGACAGAGGGAGCAACAGGCGGAGAGCAGCTCCGAGGGTACCGGAAATTAGCATGCTGTAGATTCAAGCTTTCCATACGGAGTATCGTGCGGAGTGATCCCATGGCCTCCTCGGAGCTCCCAAGTCACGTGACAATGAAAACTAAGACACTATTGGTGCTTAAGGGTATGTCTATATTTAGTTTTAGGCTAAATAATCAATTAAAATGGGGCCTAATGTTGATAGGGGACCAGGAAAATAACGGACACTCCGGCGGTGCCAAAGTAAGATATATGAGTTCAGTTATGTACAGTTTAAATAGGTTATATAACCAGTACTTATAAGCCTAGATAAGTTCAAGGGCGACGGTTACTTCCTTTAGTAATTACTCCCGGGGCAATCCGGGATCTCTCAGGGATTACTTAGGACACACACTTCTATACTCCCCCCACGCTCCGGACCGCTTAGTGAGCAAAAAGCGGCGCCAAGTTGGACCTAAAGCGGAAAGGGAAAGTCACTGCAGTGGATTTCCGCAGCAATCCAGTGCGTTAGTCTTTAACGGGTAGTAACTTAGTGTCTCTTAAGCTATTACAGGAAAGCGGAGATCAAGGTGTTCCAGCCGGTCGGAATTCCTTTCTACCTGGTATTGACTCCGAGATCCTCCGCTGCAACTATCCAACTTCAACTTCAATTCTGTTTGAAAGGCCACATCTCCTGTTCAAGACTTGACATGGACCCTGAAACTGGACTACAAGGTACATGAGTGAGTAGAGTCGGAGTCGCGATCATAAAGCTGCTTGCGCGGGCATCACCGGACCTTTTTTGGCCTACCGCCTCCTGGACCGCTAAACGACCAACACCTCCAGGACAACCATGAACGAATACCTCAACATATGTGTGTCGGAGGATGTTCTTGACGCCCAGGCTTCACAAGATGATGGTTCTTACAAGAAATACCCACTACTAAAACAATTCGTCGGTCATGAAGCTGAAATCTCACAACCTCAATACATTTCTGATGAGGAAGAAAGGGTTATGTTCTCTTTCCGGTATGAGAACATGGATCTGTGTTTAAAACTAGTTAGGGATTAATCTTGTTTTTCTGACCTTTGCAGCTATATATTGATTTACGCTCGTTCAGAGCCTGGGAGAGTTTCCCAAAGCACTATTTCCCGTCCAACCAACAAATGCAAAACTCCTTGGTCCCTTTAGCCTGGAATGCCGTGCCGTTGCTCGCCTGTGCGATTTAGGTCTGAATGGGACTTGGGCAGTGCGGTGTCATGGTTGGATTTAAATAACTGACGACCAGCTTGCATGTCTTAGCACAGCATGTAAACGGTCAAGATTAGTCCTCGGATCGAATGTTTCGCGATGGGCGATTGTGATGGATTTTGGTCCTTCCCCTCCAAGAAAGACAGACCTTGCAGAGATTCGCACCCTAAATTCGAGATCGCAAAACAGGCACTGATTCTGGCGGGTGATGTTGAAGCCAGAAACTACAGAGCTTCTTTTTTTGTTGATTTGGGCTCCACTAGCACGTACCCATTCCCGAAATCTTGGTGGTCAAAGTTCGAATTCGAACGTTTCTTCAGGCTATGCCCACCTAAAGTTGGGGAGCGTTAGTCAATCGAGCCTTAGGCAGCACCGACCTGATCAGCGGGTATAAAGCATCCCTGTTTTCGGTCAACAGTGAGTGCCGTGCGAGACCAAGAGTGACGAGGTTTGACTAGACGGTTTTCTATCGCAGTATTATCACGCATTAGGACAGTAGGTTCCAGGCATCTCAAATGCCCAAGCTACTCCAAATACTTTCAACACCCAACTCAGAGCTTGTGTCCAAGTCGCAGTATAAGGGCTAAAGGGTGAAATAGCGTGATGAACGAATAGCTTTCGCGAAGCCAAGGGTGCCAATGTATTGCCTTAAGGTGTTGTTGCTGCCTTGCCTAACTCGCGAGGCAGCCGCCGCCCTTGGGGGCGGCCGCGGCCGGCTCGCTTAGCCGTCACGTGACCGCCGCCTTAGGTTGTCTATATACATTTCCCTTCGCGGATATCCGCGAAGGTTGGAAGGGCTGTTTGGGCCCTTACACGCAGGGAGGTAGCATCCCTACACATGCACACTGGTCGCATATATCCACGCTTGAAGATTGGGAGGAGTTCAATTATGAGACCGTTCTGTTCATCTATGGAGATGTATTGCAACACTCTTTCTCGAGAGATATCCAGAAGCTTAGCCCCGAGCTTTCACAGAGTGAAAGGGAGGTCTGGGACGAAGAGACACTTAGACACATCATCAGCCGGAGCCTAGTACCCGTGGTCTCATAGTGCCTGGCAAAAGGATGGAACGTCCTTTACCCTTTGCTGCACGAGCCGGCTGAGCTCCTACCAGGTGGCGCGGCGAAAAGTCCGCAGAAACAGAAGACTCACGCTTCAGACCCGACTGGGCGGTCATCCATCGGGACCACAAGCAGTTCCACTCATCGCGGCACGCGAACCTGTGTCCTGGCGATGCTAAGATTGCTGAAAAGTGGACGTCGGCGGGGGTGGATGCAATCAACCACCTGGACCCATTCCGCCAGATGCAGACATACTGTGTGCAGAGCCGCACACAGTACGGGTGGATCATCACCAATGAAGAGCTGGTCATTCTGCGCTGTAGCTGGGAGCACATCGGCTCCGGCATTGGTGCGCATCGGCCCCCCAGCGGCAGCCGCCACCTGTCTCGCAAACACACACGCGCAATGTGTCTGACACAACTCAATTTTCATCCTTGAGCTCAGGCTTGGACCACATGTCCGTCTCCGGTACAAGCTATGGAGATGACGGCCTGGGACTTGAATCTGGGGCGTTGCAGTGGAAGAGCATCCCATATTCTGCGCACGGTGCCGGCAAGTAGATTGTCAAATTAGCACTGTGGGCTATTGCTATGCTAGCGTCGGCAGAGAATACGTGTACAACATTCAAGAGTCGCTATGAGGCTCTTCATAGTTCCACCGCAAAAGAAGCAGGATTCATCCACCTAGCTACAGGGCAAATCAAGTCCGAACGCCCTAGCCGTGCCGAGTTCATAGAGACACGGAACTCCGAGATCATACCCTCTGATAAGAGTTCATTCTGGACGAAGGATGTGTATCAGATAGTTTGGGATGGGATGCGGCAAGAATGGCTCGTAACACTTTCGAGACCCCACCGCGCCAGTCTACACAGCGCCAATTGATTGTCAGTTTTGGAGCTGGTCAACGCAAGCCAATTACTCCTGGCAAAGAACGGACAGAGGGGTATACGGGGTATACGGGGTATACGACTAGGTCAAGCTGGCTTGAGCATGCAGTTCGACAACCGCCCCTTTCGGTTCTCGGTGACTGTTATCTCAACACGAGCAGTCATAAAGATATCACATGGCTCAACCCATGCGAACACATTGAATATTAATTTGGACGGATAATTGATGGGGTTGGTTGCACAGGAATACCCGAGTACCTTCAATTTGTACATACTAAGGAGTCCAATCAGGCTGACTTTCAAGACGAATGGTTCGGACGCTCCTAGCTGGGAAGTATGGTATAGATTTCGCGTGACTCCAACTTAATGTCTTGTTTGACGAGATATAGCCATGTATCAAGGCTGTTCGTCCGTAGCCTTCTGCTTGACCAGTCATGTGAGTGGCTTTGAGGATTGGAGATACATCGGTTGAACTTCGGATGAATCCTGCAGCTGGTTGGCGTTCATACCGAATATGGCAACGGAAGCAGCTTTCCAAGTTGGTTCCATCAAGTTCCCCCCCAGTCTGCACGACTCTGTGGGGGTTTGACCCACCAGATCCGATCTTGTTGGCCGGACATGCTGCATACTGGCCACTGCAATGCACGGCACTATCTTAATGTGGTCAATCGTCAGGTGAGACGGGTCGCATTGCTCCCACTCGCATGCCTTTATTTGACTTTCTTTTACACTTATACTGCCCATCCGTTGAGCTGAAACCAGTCGTCTGCAGAGCATTACTCCCACCGGAAAGCAGCGAGCCGCGACAGGAGTTGGGAATGAGGAAGAGGAAGAGAGACGAACGCTGCAAATGGATGTTGCACCTCATGAGCTCAGGGTTGCTAGAAATAGGTAGCGAAGTTCCCCAGTGTTGGACTCGAAGTCACATACGCTAACGCATGAATCGAACTCACAGCACAGGGGTCCTGCATAGCAGGCGCTTCGAGGGGATGTCCATCCCTGCCTCAATCTCAACAACTCCCCTCCTCATTCAATTCATCACAGCCAGGATGGTTCCATCCTCCACACCCTTGCTGCATCCTTCGTCGGGCGATATTGCGTCACATGAACAATTTCTGCTTGCATGGGGCGGGAAGAAGCCTGGATGGACTGGGAGATGCTCTCGTCCACCGGGATTGTCTGTCTATAAAAGCCTTGCAGTCACTCCCTTCGTTGGGTACTCGTTAGACCCATCACCTCCACCACCCCCTGTCCAACTTCAATGATGCATTATCTACTAGCCCTACCACTTATCACAGCCCTGGCAGTCACCAACGCAGCGGCAGCTACCAGATATGACTATATCATCGTCGGCGGCGGCACAGCGGGCCTAACGGTCGCCAACCGCCTGTCGGAAGATCCAGCCGTCTCCGTCCTCGTCATCGAACCCGGACAAATCGAGCTCAACAACCCTAATGTGACGATTATAACGCGTCTGGCTTATACGTACGATAGCCCGCTAGACTGGGCATACCAGACTACCGAGCAGAAATTCGGCAACCGCTGCCAGATGATGCGTACTGGAAGGGCGCTGGGAGGCACAAGTGTGATAAATGGTTAGCTATCCGCTCGCCTTTTATCTACTTATGACACGGTCTCCATGACTAACACAGCAGTAACGTATACTTCTTGTCAAGGTGCCGCTTATATATGCACAGAGCACGCTCAGATCGACGCACTCCAAGCCCTTGGAAACACTAATTGGACATGGGATAATCTATTCCCATACTACCTCAAGAGCAAAAAGGTCCGACCCCCAAATAGAATGCAGAGTGCTGCCGGTGCATCTATCATCCCGAAGTACCACAGGAAGAACGGGCGCGTACAGGTCGGCTTCATGAACATTACACCACATGATGATGATGATAAAGGGTTTAATCTGAACACAGCTCTCAACCGCACGCTTGATTCTCTTGGGACAAGCTGGAACAGGGACCTAAACACTGGATCAATAAGAGGAAACGCAATGCATCCGTATACAGTGGATGCCCAAGGTGTGCGCAACGATGCAGCAAAGGCTTATTATGAAGGGGCAAAGAGAGGCAATCTACATGTCATGCTGAACGTGTCTGTTTCAAAGATTTTATGACAAGGAGCTGATACTGAAGAGACTTATCTTCCTGCCGAGGGGTTGAGATCAACGAGGGACTTGTAAGCCGAGTGGTTCAGGCTAGACGAGAGGTGGTTCTGGCCGCTGGCGCAATGCGATCAGCCGGGAATCTGGAGCTCTCAGGAATTGGCAATCCACAGTGAGAACCCCATTGATGGCAAGCTAGTGACGGATAGACTGACACATGTGAAACAAAATTAGGATTCTCCAGAAGCATGGCATTCCTATACAAATAGACCTCCCCAGCGTTGGGGAGAACCTGCAGGATCAACTCAACACCTCCTTTGTTGTGTCTACCAAGTTACCGATCATCGGCACACGAACTGTAGCCTTCGTGTCTGCCTCTGATCTTTTTGGTTCCTCTACCGAGTCCATCTCGGCCTCTCTCCTCGCCTCGATCCCACAATACGCGGAGGTGACAGCGAACCAGACCAGCGGAGCCATGACCAAGGAAGCTCTGCAGTTACTCTTCACAAGTCAGCATGATCTGTTTTTCAACCGGGGGATCCCGTTCGGGGAGTTTGTGTTCATTCTCGATAACCCACATCAGATCCATGTCGGATACTGGGGCCTTCTCCCGTTCTCTCGCGGCAATGTCCACATTTCTTCCTCAAATGTGGCGTGTTCTCCAACGTTGAATTTGAATTACGGATTGCTCAATTGGGATATTCAGGGCCAGATCGCAATGTCTAAGTTTCTTCGCAGAGTCTTCCAGACTGAGGAGTTCAGCGAGCTGGTCGACGAGGAGCTAGTTCCCGGGCTTGCGCATATCCCGGCCGATGCGGCGGCCGAGACTTGGAAGGCTTGAACATTTAGACCCTCCAAACTATCATGCTGTTGGGAGTACAACGATGCTGCCGAGGGAGATGGGCGGGGTACTGGACAGCCGATTCAATGTTTACGGCACTCGAAACGTTCGCGTCCTGGATTCTTCCATCCTACCCGTCCAGCTTTGCGGGCATCCCACGGCCAACATCTACGCGATCGTGGAGTGGGCTGCAGATATGATCAAGGAAGATCGACTCTTTTCTGACATGGGAAGAACCGTGGTGTAGATACAAGACATGATTTGGAACCATAGATCTTGAGTGAATCAGTCACCCTTCAGGAATAGAACTTGGGAGATCAAGCAAGGGGCTGGCGACTGCCGGGTTGACTAGATCGAGTAAGTGTTCTCAAGAGTCCAAAAGTCTATATTTTGCTTGTTCTCCATAAATTAGAATGTCAATTGATGCCTAGGACAACCAAATCTATACATTTAGACTGCAATCCGTCCCTCCCCCACCGAAACAGTCCGCCACGCCCCCACCAATCCTTCTCGTCACAATATTAACAAAAATATAATTTGTTCTTCTCATATCCACCCTCTGAACGACCTGATAATGAAATCCCCCCCCCCCCCCCCGGCAACGCAAGGAAACACGCCAACACCGTCGACGCGGTCCCCGCTCCCGAAACCTCCCACGACAGAAAATCCCCGAGCGCAGCTGCCTGCATTCGTCCTCATTCATCTAGCATCTGTGATTCACGCATGACGGCCAGTGGGTTGCCGAGGAAGGGGGTGTTTTTGATTTTTGTCAAATAGTGCTTGGTGAAAATTAATTATAGCTGGCCTAGGCGAATTTGAGGTTGATTCCCTATGTTCTAAAGATATGTCGGGTTGGCCTTTGTTGTGGTCGGAAGGGATGTCCGATACTCTGCTCGGTTAGACGCGGCCTCGGGCTCAGACCGCCGAGCCGATAGCGGCGACCTAGTCCGCTCGGGGTCTATTGTCCGAAGGGTGCTGACGAATTTAAGCCGACGGCAGCCCTAACTAATTCGGCTGCTGCAGGAGACAAGCTTAATTCTTATAGAGTACGTAGTATCACAGTTTTAATCATTAGTACTTCTCGTGACTCCAAGGAACCACGCGGTCTGAACAGTTTCAGTTCATTACACTATATATGCTACCTATTCTTTTGCGTGGTCAAGTCAATCAAGCATGGTAATCAGCCGTACGAGGAGCCTTCTCCCCTGAGAGCTTATATAATCGAGATGTGGTGGGACCTGCCTTCCTCACAGACCACAAGCACTGCGGACTTTACAGTACATACTCCGTAGGGCGCAATGCATGTGGGTTCATCAGTTTCAATTGTTCACTCCCTTTGGCCGTTCAATTCATGATTCCCACCCAGCGCTACATGTCTCGAGCATCACCAAACAGCAATTGAGTTTAATGACTAATTTTGGCCAGTATGAGTTCCCTCGCGAGCAGCTCATTACGCCAGAATACATGCATTCTTGATTTTAACCATCTGGCAAGTAGTGGCACCCTTAGCAAGTTAGATGCGCGCAGCAGAACATGCGTCGTCTCCTGCAAGGAAGACGAGCCCGCCTTGACTGGCGTCAAGTTCTGTTCTCGACCAACCACTCCGGGATTTAGACCTACAGGACCAGCGAGAAATCCAGGGAGAGGTGGGATTTAAGACTGAGTATGATATGCTACTGCATACTCTTCAGATCACCTTCGGTGGTCCGGACACCCTCGCTACTCCAACTCGAAGACCCCTTACAACATCAAGTTGACTAACCCTTTTCTCTTTGACAGGATGTGCCAGAGCAAGCCTCAAGGCACTCATATCTATTCGATGAACATCCACATAATCATTGACAAGAAGTTCCTGCACCTCTCAGAGACCACGTGCGGATCGATCTGCCCCACCAACAAATACAAAGTGACCCTGACAACGGGAAGTGAATATCCGGCCCCTGTCCCTGTTTGGGGTCCCCGCCGACCTCTTGACGTCCACCTGCGAGCATGAAACCCTGCATCCCAACTGCTGTGAGTCATTTCACTATAGAAATATCTATCAGCAGCCCTTAAGCCTTGAAGGCCAGGCAGCTACTCACCGCCCGCCACGCCAGGTTGATAGTCCTGCACTCAGATAGCCTGCTGCCTCACGTAGCCTAGATCCATCACTCACCCACATCTCCATCACAATTCTTGATCCCCCATATCGATCTGTTGGCCAAGTTGGTGTTTTGGAACAGAATCGATACACAAAGTACTCAACCAAGTCAACTACATCTCCAAAACTCTTTCGAACCACTAAACTCATACTTCTTGCTCTTTACAGCTATCAAAAACCGGTTTACAATCTCTTGTTCCCGCGCTCTCAGCTCTACGATCTGTAGACTCTTCCTACTGTCTTCTAGCCTTCGGAAAGCAATCCTCAATATCTCCGACCCAGATTCTCTTACTATTTGGAGGATACCTACACACGAAAGACTCTACACCAAGAGCTCAACCCAACCTAACTACACTTATCAAACCGGAACCATGTCTTCACAGCCCACGTCTAGCGATAACATCACGCGTGATGTCCCTAACAACATCGCTGGTGACAATCACGATGCCTCCACCCAGACGAAGAACGAAGAACAACAAAACACCAACCCACAACACCCCAAAGAAAAGAACGCTGTCTCTGAAACCACCGTGGACGGACAACACTCCGAGAATCACAATGCCATCACAGACGATGCCACCCACCCCAATTCCCCCAAGCCGAACATGACACGAGCCAATTCAGATGAGACCATCCAGCCTACTTCTCCCGACCCCGACCCCACTCTCCCCGAGGAGATAGAGAACGGCATCAACGCAGCCCGACTGACGATGGCGCAGTTCGACCAACGCCTCACCAAACTCGAGGCTGGAGTCGAACATCTCCAGCAGCAGCTCCAGGACCAAGCCGCGCGCACCCAACAGCTGGAGGCCGAAGTCTTCCGCCTGATTCGAACCGCGGACAGTCAGAACGTGAGCATTCTTCAGATCTTCCAGCGCATCGAAGAGTGGTATTGGTTTCGCTAGTTCTGCTTAGGTTGAAGATCCAGTGGAAGCAGAGGCTTTCTAAATCCCCAGGTGGTATTGCACGGAGGAGGTTGAACACGGATCCCCAGGCTTAGTTGAAGATCTCTTGTACTTCTTGCTTATTGCCCAGCTCGATTGGATCGTTCTCATCCCTAGATCAAGATGTGCATTGTTGAATACTAAAGACTCCAGGAGCCATAGGAATATTACGTTCTGTGCTTAAAGAACAGGCAAAAGGCATGTAGATAGGCTGCTTCGTACTCGCGCTTCAGGTTATAGGTTGTCGGCTTGCCTCAGGAATCCGACCACATGAGCAATTCGCCCAGCTAGTTCACAACTTGAAGAACTTAGTTAGCTACACCTACACCACCAAGGATTTAAAATATGGTTCCATATAGCCCATCCCTGTGCATCATTTTTCTGAACATCTACATATGTACAATTCCATTTCTATGGACCGTCAAAGCAAAACTCGAAGTCTAATAATATACAAATCAAAGAACCACTGGTCATATCCTCATCTTGACCCCCATAGAGGATCCAAAATGAAACACCTCCTTCACGCTTTCTGAGGACCCTCTTCATCGGCGACAGCACCCTCAGCACCCATCGGCCTCTTCAACCCCGGGTCCCCCTTCTCCATCGCCACCACGAGCGCCCTCCGCTCCCCAATCCGCCCCAAATAGCTGACAATATGCGGATACGCCTCCAGACTATACGGCATGAAGATCCGGAACGTCGTGAGCGGGAACAGCAGCATGCAGTCCGCCGCCGTGAAGGTCTCGCCCGCGATGAACGGGTACCTGGCGAGCTGGGCCTCCATCGCCGCCAGGCTGCGGTCCAAGCGGCCCTGCATGACCTGAGTGGCCGGGGTGTCCGCGGGCAGAGCGGCCATGCGCGCGAACATAAGATCGTTGAGGGCGGGCTGGATCCCGCCGTTGGTGTGGTGGAGCCAGAAGACGTAGTCCGGGTAGTTGGGGTGGGTAGGCGGAAGACTTAATTGGCCCTGGGGGTCGTACTTGGCCAGCAGGTACTCGAAGACGGCGTTGGTCTCGCCGAGGGTGACGGTGCTACCGTCCTGGATGACGGGGGCGGTGCCGACGGGGTGCAGGGCCCGGTAGGCGGCTGGGGCGAAGGAGGTCACGGGATCCCGGTCGTAGCATTGGAGCTGGTAGGGGAGACCCAGTTCTTCGCAGAGCCAGATCACCCGGTCGGACTGGGAGAGGCGGAGGTGGTGGATGATGAGTTCGGGAGATTCGGCCATTTCAAAGACCCAGAGGATAGAGATGATTGTAAGCAGGGATGTATAGATGGAAACAAACTGCGGGAGGCGGCTAGTAAGTTAGTCTTAAATCTTAAGCTTCAAAGTCCCTGTGGCACACGGAGACTTAACGCCGGATTCGGCAATCGAGTCTTCCGAGATTCTAGAAACGCGGAACCCGGGAATTCTGAGTAAAATACGTGCGGGAAACCGTGGGCTGATTTCCGGGACCCGCTTGTGGATCCGAGAAGCTTTGAAACATAGGCGTTTGAAGACTGGGACGGGCGTATACTTCCGGCTACCAACCACCTATATGATATCATAGAATGCCCCATTCAGCTGCCGCATCTCCCGATCCCAGTAAGCCTGCTTATGAATTAGCATAGATCCAGATCGAACTGTGCTCGGATTGCATAAAGGTTCAAGTTTAGCCCAAGGAAAGTCAGAAAGGCAGAAATTGTCGAAGGACTCACCCAGTCGAACATCTCAAACGGAGAATCACCATGAACCAAGTCATCGAAGACGAGCCAAGGAGAGGAAAGCAGGCCACTCGGGGGCGTGGTCTCTTGACCTTGAGAGTCGGATGTCTTAGGGTTACTGGGGTCAGCAGCAGGCCGAGTTTCGTCTGAATCACTGTTCCACGTCAGGGGATGACCCATGCGACCGAGCATTGTCGCCAGAATCTCAGCTGCCTTGGTTATTTCTACGGGTGGCTTGGGAGTCTGTTTGAGGTTGAAGTATGTCCGATGGAGGATATGGATTAGCTCCGTGGATGCGTCGCAGGTCAACGAAGGCTGAGATAAGACGTTTGTCCTGTTGATTACCTCTAGACATATCACCATAGCCGCAGTGAGGCAATCAGACACCGAGCGGGAGGCACCAAACCACACACGCTTTCTATTACGGGGACCGTGCAGGGCCTCTTGAAACAGGAGGCACTGCTGCTCGAGAACGCAACGGGCTGCATCCACGCACGCCCCTCGAAAAGCGTCGAAGCTTGGATTTGACTCCGACGAAATAAGATACTGACGATGCAAGATGCAGCGCGAGCGCTGGTAAACTATCTCCAGGGTGCGTTGCATAATCAATTTGTCATACTCCATAGTGGGAGCGATTGAAGAACGCATACGCAGAGAACACGGGAGGCCGTTTTTCAGAGCGTCTAGTTGCTGACCTAGGCGAGCAGTGCTGTCCGGGGAGATTGGGCCTTTTGCAGCAAGGTCTGCGATCTCATTGGCTACTGAGTAGAGATCGTCGATAGCCAGCATATATACAACGTGGCTGAGTGTTTCGGTTGTGGATTGGGATGAGGGCAGGACTGACATCGTGGAGTTGAAATCGTCGTCGAGTAAGTTGCGTGGGCGAGCTGAGTTTGTGAGGCCTTGGTAGATAACTCTTGGAAGTCCTGTTTGCGAAGCAACGACGTTATCAATAACTGATAGCAACAGCCAAGCCCTGCATCGCATTTCTGCTTCGAAGGCAAGTAGAGGGGGGTGGCAGAGATGGGCGCTCTGATGATAACCCATCATGATCGCCAATCGCGAAACAACCCCGAGAAGAATCGACACACCGGTCTTCAATTCGTTGCTTTGCAGGTATTCCACTCCCAGGTATATCAACGCGGCTTCGACCTTGAACCTGCCGGGTACAGTGAGATCTGATTTCGACAGTGCGACAGCGGACTTCTCTCGAAGGACATAGAAAGTCTGCGGTATTTCGGAGTAGGCCATGATGGGATCCAGAAAATGCTCGATCCACACCCCGCAGGCTAGCACCCCATACAGTAGAGCCAGCCAGGCGGGGCTCACTGTCGCAGGTGACTGCCAAAATTGGAAACACTATAGCTTTTAGACGCACTTCGCACGGATCCATGAACGGGATTCAGAGGCATACCTGAGACTGGAAAGTTGGAACATGTATGATCACTGTAGTGGAAAGATCAGTCGAATTCTTGCAGACACATACAGAAACGTACTCAAGGATGGCTCTGAGGATTCAAGGCATGAGGCCACGAGCCTATCCGCCACTGTGCGGGAAGGCAGCGAGGCTATCAACTCGTCGATACTCACGTTCTGCGAGAGACCCGATAACAAGTGCACGGGATTGCCGCTTGATCTAATTTGAGCATGGCTGGGGTTAATCTCCAGTTTCCTTGTCTGTGTTCAAGATCAGCTCGAGATTGGGGAATGAGAACCCAGGTAACCACATACAGCGTCATCCATGAGAGCCCGCCAGTGGCTTGGATGGACAAATCGAGTCCCACTCGATTCGGACGGAAGAAGTCGGGTCACAGGACTTGAGTGTCCATCCTTGCCTATCTCAGGATTGGGCCACGTGCACTCACTATGCGGTGCCGGGTGTTCTCGAGTGACAGGGGCAGCACGCGCGTGCGCTTGAATGTAGTGACAGGAAGTGCCATGATTTCGGTTTCCACAATTCGAACAAGGGCGAGCGCGATCACATCGAAGCCTGTAATCAATTGAGTCAGACTACTGCTGACACTGCAGGTGTGTATGAGGTGCATGCATCCTTACTTCCTCTCACGGCATGAGGTACAGGACAGAAGCACTCGAGGCTTCTGGTCCCGTCGCTTCCGATCTGGCAGCGGCGATGAGGAGACTCGATTGGTCACAGTCAGGGGCCGAGACTCCATCGGGGTGCAGGATTTCAGTGGAGAGCCAATTCTCGGGGGGGGGCTTCTTGGTTGTGATGAAAAGGAGTGTGCCTGAAGAGTGGAGGGAACGTCAGAACTTCCTCAATGGAAGGCGAAGGCGGACGATTCGTAGATTGACATCACGGATTTCTCGGGTTTCACGGATTTCTCGGATTACTGGTAAAATGATCAAATCTGCCGCCGTTCCAAGTTTCGGTAACTTACCAATACAGCTGCAGTGGGTCGCCGGGAGACTCCACACGTCAATCGCCCTTTGGGCGAATAACCAACTTGCAACTCTCTGCCTTCCTCCTTTTGCTTTACTACCTAGTATACTCAAGTGTACACAGTGGCACTGGCTAGAACACCGCACTATACTCGCTTCTCTGATTTCCCCTCTTATCTGGCTGTGGAAATGGCTCACTTGTGCCGGGTGGTTCGATTGTTATCGAGACGAACGATTCAACAGTCTATATAAGGGGAAAGTAGGCCCATAGCACACTTCCTTCCCCCATTAACATACTATTCACATTACTGACTCGGCCACTTGGAACGATGACAGACTCCCAGCTCTCGAAACCACGATTCCGTGTAGTGATAGTCGGCGGGTCAATCGCAGGCCTGACCCTCGCCCACTGCCTGCTTCGACAACAGGTGGAATTCGTCGTCTTGGAGGCCCATGAGGAAATTGCACCCCAGGTTGGTGCTTCTATCGGAATCATACCAAACGGTGCGCGCATACTAGATCAGTTGGGAGTTTTCGACGACATCATAGAGGCCACAGAGCCCCTTCGCGACGCCTACTTCTGGAAAGAAAATGGCACGCTTATCACCAAGAACAACGCCCCGAAAATCATTCATGACCGGTACGTATCCTTCTTGTATATCACTACCTCAAGAGTCGCTCGCTGATCACGACTAAGACATGGCTACCCCATTGCGTTTGTGGATCGTCAAGTCGCACTGGAAGCTCTTTACAAGCATCTTGGACAATCGCAAGCTCATGTATTCACTGGGAAAAAAGCCGTCCAAGTCGAACATCTTGCCGATGGAGTGAAGGTTCACTGCGCCGACCAGTCGGTCTATGAGGGTGATCTTGTTGTCGGGGCTGACGGGGTAAGAAGCACAGTGCGACGGCAGATGTGGGACTACATGGAGTCAATTGGGCTGAAGAAGGAGGCGCTGAAGGAAAGAGAAAGTGGGTTGCTTTCTTTCATATTCCATACCAACGCAGTGCTGTCATACTGATTCTTCTCATTTCTTGCTCACAGCAATGACGTCTGAGTACAGCTGTGTGTTTGGCATCTCGATATCGACTCCAGGGTTAATCCCGGGAACCAGTCACCGAACTTTCGGCGAGGGGTGGTCGGCCCTAACTATTGTCGGAAAGGAGGGTCGAGTGTTCTGGTTCCTTTTCAAAAAGTTGGACCAGGAATACTCTGCCTCGCACATACCACGCTTTGATCAAACCATGATAGACCAATATGTCGACCCCTACCTACAGAAGCCGATCACTGATAATGTACCTTTTGCTGAGGTATACAAGAGGGCAATAACTCGGACTTTGTTGCCATTGGAAGAGGCCTCCTATAGCCGCTGGGCCATCGACCGGTGGGTTTGTATCGGAGATGCAGCGCATAAGGTATGCTCTTGGACAGAGTAAAGGATAGAAAAGCCCTAACTGCGCGTGACTGACATGCCCTAACAGATGACCCCGAACTTGGGTCAGGGTGGTAACAGCGCAATTGAAAGTGCAGCCGCGCTTGCCAATAGTCTTGCTAGCTTGCTCCAAGCCTCCCATGAGTCGAGTGCCGCTATAGAGGAGCTGAATTACTGCTTGCAATCTTGGCAAGAAAAGCGGCGACCTCGCGTGCAAGCCATCTTCAAATCAGCCCACAGCCTCACGCGATTGGAGGCGCTCAATACACTCAAGGACAAGGCTATAGCACACTACCTCATGCCACATCTCGAGCACTACTTGGTTGACAAATCATCTCGAACTTTCGTTGGGGCGACGAAGATTGACTACCTACCGCCACCGGCCAAGTCACTGTCGGGTACGATGCCATTTACTGACTGTCGATCCTTGCCGGACCCTAGAATACGGGAACGGGCGCTTTGGACGCTGCCACTTTTGGGCATCTTCGCCATCAGTAAGACAGCTGTGGAACCAATGCTCTCGCTCGTTAGATCCCGTCTGGTTCCGATGTTGAATAATGGAACCTGGACTGCTGCGAGTGGCGAGGTTCTGGATCTAAACACATCTCTTTATCGTAACCGCTTCTTTGACAAGCTGATGAGGCCGCTGATTACTTGTTTCCTACCTTCAATCACCGGGACTGACCCGCACTCACGCATCCAGATGTTATCGTTTATGACGGACCTGGGACCAGTCTATGGAATCTGGTTGCTGGAGAGTTACCGCAATGCGCACTCGTGGCACCATGTAATTCTGTGAGTTCTCCGCATACCAAACGATGTGAGAACCTGACTCATTTGACCAACGCAAACAGGCCCATGGCAGCAGGTAGCATATTCCAGCTGGTGGGCATCTGGAAGGTTGCCCCTCTCTATCTCGCAGCGGAGTACTTCCGCACGCCTCTGTCCACACTGCTCGCAGGCGAGAACAGAAAGATAACCTGTGGCCTCACCTTATCTCTGGTTCTCTCCACCCTGGCAGGATACCACTCCATCACATATGCAAATTTCTTCGCCCCAACCCTCAAGTTGCGCCAGTGGTACAATGCTCTTTGGCAGGCTTTCCCGCTGACCACTCCCCTCCTTCAGGGCGCCATCCTGCTTGCGGGCCGCGTGCTCAGCAGACCGTCCCCGAAGTCACGGGATGTCCAGCATAAGCCACAGAGAAACGAACTGCAATACATTCGGTGGGCAAGCGGTACATTCGCCCTGGTTTCCGGGCTCACCTTTATTTACGGCCGGATGACTGCCCCACGGGATACTTCCTTCAGTAGCATCTTCATACCTGGTCTGCGAGATACCTCGGTCCCAGTGACGTCGTTCAGTGCCTGCATCGCGCGCTTCTTGAAGTATGATGAGCTCATCTCAATGACGAGTGGGTTTGTATGGCTGGCGCTGCGCTTCCGCGAGTTGAAGCAGGCCGGAGCTCACTTTTCCTGGTGGAGAGCCTGTGGGGCATTCGTAGGGTCACTGTTTACTTTTGGACCTGGAGCGACATTTGCACTGGGCTGGGGTTGGCGCGAGGAGCTATTGTATCAAGCGGCTGGAGAATCGTAAAGTCTGTCACTGAAGAAAAAAGCACCAGTTCGAATTTAGGGTTTATCGGACCGTACGCCATGCCTCGCATGCCTGCCAAAGAACTTACCCCTTCTTCGTCTTCCCTTGTTGAAGGAATGTGTGATGCCGTCGCGGTTCATCTTTAATACTAAAAAAGTGAGCAGAGATAGCTTGACTTAGCTTGAATTCAACCATCATTTATCCAAGCCCCTGACACAATATGAGCTTCTCCATCTTGCTTGTCCTCACCAAGCGCGTAATTTCGACAATATCATGGAATAACATTCAGCGCTGACTGTCGTCTTGTGCTTCAACGCGGACACTATCTACCCGAGTTGAAGGCTGTAGTGGGAGTTCAACTATGATCCTCCGGGATCACCTGACGTGTTGACATCATGCTCAGGACATAGTTTCTCCTTCCTTCACTTGCAATTCACTTCCTCGAACCCATAGCTCAAGATCATTCAGCCTGCTTTTGCTTCTACCTCTCTCTCTCTTCTTTTCTAGCGACCTATTTATCTGTCTATATATCTGTCTTTCTCCAATTTGACATGCCACCACCGAAGTCTTGGATGCTGCCCTCGCTCGTGCGCGAGGATATCACTCTCGATGGCCCAGAGGGGCCAACCCACCTTGAAATCGTGGAGGGACTGGATGAGGCCGCTGCTGAGATGGACCAGGAAGAGAGCAACCGAGTGGGCGTTAGGCCCAATGTACTCATCGCGCTGCTCTGCAGGGACACTGCCTCCGGCAAGCCAGCCGTGATGCAAATGTACGTCCAGATCCCGTTGATGGGCACAGAGTAGCTGCCACCAAGCCAACGAGCTTCTCAGGCCGTCGCTGTCGTTCCTCCCTGTGCCAGGAGATGCTTGGACACGCACGGCAAACTCCGCGATATACATTGCGACCACGTCCCGGCACTGATCGGATCCGTTCAGACCACGCAGGGCCGCGGGGGCTGGATGCCCCGAGGGTACATGCTTTACATCGCCCTGACAACTGTCCGTGAAGAGAGAGGAGGCATGGTTCCGCTATCGACCGGTGTGGTTGGCAAGGGGGCGTTTTACGAAATGCCACCGGGAGAGCTGCCTTTACGTGAGTTTGCTCTTCCGAGAGGGGAGAAGGGATTCTGCATTCTTTTGATACTGAAAAGTGATAGCTCCTTTGCCCAGCACCAGATCATGCCATCGACGATGTGGATGCCCAGTCGGCTGTTCTGGGATCCGGGAAAACAGAATATGTACAGTACCCTATCCATGCTCTCTTCTTATCTCCAGTTCTGCCTTCGCTGATGCGGACCTCTAGCTTTTCTGTAGGCGACTTCAAGCGGACCGAGACAGAATGGGAGTGGGACAATGAAGAATTTCGACGATGGAGAATCTCAAGAGGAATCTTACGAAGAAGCCATGCGCTGGCGGCAGAGATACACCCGCTAGTTGAGCTCTCACGAGCCCCTTCGATCAACCCCCTGACAAAACAAGAATACTATTTCCGCAATCACGACTGCTACCAACTTTCCAAATCCCATTTGCCTGTAGGCCTACTGAGGGATTCCTCGCTTTCCCCAGTGCCCTTGGGGGCCACACCGACGTGGTTCATATGCCCGAGTAAGCGTGTATTGAGCATGAATTCGACAATGTAGCGGGCTGCCGGCGGGTGTGCCACCGATGGATCGTAGTCAGTCCGCTCGCTGAATTGCAGCTCTCTCCCCTGTTCCCCAGCCTCCGCGGTCAACGTGGGCATGGTCCCGCGACTTGCCGTACATCGCGTGCACCTCGTACAGGATATGCTTCGGTGGATGGAAAGCGGGCGTGTTCGCACGTACCTGTACCCCTCCCCTGTCTTGTGTGCCTTGGGTCTTCTGCAGGAAGTGGGTAAGCCCAATCCTCTCACTCCGCAGCTGTAGAATCACCGCGTCGTACGCCTTGGGTGACGCCTTATTCGTACAGTACAACAACTCCGGTTTCCGGTGTATGGTGCTCGCATCCAAGCAGATGACAACGGTCAGCGCCGGATCTCCTTCCCTGTTATTCTGGAGTTACGCGCCTATATGAGGAAGAACAAGATGCAAGAAACACGTTCCAGCACCTTGCGTCTGAGACCTCAATATCGCCGATGATAAACAAGCTACTTGAGTCGTCTATCGACAAAGTCCCGATGACACTCCGGAGGCTCCAGATGTTCGGTGTTATAGTTGAAACGGTTACAATGTTCCTGGCAGATCTCGCGCCACCACACATCGTCTCGATCATGCCAATCTTCCTTGCATGATGGTACTGAGCTGATTTCGCTCATCTCGTCAAGTTGCCTTATTTTCACCGCCCATTCATCATGGGATGACTCGGCGATTGACCAGAGGTCAACCGAACTCTTGGTTTGGGATAGTGCTCCGTGATCAAGGATCTGTGATCCGAGGAGGGGGTATTCGGTCGAGGGTAAGATGGGGTGTGAAGACGAGTATTAGGGCGAATATGACGAGGAGTGTAACGTGGAGTGTGAGTTGAAGCGTGAAGTGGAGTGTCATTCCTCCCTCCTGCATTTCCGGAATGTTGGCCTGCATGTCCTGGACGGTGATCTTTGGGCACGTGGACTTTCGACCGGGTGTTGCCTTCGGGGTCGTTTGAAGACGAAGAAAGCCATCCATCGAGCAACCATGATCAGATACAGCCCTTGTCCCCGTGCAGTCATTTAAGACTCTCACTCAGAAACAAACGCAATACTAATAATCCTCTTCAATTGCTAAAGTTGAGCTAATTTCGCTCATGTTGTCAATGATGATGATTCCGTTCCAGAAACCGAGCAAGGCATTTTTTCCCTCGAGAAATCCTTCTTCTGGGATACTTGGTCCCATAGATTTGCAGTCCAGTCTGTTTAAGGCAGTTGCAGCGGCATTCGGGGGGTTCAAGGTGTTCCGTGTTGTAGTTAAACCTGTTCCATTCTTTCTGGCACGCCTCCCTCCACCAGACATCCTCATCCTGATGCCAACCAATTCTCTTCGATCGCCGGAATCGAGCGAATCTCGCTGAGGTTGTCGAGTGGCTTCAGCAGCTCATCGGTGGATAATTCACTTATGGAATCCGCCGAGTTCTTGCCTGCCGACATCCCCGCAGTCCGATCTGCAAAATGTAGTCGGGGAGGCTATAATACACCCGGGACTCGTAGCTAGCTTTGCAGCACAGCTTCTTTCTAGGGCCGCTCAGGTTGTCGAGGTCATTCTATTCCCGCGTGAGGGAATGTTTCGAGGCTCGTGATAGACCCGATCTCGCTGTCGGTATTTCGTCTCGGTTGTCTCAAAGTTCCCTATAACGAAGCCAAAGAAGAGACCACGTTAGCAAAGCACTATCCACCAGCGGCTGGGGTCGGTACGCTTGTAGTCACGCTGCCACTCAGGCGGCTCCAGATGCTCGGTGTCATAGCACGGGGAAACAAGAGCTCGACGACGACGGCATCTCCATACCACTGGAATGATGGCCTCAAGGTGATACAATTTCAGCAAGGTTAGACGTGCGTTCAAGATGTATGGTCAAGGATCAAGGAAGCCCGGAAGGGAGGGAGTGAAGAGCAAAGGCAACAACAACAACAACAACAACAACAACAACAACAACAACAACAACAACATCACTTACCTACTCGGCAAGGCAAGCGGAACCACCTCCTCCCCTCGTTCCTTCCACCTCGGTATACAGTAAGTATACGCAAAGACAATTCAGAATGTCAACATTGCCACAGGGATATACTAGACGTATTGAACGTATACAGAGGGCACAATTACAGACACGATTGGAAGAAATCAGAAGTCCGGAGTCGAGAGGCTTCTCAAACTGTAGAAGGAAGTGGTTGAAAGGGAGATTTAGGAAAGGAAGGTCGAGAGAGAAAGATTAAGATAACAAAGTTGAGTTGTGAGAGACCGAATGTGAAGACACTGGATGGAATCAGCACCAGTAAATATACTGTTTGAATTCACCGCGGGTCGGAGCATTGACTACTTCACTATTAATGGGTTGTCAGTATGTCTATTGTAGATATTGGAAATTCACCATTCACAAAACAAATCAATTTATCTAAGAATAAGTTTGTATTGACTAATCTGAAAAGAAGGCTATCTCCATCGTCTGTCGACAAAGTCACGGCGACATTCGGAGGGTTCAAGGTGTTCTGTATCATAATTAAAACGGTTCCACTCTTTCTGGCATATCTCGCGCCACCAGACATCTTCCCCATCATGCCAGTCCTCCTTGTAACTTGCTATCGAACTGATCTCACTCAGTTCATCCAGCTGCCTTAGCAGCTCATCAGTCGATGATTCACTAAAGGAGTCCGAGTTTGTGGTTGTGAACACCCCTGCAGTCCAATCTGTCTTGCAATTGTGATGTATCAAGGTCAAGCTGCTCTCTGATTCATGCTCCGCCTGCATATCCTGGGCCTGTTCATGTGCCTTCATCGGCTGGATTTCCGCCTGTGTCTGAATCCTCTCCATCTCGGCCTGCAAGTTCTGAGCCTGTTTATGTGCCTTCATCTTCTGAATCTCCACCTGCATGTTCTGAGCCTGTTCATGTGCCTTCATCTTCTGAATCTCCATCTGCATATCCTGGGCGTGTTTCTGTGCCTTCATCTTCTGAGTCTCCACCTGCATATCCTGGGCGTGTTCCTGTGCCTTCATCTTCTGAATATCGGCGTGCATATCCTGGACGTTGGTTTGTATGTTGCTGACGACTTTCTGCAACCCATAGACAACTGCCTGCATGTCCTGAACCTGTTCGTGTGCCTTCATCTTCTGAATGTCCGCCTGCACCTTCATCTTCTGAATCTCTACCTGCATATCCTGGGCGTGTTTCTGTGCCTTCATCTCCTGAATATCGGCGTGCATGTCTTGGACGTTGGTTTGTATGCTGATGACGATCTCCTGCAATCCATAGACAACTGTCTGCATGTCCTCAACCTGTTTCTGTGCCAGAATCTTCTGAATGTCCGCCTGCATTTCCTGGGCCTGTTCCTGTGCCTTCATCTGCTGAATTTCCGCCTGTGTCTGCATCTTCTCCATCTCGGCCTGCATAACCTGAGCCTGTTCATGTGCCTTCATCTTCTGGATGTCTGCCTGTGCCTTCATCTTCTGCACCTCTGCCTGCGTCTCCCGAAGGTTGGTCTGGAAGCCCTGCACTTGTTCCTTGAGCTTCTGAGTGTCGTTCTGCAGGTTCTGAGTGTGTGCGCTGGTCATTTGAACATCGGTCTGCATATCCTGAACAGCAGTCTGTATGCCGAAGACGACTTCCTGCGACTCATAGACAACTGCTTGCATGTCCTGGACCTGTTCCTGAGCCAGAATCTTCTGAATGTCTGCCTGTGCCTTCATCATCTGAATGTCTGCCTTCGTTTTCAGCTTCCAGCTCTCGAGGGCTGGTTTTCCGGTTCTGAGTCCTATGGACCCGATGGGGTTGACCACGAACATGGTGTCGTAAGGTGAAGACTGAGAGTAGTGTGAGGATGGTTGAAGAAGAGAAGTTGACGTTGGAAATCGACGGGGGGGGACGGGGGGATATGGTCGTCGACCTGCTCCATGGCTGCGTTGACACTGAAGGAAGGAGCACGGCGGGTGAGTAGATACTTAGGGCAAGTACGCGTAGGAGGAGGACGAGGAGGAATAAGGTGGAGGAAGGCGAAGGAGGACGGCGAAGGGAAATACAGCAACAGAGGGAAGGCGCCGGGGAACCGCCGGGACAGTACGCAGTACACCATACTGCAACACCAAGTGGCTGTCCGTAGAGAAGATCGAGGAGAATGGGTCGTCAAGAAGTAGTAGTTGTCGAGGAGGATGAGCCCTCAAGGAGCACGAGCGAAGATGGAGAAAGAATTAGGGCTGAGATGCCCTGTAGAGTGGAGTATGACGGGTGCGGAGGTGTCAAGTGGAGCGCTGTCCCACGGAGAACAATCGAGGGTATTGACTTGAGGTCTATTGAGGATGAGCCACTATTGAACAATGCAGAGCAGCATAGGTATACGCAGGTCATAGTGGGTAAGCTGTAATAGTCCGATGTCGATGGGATGGTAGATGGACAGGTGTAGCCACCCTTTGTAGCCTATTTATCTTTCTCGAAGACCCTTGTTTAATGTCTTCGCAAGGCAGATATATCAGACAGCCTGCCCAAAACTTGAGCCAATGGATGCGAGAGCAAGTTCCAGCTGTCATTCTCGATGACCCTGTGATAACGTCTCCGTAATGTAAACGCTAGACAGCCGGATTAAAGGTACAGTGCATCAATATGAAAGCAAGTGGACACTCAGGGTTACCATCCCAGCTGTAGCGCGTAAGAATTTCCGAGAGAGGTCTTTCGGAAGCTCCCATATCCACTGCCTGTAATGGACCCCTTTCGCAGTTCCGGATCACCTACGTAGTGCATGATGTGACAAAGGAATCATAGACAAGTCCGCATATACCCCAGCAAGGGAACCAGTCTGTAGTACTTTCAGATAGAATTTGAGCGTCAAGCGTATAGTAGAGACTCCGAGTCGCGTCCCACTCAGACCCCCCATCCCAGCCCGCGACAATACACCACGACGCAGCATACATCTATCACCCAAAACCAACCAAAGCACGATGGACAACCAGAGTCCCTCATATGACTACCCTGCACCGCAACAACAGACCAGACCCCAGCTGCTAGAAGACCGTGCGCAACAGCCCTCTCAGTACGTCAAACCACTTTTGATCATGTCTACCGCCGTCACTACCTCACATACAGCAAGTCCACCGGCAATCCCCGCGACACAACCAGTACCTCAACCCATTCAAGGCACGCAGTCTTGCGCTTCCACTGCTACTGACTTCGCTCTATGTAGAGGCATTACTCGCTCCTACAGTCCCCACCTCCGCTCCTACAAATACCCAATCCCCTCCGCTCAACCGCACCGCACGCGCAGCAGATCGCCCACCCCACCCACCCTCGACCGACGCTCTCCAGCTGACCCAGACATCCCCAATACTACACCTCCATCACTCAGTCGCAGAAAACGCCTCTCCTCATCCGTAAGCCCTACATACTCTGCACGAGCAGTTCTCCGTGATTGACACCCTTTTCTCCCGTGAGCTGATAGCCAATGCTACCTGGTATCAACGTCGGAACTGCCCGCATGTACTGTCAGATACAGACTGGTTTGCGGACTCTGGGTGGATTGCTTCTCAATGGACTTTTGTCTTGCATCGTCTGGATCCTTTCTGGCGACAAGCTACTTTCCTAACGCTCCTCTGTTTTCTTTATTTCTTCCATAGCTATAGAGGTTGGTGCTGACATCGATCGACTGGATGCTACGCAGCCTGGTTCTGCCACAATGTTCCGCCCTCCGGCGTGGCGCGTCGTCGAAGAGACGCGGCCTTGGGGCAGCAGTCAATCCAACAATCCCATTATGCCACAGTATTCCTTCATCGTACATGACAATGGTAGCTATCGACACCAAATAAAACGATTCTATTGACAAAAAGTCCTCGTATTTTTGTATTATCCAAGATCATACCACCACATGCAAGGTATGAATGCTAGGTACGGTATATCAACTCAAACTTTCCACAAAGTCGATCAAACTGTCCACCCAACCAACTCAAATGCATACATACTCAGGGCTTCGAATCAAGACCCAGAACAGAATCATGGTATCAGTATCATAACCGCGCGGGGAGGGAGCCCCACGCATGCTCTATCAGATTGGGTTGAGGAGGCCGTCGGCATCTCCACGCACACAAGGAAATTCAAAGAGAAAGAAGTTGAATAGGGGTATAAAGCCGTAAGAAACAGGAAAACAAAAAAAGGGCCTAGACAAGGGGGTGTTTTTTTATGCGTGGACGGCTTGCTCGGGAGAGCTGGGAGGTAGTTTTGGAGGTGGTGGTTGCTCGTCAATGGCAGCGCTACTACCGGCTTTTGGAGACATGGGCTCGTCGATGACACTCATAGGCGCTTCTTGAGTAGCGGTGGAAATAGAGACTTCCGACATCTTGGCACTCGAATTGGCAACATCATCGCTCTCGCCCTTCTGTTCTTCAGGAAAAAGAGTCTCAGAGGCCTCCTTGAACTCCTCCGTCTCGTCATAGAAGTGAACACTTTCGCGCGCTCCAGGGCTGGTACTCCGCAAAGAGTGCGGGTAGCGTGGATGTAGGTTGGTTTCGGAGGTAATCGACTCGCCACCGCTGCCAATAGCTGGGTCTGATACTCGCGGCTCGTCCGATGGGGTGGGTTTTCGCAACTTCAAGCGCTCCTCCGGCGGCATATTCTGCCATTCGCTCCCGAAGGTGACGATCGAGGCCTTCTTGCCGTGTACTGTGAAGCTGGCGGACTTTCGCGACAGTCCTTCACCATCATGCGTACCTTGCGCATCCTCGAGCGCAGCCAAGCTGGATGCTGAGTCGCGGGCTTTCTTGCTTCGTGGATGGTTTCCGGGTACGCTCGGCGCATCGCGAAGGGTGCGGTGAAGACTGCGTCGGATCCGACTTGAGCGATCGATCGAGGGCCTAGGTTGCGCGTCCTCGTGCTTCGATTCAGTTTCGGTATCCTTAGAGGCAAGGGACGGCCTTCGCGAGGCTTCTAGGAGACCAGTTTCTCGTAGGATGCGCTCTTCCCCTTCGTCGAAGCTATTGGGCACGGTGAGCTTAGATGCGTGGGACCCGAGGCTCGCAACATCCATTCTGCTGGCGGCGCTAAGAACAGAAATCTCCCGAGTGAGTCGGCTCGCACGATCAGGGGAGCTTGACATGGCACGCTCCTTGGCAGCGTCGACAGAAAGACGCCTACTAGCGCGATCAGGCTGATCAAACGAAGCGAAGGATGCCGGAATACTCGGCCTTCTCACATCCGCCGAGGCAGGGTGCGACGGTGGCTGGGAGATGGAAGGTGGTTTTGCAGAGCTTGGATGTGGAGAAGCTTCCCGAATGGGGGAGGTGACTTTGATGGTCTCGGCTTCCTCGTACGGTCCCTCGACGGTACTGCTAGCGCTCGGGGCAGGGATCTGCAGCTGAAGGCCTTTTGGTTCAGTGGTGGGCGGAGCCTCTTTCACTTCCTCACCCAAGTCTCGAACAAGCACCTCCCGGTAGCACCGGGTGCGCCATATGTCCTGTCTCACCCATTTGAGCTTAGCGGCCATGCGACCAGCCGCCATGATGACCTGCTCGCGGGCCCTTGAGTTCACGGGAGTCAGCACCTGTAAATGCCGCGCGTTCCGCAGTAAATCATCGAGCTGCCTCTGGCTGACGAATAATTTCTCATTGGCCTCTCGAATTTTGTGACGCATCAACTGAGCCTGTAATGCGAGCAAGTCCTCGCCCATATCGGCCGCAGGATTTGGGGATGGTGGTTCCTTCTCTGTCAAAGACGCAGTAGAGCCACTGCGACTCATGCGATTGCGCTGTGCCTCGTAGTTAGTTGCTATCATCCCTTTGCTTGGGACACCAGTGGTCTTGAACGCGGCCGCATAGTTAAGTTTCGCCAGCCAATCATTCATATCAGCTTCCGAGTTGGCCAGAAAGACCTCTTCGAGAGCGTTGGAGCGGACATAGACGAACGCATTCTTGTGCTTTTTGTAACTAGAGTCAAGCAGAGCGACAGCATCTTCTGTTGGCATCATGCCATCAGGTTTAAAGTCGGTCAGAGGGGGCTTGAAGGTAACGGCCCGACGGCGACCTTCCTTGACGTGTGACTCGTGTTGATGAATCAAAGATTTAACCCAGTTGACGTCCCGGAAAAAGTACAATTTCGAGAAGGTAAGAAGAGCGCCCCATTCCTGCCACGGAGATCGGGCTTTTTTCTTCTTTGGGTCTTTGCGCCATAGCAAACCGACCTTTGCCACTTTGATGTCGACTAGACCTGGGCTCGAGTCAATCGGGTTCTCCATACTAGACGGCATAAAAGCGTCGGGGCGGGATCGGGCGGAGACGATCTGCAGGACCGCAGATTTTGAGAATGCTCGATGGAGGCCTTCAATGTCAGGGGGTCCTTCCGTGCCATCACAATGGTAAGTATCGTCGAGGTTCATGACATCCTTCAGGCTTGGGCGAAGGGAATCGAGCTTATTGTCCATGATTAAAGTATAAGGATCTACTGGCTCTTTACCCAGGTGATCGGAGCTGGCGGTCCTGAACAGCGTTCGTCGGGGCTTTGCAAGATGACGTCCATTAGGGTTGGTGTCCTCGATATGGATAAAGGGGGTATAAGAGATGTTCTCGTAGAAACATTCAAGGATGTCTTCTGATATACCTTCCCCTCGAGTGTTCCTCACATAATCCGGCTTCTGCATTTTGCGCTTGTTGTTCTTGTTGAAAACATCGGTGTGCAGAATTAGGATCGAGAACGCGATGAAGTACGCCTGGTCTACAGTTTTCTGAAGTCAGCTCAGTTCAAAGCAGGGCATCAAAGATAGTACCTGGATTTGCGAAGATACCGGGATTGCATTCGTGGTATCGATCCGCAAAGCTCTGGAGGAATCGGTCAATCTGCTGCGTCTCCTTCGGCAATTCCACCTCCATCAATAGCTTTCGAATGGCCATGTCAATTGGGTCGCCGAAAAACGAAAATCCTCGCATGTACTTGCGTAATGCGGTTTTGTGAAAGTCGTCATTTGCTTGTGAGAGCACACTGGCAATGGCGCTTTTCGAAATAGCAGCTTCCAGACGCTCTATGTACGTGGCTGGCGTGTCATCCTCCTGTCTGGCCGGGTATGATGGCGTCTTCGAGACAGGAGTGTCTGCGCCTCGGGCAGCAGGCGACCCGCTGCGAGGATAAGGTGGTTCAGAATTCTGTCGGAGTCGTTGGGGGATGTTGAAAATATCACCAAAGCTTTTGCGCCCGCTAGTCGAGGTTGACGTACGTCCGGAAGGGGTGAGATGAGGCGATGCCTGCTGCTCACTGGAACGTATGTTCGCCAAGGAGTCCAACGTTGACGAACGCGCGCGAGTAGTCAAGGGGTTTCGGTTCCTGGTCGAGGGGGTTGAGCGAGCGGAGTGGGTCGAATTAGCGGAGTCATTCCTCAGAAGGGGCGGTCGGGGGGACGCGACGCCTGTGGAGCGAGAAGGAGACGGTAACGGGGAGATGTTGTCTTGGTCTTGCGCATCTGGTGTAGTTGGCTTGGGGCCTGTTTGACCATTCAAGGATTTAGGAGTGCGACCGTTCATCGATTGTGACGCAGTGGGTCTGGGCGGTAGGGGGAACAGAGGATTGCGATTTCTTTTCAAGCGTGGCATACGGAATCGTTTCGCGCTGGATATTGAGCCCTCATTGGAGGGTACTGGGCGGGCAGCTCCGTGATCACCAGAGCTCTGGTCCGAACGAGAAGACTCGGAGAACCGCACGTCAACCACCGAAGACCGATTAGACTCAGCCAGATGATCCCGCGCGTTACTTCGAATGGATGTAGTCGATAAACGGCCTGGCTCCTCACCGCTCACACGATAAACCGAGCGACTGGTCTCCGCGGTTTGTGATCCTGTCGAAGACTGGGTGACATATCGAGGTCTTCCATGGAGGCTACCCTGATCAAGAGGGAGTTCATCCGTGGAGGCCTTCTTGTTATCCGGGAAGAATTTAAACTTCGTCTTGCGCTTTACCGGCTCATCGATTTCATGGCCCGTCGGAGCAGTCGTGATAATAGTGGGAGCTAAGAAAGAGACCCCGGACGAGCGGTTAGAGGGAGCTCGTAGTCAGAGCGATAGCAAGAATGACTCACGCGGAAGTTCAGGCACAGGAGGTATATCTTTCTCTCCTTTGGCATAAGACTTGGACAGCTGAGGATCCGACGCATGGCGGAGTCTCATGAAGCTGAACCGGTTTATGCGCCAATTGGGACCGCTTCCCGGCAAGAGTGGATGACCCGTATTTCTCGGTCTCGGGCTTGCGTCATCGGTGCGACTGCGTGTTCCTGTAAGACCATTGTTGCCCTGTCCTTCGTTCGCCTGTTCGTCGAATTCTGGGCCGGCCAGAGAGGGTGAGCGAGGGGCCGACTCGGAGCGTCTTGGGTTGAGTGCGGTCGTGGAGAGTGTGGGACGTGGTATTTGCTCGCTATGGCGGGATTGTGCGTTTGGCTCGAACAAGTAGCTCCGTCGCTTGGCTTCATTGCTATCCGAAGAACCGATCCGTAACCCCTTCCAGTGCATAGTGAGCGTGTTTCCGGCGGAGGTTTCTTTGGGTAATCCTGCAGCGCAACCTATCCAAGAGACCCATTCGATTGTGTATGAAGCTCTGATCACTGATTTCACCGCGCAGAATGTACGAGACCCTATGAGACTGGGGCTGCAGGAACCTGTCGATGGTAGGGATACTGTGCGAAGACGTCACTGCGGATCAGGCCGATTTGCATCGCGATCGCCTCGAAAGGGGAATATCAAGCCGGGCGACAGTGCAAGGACTAGGGGGAAGTCGTTGGGCAGCGAATAGCGAGGCCGTAAAAAGGGGGGGGGGAGGGGAGAGAGAGGGAGGGAGGAAAGGAGGCGGCGGGCAAAGTCGATCACCGATGCAGAAATTCCCGTTTCAAAGTCAAAACCATCGAAGCTCCCGGTAGGAGCTGTTACATCGCCAGGTGGGTGTGCGATTTCACAATGTATCGAGGAATCGCGACGAGGAATTGAAGTAACGCAGCGGGCGATCGGCCAGAGACGGAGAGAGAGGTGTGATGGTTGTCGTTGTTGTTGTGTCAGGGCTTGTGCTGACGCTGGTGCTGATGCTGGTGCTGGTGGTAAAGAAAGTTTGGCAGGCAAACAGGAGGGGCAAAGAAAAGCAAGTAAACTTTTGAGGGGTGTTCGAGGGGAAGTGTTCAACAGGGACTGCTGGTGTGAGAATTAAGAGGAAAGGAAGAAGGTATTAAGCAAGGAATGATAAGAAAGAGAAAAGCGACTAAGAGACGGTGTGGGGGGGAGGGAATATGAGAAAAGGCCGAGACGAAGGGGGAGGGGGAAGAGGGTGGTTGGCGAGGTAAGGATAAAGCTGGCGATGCTGACGACGGGCGGCGGAAATAGTGGAGGACTGGAGGGAGTGTGGGTGTGGACGGATGGATGGCCTAGGAGCCTGAGGAAGGAGGCCCGCCGAGAACAGGATTCCCAGAAGAGTGACTAGTCTTGTTGGTTGGCTGTTCCTAAAGGACTACCGGGCCGAGATTCACACGTGCGGGTAGGTACGGTAAGATGGTAAGGTAGTTAAGTAGTACAGTAGTAGTACAGCAGTAGCTATAGAATTAATCTACTAGCACACCACAGGGCTGGCTCGTTCAGCTAGCTGGTTAGCTCCCATTCTCAGCCCCTGTATGATTCCTCTTCCCTGATCCGGCACTTGTCTGCTTCTGCATCTGCCTTTTTCCAAACCGTGTAGATATTGTGCTGTGTACTGAGACTGTGTATAGTGTCGATAATATGTCTCATCTGAAGCACGGGTGAAACTGCCCGTGGTCCCAAGATTGTTTCTATCTTTATCAATGAGCCAGCAACCCTGACAGTTCTGGCGTGCATTATTCTTATAAAGTGCTTGTCTATCACCCATCCAAATATAGAGAAACGCGGGTGCTTGGATGGATCTGGTAGAAATTGCACTCTGCCCTAGTTTCTCCCCTAGCCAGGATGATACCCTTGGCCCCTTTTCTTCCCTCGAAATAGCCCGTCTCTACCTACCTAAAGACTCAACCATGCCAAATATATCTTAAGACAGATTATTTATCCTAACTTTCAATCAATTGCTGACTAAATATAGACAACGAAATGGGTAACAGCTGAACATACATTTGATTACTAGTATCTGTATACTTGTCACCGGGCATTGTGCACAAAACTGTAATGTAGAGTATGTACTCCGTACACGCAACACGCAACCCGCAAGGCCCAAGCCTATACCCACTCACGTGATCAATGTTCTGGCCACGTCAGGCGCCCCAACTGTCGTCATCTGTCCCTATCCCCCTTGTGTCCCCTTCACTCATTTGTTCATGGCTTGTATGCATCCATCTCCCTTCCACCCCTGCCCATGCCCACCAAGTGACCTTGTTCTCTGGTGAAGTCTTGGGAAAAAGTCTCTTACCCACACTCTCCGCGCACTCTCCCCACCATCCACTCATGTCAAGAATCAGTGTGGTCTTTAGAGCCTTGGGGAGACGTTGTACCGGCACATTCCAATTGGGCAATTGCGGGTCCCCTTCCCTTCTCCCTTCCAACCGCAAATGGATGGAGGATAATTGGGGAAGTTGGATGACTGCGGGCTAAGTAAGTAGGGCCTGGCCAGCCGCCCCTTCCTCGCGAACCAAGGGCCACGAAAGGAACCGAATCCACCACACCAAATTCGTCCCCTTCATATCGGTCTCGAAGGGTTAGCTATGCAATGTAAGTTATATCAAGTCAACCGTTCGGCCTACTGGGGCTTCCGCATGCGAGATAGTGTCAAGCATTAGGCTTGGCAAGAACTCATCTTGGGGTTTCCGTTTGTCATTGACGGGGATACCGATACGTAAGACGGAAGTGACTACCGCTCAGCTGCCAGGATCAGTGTTTCGTGGGGTGGGGGCTAGACCCAAGATGCTTTCGGAATGCGGCCATCCTATCCTATTCCATTCACAGTTCACTCATGTGCATCTCAGAGATGTAAGATAAAGAAAGCGACGGTCGCATTTCGAAGGAGGAAATATCATGCGATTTTGGGGGAATCTGATGTACGTCGATGCCGGCCGCTGCCGTTACAGCGATATATAAATTCGAGAGATTAGCAAGAAACGAAGAGCAACAATCCAAATATAGAATGATTGAACAGTCAAATGTAAGCCACCAACAAGATATTTGATGTTCCCGGGGCGTCGAGCGACCGTCTTTTGATAAGGTGTTCTACACCCTGTTCTAGAAGAAACGACTTGATTTCTCCATGGGTGGTGCATGCAGGCCGCGACCGGCCGCAGCGAACCTGCAGGGTCCGGGGAAACTCCATGAAAATGCCCTCCACCGCCATTGAGATGCTTCTATCTTCTTTCACCGGAGGCAAGGGACTTCTGATTATCCTTGATTTGCTTTTATAATTGACCGCACAGGAAGGCCACGGCAAACAAGAACGAGACCACGTTACTCCATGAGATGAGTGTTGCAAGGTAGGACGAACTTATATAACAATAGTCTGTCATGCATGCCATCGAACCACCTGGGTTTGTTGCTCGCATATAGCCTGTCGTTGTTCATTTGCTCATTTGTTGTTCCACCTGATAAGGAGGATGAACCGGATGGTGCTGAGTCCTGCGATGACTTTGTGGTATGTCAAGCGGGAAGCTTAGCAAGGAAAATGCGAGGTACAGTACGTAATCTTTCACGTTTCGGTTCGTGTCAAGAGGAAACGACTGTAATAGAGGAAGTGTGATGCTAGCAATCGGTGACGAAGCCCTGTTCTCGACAAGACGCGCTGGAGTCAGAGCTAGTTAGCGTCTCTCTTCGTCCTGTATGTCTGCAAGTTGGAAGTATGAGAGCAAGAACCGTGGACAAGAGGGCCTTTCTGTAAACGGCTAGCTCGATGTGACCTTCCGAATCGCTCTAGTCTAGTCAAGTTGGGATTAGTGGCCGGCCCTGCCAGTCAGCGGAGTCGGTAGAGAATCTGGCAGACGTTGATGAGGATCCAGGCGTATTGATCTGCTGTCTGCTAATGGGCAGCTCGGCACAATGGCTCGATTGACACGCTTGAGTATTTCTGAAGGCCGACTTCAGTATCTATGTTCTTATACCTCGTTATTTGACCCATGGAATGCCCAAAGAACAATTGTCTTGTACTCTGAGTACAGTACTTGAGGCTGCCTATTGTCAGGAAGGCGGGTTTATATTTCCTCCCAAGGTATGTGAGTGAAACAACCGTAATGAAAACTAGAGAGACGCACGAGCCTCAGATTGTAAATGATAGTCAAGCTTAAAAGTGACATTTCGATATCGATGCTTATCACAAAGATTGACCGGCTAGACCCACGGTGCGAACTCGTGGGCGACATGCCTGAGGCAGCAAGCTCAGCCTCGCCGTTGCCGTCATTCTCACACCCTCGGCTCTTCAACCTTCTTTTCTTCTCACTTCACTGCAATCAACCTTGCTATCACTCGAGTATTCCGCCAGACATTTGTCTGGGGAATTGATGTGCAACTCAAGGTCACTCTTACAGTTTTTGTGATACACCTAGCATTCGCCATGCGCTACTTTTTATCTCTAGTCCTCCTGCTGGTCGCCTTGGTCGCCTTGGTCTCCGCCGTCCCCGCAGGCTCCAGCATCACTCCACCGCCGCCGATCGAGCCCGTTCAAATTCTATCCTTCCAGTCACCTGATACCCGAAGACCATGGACTCGGTTTCGAGACTGGGTCATTGAGTCTATATGGAGTATACCGAAGTCCGCCAGCAATCCACTGCGCGGACACTCCCCGCCTCGCCAGGCTCTGGCGCGATACGGCAGCGATGTGGTTCTACGGTTTACTCTGCGCAACGAAGATCAAGCGGAAGCACTGGCTCAAGCGGCCGACATATTGTTCCTTGACGTCTGGGCATCGACTCCTCAGTTCGTCGATATCCGTTTGGCCCAGGAAGTGGTAAGTCTTCGACTGATTGATTACTGATAACGTGCACCGACGCTGATCACGCTTGCGGCGTCTAGATCCCCTCACTTCTCGGCTTGTTACCCGCCTCCCTCCACACTGCCTACACCCCCTTGATCGATGATTTAGCACACCGGATTTACGCCTCTTACCCGAGTCGCAGACCGGTGGGGCTAAATGGACAGTCGGGTTATATCTCCTCAGGTCGGCAAGCTACGCAACTCGGCGACGTCTTTTTCCACGAATACCAACCCCTCGGCGTCATTGTGCCCTGGATGCGCCTGATGGCTTCGATGTTTCCTTCCCATGCGCAGATGACCAACGTGGGAATATCCTATGAGGGTCGAGAAATCCCCGCACTCCGACTGGGTGTAGGCAGCAATCGTGACCAGAGTCCCACGCCGCGCAAGACCATACTCCTCGTCGGAGGGAGCCATGCTCGTGAATGGATCAGTACCTCGACAGTGAACTACGTTGCCTACAACCTGATCACCAAGTACGGTAAGTCCAAGGCGGTCACCCGGCTGCTGGAGGACTTTGACTGGGTGCTAGTGCCCACGCTCAACCCCGACGGCTACGTTTACACCTGGGAGACAGACCGTCTCTGGCGCAAGAATCGACAACAGACCAGTCTGCGATTCTGTCCTGGGCTGGATCTCGATCGGACGTGGGATTTCCAATGGGACGGCGAGCGGACGCGCTCCAACCCCTGCTCCGAGAATTACGCGGGAGACGAGCCATTCGAGGGATTGGAAGCACAGCAGCTGGCTCAATGGGCTCTCAATGAAACGCAGCATAACAACGCCGAGATTGTCAGCTTTGTGGATCTGCATTCCTATTCGCAGCAGATTCTGTATCCCTTTTCGTACTCATGTTCGTCTGTCCCACCCACCCTGGAAAGCTTGGAAGAGCTTGGCCTCGGGCTGGCCAAGGTGATTCGGTATGCGACGCATGAGATCTATGATGTCTCATCGGCGTGTGAAGGAACGGTCACCACGCGAGCGCCGGATAGCGGACGCTTTTCCCCAATCGGTGGATCCTCGGGTGGCAGCGCTCTTGACTGGTTCTACCACCAGCTGCACGCGACCTATTCTTATCAGATCAAGCTCCGCGACCGTGGTAGCTACGGTTTCTTGCTTCCCGCGGAGCATATCATTCCCACCGGGAAAGAAATCTACAATGTGGCCTTGAAGTTGGGATCCTTCCTTCTCAAGGGGAATGCCTTTGAAGTTGACTGGGAGGCCGAGATGGAAGACATCGGAGTGGTTGCTACATCGGAGGATGACTCTAGGCTGGTTACTGGAGACCACCTGTGTGTAGTCGATGAACAGGCCGCGGCCCACGACACCGACCTAGACGAGCCAGAGGAATGGGAGGTGGTGGACTGGGCGGAGCAACATTCGTTCGAGTTCCGTCGCTGATTGAGTTGTCTTTCCAGAAAAGTCTGCACTTGCGATTTGATTTTTTCTCCACCCATGACGATACCTAGCTGATGGCTTGGACGATGATTCTACGACCATGACTAATGAAGTTTGTTTGGCAACATGGAATGAACCAGGAACCGGTGTATATTTGTTTATCTTTTGGTACAATCTATGACTGTTGATATCTGACTTTGTTCACTGTGTTCCACTGTGTTCCATTGTTTTCACCATGGCCATCTTTTGATTCACTGAAGTAATGCGATGGGTAGATGCGGCCGTGAAGATCGCCTACTGTTTTAGGCACCGAATCCGTGCGAAGTTTTTGCCCTCGTCTCTTGGCGGTGATAAAGTTTCTTGGGTGCCAAGCTGGCTATCGCTCCAATTTACCAGGAAATCCGAGAGTTTGGTGAGGTTACACTGATAGCCTGGAGAGGGGAAGGGGGCGACATTGGGGAGAGGATTAGTGGGTGAGATGAGTAATGGGTAGTGTGGGCGGGGATATTTTGTCGTGGGTGCAATGATAAGCGGCGGCGGCGGATGGTGATAAGCGGTGCTTGGCGGGATAAGCAGAGGCAATGCATTGATTGCATTGGGTAATGCCAATCCTGCCAAGCCTGTTCCCCGCGGGGTGTGATTAAAGTCTGAGAGAGAGCCGTGGTTGACGGGAGGAGAGAAGCAGCCTTTCACATCCATATGATTCTATCAACAAATACCCTCCTGTTCAGTGACTGTACAGATATCCTCACAATCTGAGAAGCTGGAACAGGCAGTATGTCAATTCATCCAAATGCAGCCCGCTCGCAAAATGCCAAGGCATCCGCCTCGGGTCCAGACCACATCCTCACCGGTGAATGGTTGCAAGAATGCAAAGACAGCTGAGGAAGTGCAGTGCCTCGTGGATGGGATGAGATGAGATGAGCCGCGGAAAGGACCGAACAGGGGCCGACGCCTATCATCGGCGGTCCAATACGGGCTACCAGTCAGATGTCATATCTTACCTACCTTTCTGGCAAGGTATCCCACCTTCCAATGTTACCTCCCCCAGCCTGAAGATCAGCCTAGTTCCTAAGAGTCGCCGCTTTATTTTCTTTTTCTTATCCTCTTCCCTCCTGCTCGACTTTCTTCATCTCTCTTGTTTCTTTCCTCTTCCTTTTTCAACCTTTCTCTCCTTCCTCCTTTTGAAAACTATCACCCAGACTCACAGTCTACCGACGCTTCAGTTGTCTACCCAGATGGGCTACAGAGAGGAGCCCCTCTTCAAAGAGGGCTATGCGACCGATGTACTGACGGCGGAGGAGAGCACAGTCCAAGCTCCTCCTGGTGACAATGAGCTCCATCGTGCTCTCAAGGCCCGCCATATCACCATGATCGGTGCGGCCCCGTTCAGTCCAGCTGCACATGCCATTCCATTGTGAAACTAATCTGAGATCACTAGCGATCGGCGGGGCCATTGGAACAGGTCTCGTCATCGGAACCGGATCCGCTCTTGCCAAGTGAGTACTTCTCCGAGAGCTGTGCGTGGATAGATTGAGCTAACGTTTCCTCAGAGCTGGTGTAGGTGACTGCTTGTTCCAAACGCAATAAACCAACATCTGACGCAAATCTAGCCGGCCTCTATCCTCATCTCTTACTCGATTGTCGGTCTTGTTGTCTACATGGTTATGTGCGGTCTGGGAGAGATGGCTGCCTGGCTGCCGTTGTCTTCAGGCTTTACTGGTTATGCTGTTCGATTCTGTGACCCGGCATTGGGCTTTGCTATGGGCTATACGTACGTTGAGCTTGGATGCTACCTGTGTCCGTTTCACTAACTGCGAAAAGGTACTGGTTCAAATACATCATCGTCACTCCCAACCAACTCACCGCGGGCGCACTCGTCATATCCTACTGGATCGACAAAGAACGAGTCAATCCGGGGGTATGGATCACCATATTCCTCGTTTTGATCGTCTCAATCAACTACTTCGGAGTGCGCTTCTTTGGCGAGTTCGAGTTCTGGCTTTCGTCCTTCAAGGTGGTCGTGATTCTCGGATTGATACTGCTGTCTTTCATCCTCATGCTCGGGGGCGGTCCGGACCACGACCGCAAAGGGTTCCGCTACTGGAAGAATCCCGGTGCTTTCAACACCTACATTGACGACGGGCCCGCCGGCCGGTTCTACGCCTTCTGGGCGACCATGGTCTCCGCCACGTTCGCGTACCTGGGCACTGAACTGGTGGGTGTGACGGTTGGCGAGGCGGAGAACCCGCGCAAGACGATCCCCAAGGCCATCAAACTGACCTTCTACCGCATCGTGGTGTTCTACATCCTCAGTGTGCTGCTCGTCGGCACTTTGGTCCCGTATGACTCGGACGAGCTCATCTTCGCCACGAAGCAATCCTCCTCGGCCGCCGCGTCGCCGTTCGTGGTTGCCATCGTGCTCGCCGGTATTCCTGTTCTCCCGCACATTCTTAACGCCTGTATTTTGCTATTTGTATTCTCCGCCGCCAACTCGGATCTCTACATTGCTACCCGTACCATCTACGGGCTGGCCAAGGAGAACAAGGCCCCTAAGTTCCTAGCTAAGACCGACCGACGCGGCGTGCCGATCTACGCACTGGGGGTGTGCGCGGCGATCGCGTGCATCGCGTACATGAACGTCTCCTCCGACTCCAAAGTGGTGTTCGGCTACTTCGTCGACCTCGTCACGATTTTTGGGCTGCTGACCTGGGTCTCGCTGTTGATCACGCACATCTACTTTGTGCGGGCGCGCAAGACCCAGAATGTGCCCGTCAGCGACCTGGCGTACCGCGCCCCGTTCGGGGTGTACGGGTCGTACGCCGCGCTGGCGTTCTGCATCCTGATCTGCCTGACGAAGAGCTTCGACGTGTTCACCCACAACCAGAAGTGGGGCAACTTCAACTACAAGACCTTCATCACGGCGTACCTGGGCATCCCGCTGTATCTGTGCCTGATCGGCGGGTACAAGCTAGTGACGCGATGCTCCGGGGTGGATCCGTACCAGGCGGATCTGTGGACCGGGAAGGATCAGGTGGATGCGGAGGAGCGGGAGTATCTGCGGCGGAAGGCGATGATGGAGGAGCAGCACCAGGGGGCGAGCTGGTTCTATCGGACCTTTGTGGCGTGGTTGTTTTAAAGTGGGGGCAGTCAGTAGTCGGTCATATGTGGAGGATAGGCGAACATGGGGTAATGAGCTATGACATCTTGAGGAATAGTAATGCGTTGATTTCATTAAGTATAATTGCTTGCATATGTAGTGGGAGTAGCGAATCGTTATCCCCGCCTACCTCCGTGTGGTGAAATGTGTCCTTGGCCGACAGATTGGGCAATGCAAGATATAGTACGGTCCAGGCTGTGGTGGGACCGACGGGAATAACTCCGACCCGGGGGGGGGTGCAGACTCCGACGGGGAGGTGTGGTGGGTGCCAGTGCCAATCCCGCTGCCGTTTCAGACCCGGCCCCCAAATTATTGTAGCTGGCAGTGGGCAGTGGGCAGCGGGCAGCAACATCCGACGGTGGTTTGCTCCTTCTAATCGCCGGCTAAACCCCGCTAGTCAATTCTCTCCACTGCTGTCCACCACTCCACCACTGCGCCACTATTCACAAAGTATAACAGTTGGGTGACTGAGGTATATAAGCTGCATTCAATCCCATCCATTCAATCTAGAAAACCACCACCACCACTAATCCTCAAACAATCCTCAAACACAACACAACACAACACAACACAACACAACACAACAAAACCACATAGTACACCAAACCCAACCTGCATTACTATACAAATCCCACTACACCAAACCCAACCCGCATTACTATACCACCACCACCACCACCACCACCACCACAACCACCACCACAACCACCACAAACCCCCAACCCAAAAATCAGAATGTCCCCCCAACCCAAAACCCTCTTCATCCTCGGCGGCAGCGGCTACATCGGCACGCAACTCCTGCACCAGGCCACCCAACCACCCCACAACTTCACCACGATCCGGGCGCTCTCGCGCACCCCGGAAACCGACGCGCACCTCACCACCCACAACGCCACCCCGATCCGCGGCGACCTCCGCGCGCACGCGACCATCACCACCGAATCCCGGGCCGCCGACGCGGTGATCTGCCTCGCGACGGCGTACACCTTCGGCCAGAGCGCGCCCTACGACACGCACGGCCTGCCGGAAGACATGGCCGCGCTGGACGCCATCGCCGCCGGGCTCGCAGGCACCGGAAAACCGCTCGCCCTCGCGAGCGGAACGCTGCTGTACGCGCCGCACCCCGACGGCCGCGAGACCGACGAGTCCTCGCCGGTGGACCCGAACCCGATCAACACGCGCTCGAAGACGGACGCGTACGTGCTCGCCCTCGGCGCGAGGCACGGGTTTCGGGCGCTGAGTGTCCGGCTGGCGCCGTTTGTGTACGGGCGCGGGGGGAGTGGGCTGGGGCGGTTTATGCGGCAGGCAAAGATGACGGGGTCGTTGGTGACGGTGGGTGGTGGGGGGAAGTGTACGACGACCGTGCATGTGGATGACGCAGCGAAGCTGTTTTTGTTGGCGGTCGGGAGGGGTGCGGCCGGGGAGACTTTTAATGCCAGTGCGGAGACGAGGGTGACTTATGCTCAGATCTTTTGGGCGTTGGCGGAGGTACTCGGGGTGGAGGTGGTGGATTTCTCCGAGGCGGAGGCCAGGGAGAGGTTGGGCGAGATGGTGGCGAGGTTTCTGTCGACGGAGAATCGCGCGTCCGGGGAGAAGGCGAGGAGGGTGTTGGGGTGGGTGCCTTCTGGTCCGGGGGTGTTGGAGGATATTAGGGAGGGGTCGTATAAGGTGTTGGCCGAGGAGTTGAAGGGGGGGAATTAGGATTTGGTCGATCTGTGGTATCTTGATTAATCTATATGAAATTTTTTACATCTACTTCCCTGCTAAACATCACACGGCGGCTCGCTCAGCAGCTTGCCTCGCCAGGAACATCAACCGCTTGACTAGACACACGGTGAAATAGAACGGCGGGAATCGTCCCCTCATGTCTGACGATTCGTTCCTGTCTAGATCGACAAAGATATCTACCACGGTTTGCAGCAGTTGTATATCGTTCGTGTAAGACGGCGCGGCAGGGTAGGTGATGAGGAATTGGAAGAGCGAGAAGACGCCGGTAAGGAGGAATTGAGCGTAGATCCTGGATCACTCAATGTCAGTAAGGGTATATGCGCTGGCAAAGGAGCGAGGGGGAAGCACGCAGCTCACCAGAATGTGTGCCAATTGAGAAACTCCCGCGTCCGACAAATGTAGGTGAGGATCGATCGGGATTCTTGGTGGAACAGCTCGGCGCTGGATGGAAGGATGGACCAGCTGGGATTGCTCCTGCTGCTGCCGACAGCGCCACTCGCCCCGTGGATTTTGCCAACCAGAAAATAGAACTCCAGGTGGAGGCATACGCCCCGCAGACTCAGGTCGTGGAAGGTGTAGTTGGGTGCCGTCTCTGTGGCGAAGAGGTCCGGCCAGCAGCTGACCGGAAATGTGGCCTTGAGGTCGGTCAGCTCCTGGTCTAATTCGCGGATGTGTTGCAGGCGACGCGCCTCGGGCTGTTTTCGAGCGCTGTCGGAGTAGAGCAGATGGTAGACTTTGGATTTGAGGAGGGAGAGTCGGACGTCAGAGGGGAAGAGGAGTTCGTCATTTGAAAGTGGCCTCGAGAAGAATTGGTGGTCGGAGGACGATAAGACATAGTTGTCCGGGATCCGAAGCTCGCAATCAATGTCGATGAAATGCGGCGAGCAGTTGTAGCGAATGACCATGTTCTTATCTGCACCGTAGCAGAACCAGAACAGAGCTCGGAGGTGTCTCCCTTCTGGCTCGTGGATGGCTGAATATCGATGGCCGCCGAGGCTCAGAATCATTCGAGTAGCTAGAGAGAGGAGCATTTGACCTTGTTCAACTTGAGCACCCGGCATCACGTAAGTCATCTGCGCAAGTCAGCTGCATTGCCGTCTGGTAACTTTGGGTGACATACAATCAAAACAATCGCTTCCAGGCCCCGGATTGTGGGCTGCTCCATCAGAACTCTGGGTACGAGGCACAACGCAGCCTGGATGTAAGCATCAGGTTCAGCATCGACGAAAGCCGAATCGAGTCGATGCATCACGCTCATCATCGCAGTGAATGCAAAAAGACATGCCAGCTTAGCTGCGGGAATAGTGCCATCTTGATGGTCCAGTACACCCTCCTCAACCAATTCGTTCAACGCATCAGCATTCGCAACCGGGAAGATAGAATAGAGCCCGCTTTTGGAATAGTGATTTATTGAGTGCTGGACCAGAGACGTGGAGGGCCATTTAGGCGACAGCGCCCGCTTGGGGCCTCTCCGTTCCGAGAGGCCTTGGAATTTGAGTGACTGTGCCGCCTGGGTAAGAAAGTGGTCGAGATCGATTGGAGAGCCGGTTTTCTCATAGACTGTAGAGAAGAACGACGATCGTTGAATGGAGCCGGCTTTCCCCACTCCGCAGTGGGCAATCTCTCCTTGAAACGTCGCCAAAGAAGTGTCTAGATTATGACCGTCTGGAAGGTGGTCCAGAGTCATTAAGTGAAGCCAAGGACTCGCCGAGGTGTCGGAGTTACTTCGCTCGCTGGTGTCTGTGATAGGCGAAGAACGGTGCACGGCCAATTGCGCTTCTAGCTCTTGTATTCGCGCTCTGGCATCCTGGAGCTGACTGCCATATCGATTAGTGCTGGAGGATGGAGTATGCGATAATGCTTACTCTCGAAGGCTTTTTCGGGGCAGCTCAGGTTGATCTGTGAAGGTGCACGGCACGCAGGCAAGACGACATGTCTCACAGACAGGCTGGACGTTATCGCAGCGGATCTAAAACACCCTTGGTTCAGCACCTTAGTTGCGCTAATGTCACATCCCCTTGATGCAGAGTAACCACAAAATGCAAGCAATTACTAACCTTTCTCTGCCTGCACAGATCACAAGCACTTCGGACACGGCCACCAGCACGTTGAGACGAAGATTGACCACTCATGCTAGCGGGGTATCTCTACCTAGCAAACCAGGGATCCGATAGATCCACTGCAACGTTCTTGATCCTGGCGACACAGATTCCCTGAATGACTTCGGGCTGCTCAGTCATCGGCTTCTCAATTCCGGCAGGAGTTGGGTGTTGCCTGGACCGCGGGGAGGAATGAAGGTATACTAAAAAAAAGTCGACTTGACTGGATTGGGATGGATTGGGATGCGGATGAGTCAGCGGCATTGCTCGCGCCGACATTTGCAAGGGTTTGAAGCTGGGATCGACGCGGGAGAAAACATCCATGGATGCAGCCCAGTTGCAGAGGGAAGGCGGAAGTGTCGATCGTGGAGAAAAAGGGCCCGAGACGCGGAAGCTGCCAAGAGCCAAGTCCGACACCGGATCCACATCCCGCCCAGATGCTTCATCTTGAATGCTCGACTGCACATGCCTCCATCAATCACAGTCCTCCATTTCGTCAGCCAGGGCCTCTCTGACCTGCAACTAACTTCGTCTTCTCCAGTCCGCTGTTCAGGTGCATCTGGACGAGGACCTACCCCGAACAACTAGCCAAGATTGCTCACGACGACGATGACGCGTTTACAGGGGCCTTGGAGCGGCATTGAGTACCGCATCAACAAGATGAACAGTAGAGTGCATTGCGTGGACATCAAGACTAATGAGTGCGGTGGACTTGGGCCACGGAGTGTGAGGATATATAAAGGTTACGTTCATGGTCTTCGAGGGATTCAATTCCAGCAACCATTCCACACTCTGATCGTCCTTCGAGCTCTTTCCTCCCAATCAAGTCAAAATGCAGCTACTTCAGCTCAAGCAAGCCATCGCACTCTCGCTGGCCGGAGTCGCCATGGCGCATCCTGGTGCCCATGAGCCTAGCTCTTTTACCGATGTTTCCAAGCGTGCGTTCCTGCACAATGCTCACCGGAGTCTCAGCCAATGCGCTGGACAGCTCGAGAAGAGAGGCGTCCATGAACGAGCTGCTTCCCGCCGCGCAGCCTTGTTCGAAAAGTACAAGAAGCGCTCCCTCGGCCTCCGTGATACGGAGAAGGTGGTGAACACTTCGCACCACTCCTCCCTCCATGTGACGCCTAACACTTCTGAGTCGGAGCTGTTCTCGAAAGACCCAGTCTGCATCCTTGCTCCAGAGGGTGAAGTCGGTCCTTTCTGGGTGAAGGGTGAGCTTATCCGCCACGACATCTCCGATGGAGAAGCCGGAGTCCCTATCATCCTGGACGGTCAATTCATCGACATCAACACCTGCGAGCCCATCCAGGATCTCTACTGGGATGTCTGGAACTGCAACTCCACCGGTATCTACTCTGGAGTCCAGAGCAGCATGAACGGCAACGGCAACGACGCCTCTAACCTCGACAAGACCTTTCTCCGCGGTATTCAGAAGACTGACGCGGACGGTGTTGCCGGATTCAAGACTGTTTTTCCCGGCCACTATTCAGGCCGCGCGACTCACGTCCATGTCATTGCTCACGTCGGCGCTCAGCTCCTTCCCAACAACACGCTGACTGGGGGACATATTCCGCACATCGGGCAGTTGTTCTTTGACCAGGATCTGATCTCGCAGGTTGAGGCCACCTATCCCTACAACACCAGCACGGTGGCCATCACCGAGAATGCGGATGATCATGTGGTCATAGTTGAAACCGAAGATAGCGACTCCGACCCGTTCTTCGAGTATGCTTTGTTGGGCGATTCGATCGAGGATGGTATTTTGGCTTGGGTTACCCTCGGTATCAACGTCACCGCAAGCCATGACTCCAGTGCTACTTGGGCTTCGACCTTGACCTCATCTGGTGGTGTCATCAACGAGGACTCTTCCAGCGGCGTGGACATGTAATTGTCGGACAGACCTCCAGTGGAGATAGCGCCATGACGGTGGCAAGCCTCCTGAATTGAACCAAGGACACTGACGTTAGCCTACAAGTGATATGGGGATGAGCTCTTATGCTTTGATCAATGTACTTCTTACCTACCTATTTAGTTAGCACAGAAGCCAAAATTGTTTCTTCGATGTTGGTCATCCTACCGGAGCTTTCTGAGTAAATCATGGAAATAGTAACGTGCCAGCGTATTTGTGCGTTGGCAGGATAGGATTACGGAACAAATGGATTTGTGAGGGACTGCCCTGTCTGCCAGCTCCACATGCATAGAGCGAAAAAGTTAGCACTAGCCCTATTAGGGAAAGGCGTGATATGGCTGACATCAGCCATGGCCTGGCCGCCGCTTCTTCAGACCTCGTTTGACAATTTCACAACAAGCGCCCCGCGGTCCTCGCTGATATTCTCGCCTTCAAGGACCGTCCCTGGTTAATTACAATACGCTATGCCGATGCAGACCCAGGGTTCCACAGAGCCCAGTGACAGTACCGGAAGTGCAAAACGGAAGCCCGTCCGCCGCGACCCAGAGAAGAGGAGGCAACAGAACATTCAAGCCCAGAAAAAGTACAGTAAGTGCATGTCACTGCTGACTTTGGTGTCTGGTGTCTGATTATACCCAAATGCTTGATCTTGTCAGTACTAATTCTCTGTTTTTCTTTCAGGAGAGAAGCTTCGCAAACGGCTAGAGAACCTCGAGGCACTCGCAGCATCGGCTGCGCAGAACCATGCGGTTGAAAGAACAGCAGCTGTGGAGAATGACACCTCGGAAGCGGCCGTAGCGCAAGGGCCTTCGACTTTTCTGCCCCACATCGCTACAAATGGCATCCCGGCCTCTGAAGTCTCGGGGATATCAGTCCCCTTTCCATCTGCGGGCATTCCTGGAAATCCATGCACATCACTGGACGAGTTTTCAGCAGCCCTTTCACTGTGGGAACCTTCAACATGTGCCACTAACCTCGATTGTACCTCATCATCCCTCGCGATGTTCGACTCCACAATCTATGCACCCCCGCCGGATGATCTGTCGGTACCTAGTATTTGGGATACTTCTGTAGAGGCTTCGCTTTCCGACAATGTCTCTTCTGTTTCAAGCTTACGGGATTTTACCACTAGTGACCCGCAGTCAGATCAGCCGTTATCAGCGTCGAGCATAGTGCGCGCTCAATCTCAATCCGAGCCGTCCTTTCTCATCCCAGACGACCATGGCGACAACAATGGTGGCTCACACCGCGTCATCGCCATCAAATGCGGCTGCCTCAAGCCCCACATCCGCGTGCAGACCCACAGTCCTTACCCGTTCCGCTCAGGTGAAATTCGCATCATTATGCTCGAACCCGGTGCGCCAGCTGCGGATCCATATACTAACCACATCCGCATTGACCTGGTCTGCACCATGACAGCACTGTATACCCTCGGAACACACATCGGGGTCAACGAATCGATGCTGTGTGCCGACGAGTCTTTTTCGCCGTTCTACCGGCCAAGCGCAGCCTGTGCGGATGAGCTGGTCAAGGCAAACATGGTCGGCACAGTGCAAAGAATATTCAAGACCTTGAAACCGGATCTGCGGCCAAACCGTGAACAAATAATGATTGAGCACCACCCTTACATTGACATTTTGCCTTTCCCAACACTGCGAAGAAATCTACTGATCCTTCAAGCTGAGCTGGATGAAGATGAGTTCATGGATGATATAATTTCCGGCTTGGTCTGCTGGGGAGGAGCTGGCATGGGGAAACGGGACAGACAAAACTCGGTTGGACGTCATCCAACAGGCACACCGTGGGATGTCCGCAGTTGGGAGGCCAAAGTCTGGTTTTTAAAGAAGTATTGGGCACTGCTGGGCGGCGAAGATGGAGAGCTTGTGCGGCAAAGTGAGTGGTGGCGAGGACTCAGGGGGGAGGACGAGGAGGTGTTTGATCAGAGTGATTCGACGCCAGCAGACTCTCCGCTATTCTACTCAACCCTAGGGATCTGATCATAGGATTCCGAAGGCAGCTTGGACTGAGGGATGAACATCGTGAGTTGATAATGCAAAGGGCCCACAGGGGACGATAGCTTGATATCATTAGGATATTGTTTCCTGGAACGAACTCGTGCAACGTCAGAGGGATCATCCTCAGCTTGTGGGCACAAACATCAAAGATCGCTTCCTTGATAGGTTGGCAGTCAACTGTGCTTTCTACCCGGTCGCACAAGGTCAGATTCGGGAACATCAAGACATACGGGATCAGGGATGCTTCTCCACTTATATATGCTCCGATGCGTCATCACTATCCGGGCACTCCATGAAGACGCTACACAGACCGATGCAGATTTGCACCCGGGCACCCTGCGGCTGTCCTGCCCCATTTTAGACACTAGCTGAGAACTCATTCAGGTCGTGTAATATAAGATAGTCAGCTTAACAGCTGGCATGACTTTGGTCGGACTCAGTTTCATCTTGCAGTGCAAATTACAATAATGGCAGATACATCGCTTTGTTCACCCGACGCCAAACCAAGGTTGTTCATTCTCAATATTGTCTTTATCGTGCTCACAACATTGTCTACCACCGTTCGAATAGCGAGCAAATCCATCGCCGACCACCCCCTGTGGTGGTGGGATGATCACTTCGCCATCCTCTCTCTGGTATGGGGCTTAGGTATATGATACAGCACAGACCAACTGATCTATTACGCACAGCTGTCCGAAGTGCCCTATCTATCCCTCATAATCCTATGGCTCAAGATGGGCCTTTCTAATCACCCGGGCCTTGGGTTTCCGTACCTCTTCGCGGCTCTGTTCTTCTTTAACGGGGCCATCTGCTTCACCAAAATGTCCGCCATCTTCTTCTACGCCCGCGTTTTTGGCGTGCATAATCGCGTCTTCCGGATTCTCCTGTGGATTGCGGGCTCTCTCGTCGCGGGCTGGCTTGTATCTGTCTGGATCAGTACTGTTTTCCAGTGTCGACCGATCGCTAGAGCATGGAATCCCACGCTGTCGGGCACCTGCATTGAGCTCTACCCCTGGTACGTATCGACAGCGAGCCTCTCTTGCCTGATAGACCTCTATGTTCTCCTCCTCCCAGTCCCGCTTATCATCCGCCTCAAAACAAGTCTCCGTCGCCGCCTCCTCGTCCTCATTACCTTCTTCATGGCCTATTCGGTTGTTGTGATGTCTGTCATACGTCTCATCGTGATAGCCCAAGGCGATCCTTGTGGATCCGCCAAGCTGATCTGTGCAACGATGGAGTACGCTCAATGGGCTGTCCTCGAAAGTTCTATATCTGTGATCTCGATCAATGTACCGAGCGGCGTTGCACTTGCGAAGGCTATACTCAGGACGCCAGGACGCATGCGCGACAGTCCTAGGATGCCCATCGACCCACCCCGGCAGGTACACAAAAGGGTCTACAACGGAACGTCGTGTGTCGGCCTTGGCCATGAGGAAGACCTGAGTGAGGGAGGTACAGAGGTAGAGGACTTCCAAGGTGTGGAAATCAACACAACAATCTGTCTCAGGGAGATCAGGCTGCCAAAACCAATTCCTCCAACTTGAACTGATGAACACACTCATCCATCAAAGCAGAGCTGTTGTCAAAAGTTTCAGTTAGTCAACACCAGTATGTCATTGCTTTCTAGATAAAAACAAAATGAATTCCAGAAGAAGTAACCAAAAAACAGCTCGCCCGCCATCGCGGGCTACGAAAACCCCTCTTATCCCCGGGTGTTTTCATACCGTTGAATCCCGAAATTGGTAGAGCCAGCGTCTGGAAGTGCCAAGCCGGGATTCGGACGCAGGACTTGGGGCGTTTGCCTCTACGATCAGCCAGCGTGTCCCAAGTACGCCACAGGCCCTGCTGGTTGCCAAGTGAATACCGGTTGTGAAATATATGTCTTGTTGTGGTGTCTGGGATAAGAAGGCGGTCCGGTGCATTCTCGGGAATGCGAGTTGCGGGGGAAAGACCCACCGCACCCATCGGCAGAATCTCGCTCTATACCGCCTTCGTGATATCAGAACCGGGGGGGGGGGTGATTCGACTTGCCCAGTGCACTTAGCAGTCATTAGATGCGACATTCTTGGTGCTATCATGGCGAGGCTCATGTCGTTTGCAAGTGAGGCAAACCGTTTTTTTCTATCGCTGGCAATACATATTCCTTAAATTGTCTACACTAAATGGCCACCAAATTGACAAAATATATCTGTTCAGTGGGTTGGGTATCCGTTCTGCCCAGCGTGTTCCTGATTACCTGCCTCGACACACAATACTCAAAATACTCATCCTGATCGCGATCTTTCCGTTCCCTTTTAAGTTTCAGTAACCAGCTTTCACGCGCGTACTAGGTGCCGGCCGGGGGCACAGGGTTGATGGATCACGAGCTTCGCTTGCGCAGTAAAGACAAGATGGAGCCAAGCATACTGCGCCAACAAGGCTTATCATTCTAGATCAACTCCAACCCCACTGCTTCGAAGTCCGCGCAATATGCTATTGACCGGATTATTGTTCCATCGGTTAGCCGCTTCGGGTTCCAGCTGCTCAACGGCAACTTGACATTGGGGAAAGGTTTCGGAGGTTGGTTCACATCTGGTCCCATTCGATTGCTACATTGATAGAAGGGAGATTTACAAGCGTGGGATTAATCTGGTTTGCTAACAGCTGCGAATGATCAATAGGGACAGTAGGTAATCACTGGCGAAATCTCCTTCGATATTCATTCCTCTTGGTACGCAGCATATGATCACTATAATTCGGTTCATGCTATTGCGACTCATCTTCTCGGATTTCCTATATTCTTTGTTCTGCGCTTGGTTATTTGGAGTGAACAGCCTGTCGTCTGTGGCTCTCTCCATCTCGGTTCTCTCGTGTTAGACGACGCTGCCAGGAGTAGATTTATTGGTTCGAATTTGACAGAGTCCGACAAACCGTCAAGTAGCATGAAAGACCCACTCGAAGCTATACAAAGTATGTACTATAGGGGGGTCAGCTTACTACATCTTACGGTTTACCTGAACGTGTCAACCCCACCTCGAATATATAAGCCGGCTGTAGCCGTCTCATTTGGTCTTCTCCAATGCCCACTTTCTTGGCCTTTCTTTCTGACCCATCTTCTCAATCATGTCCGCTCAGGTTTTATCCCAGCTTCCAGCTCTTCAGGCAACAGTTGCCCCCAACTGCAAAATTCTGCAAGACCCTGGGACCCCGGAATTCAGCCAACGCCTGAGGCGTTGGACTAATATCGACCACCAAACCCCGACTGCGATCATCCTGCCGAGCACCGAAGAAGACTGTCTCAAAACTGTGAGGCCCCGGTAGCAAGAAGCCCGAGTATCGGGGCATATGTGCTGATGTTGGTGCAGGTTCGATGGGCACTTCGGTCCTCTATCCCGTTTGTACCTACTTGCGGAGGCCACAGTGCTTGGTCTACGATCGGCGAAGGCGGCGTCATCATCGATCTGAGTAACTATACCCATATTTCGGTAGATAAAGCAGCAAGAACGGCCACCATAGTCGGCGGGGTCCTGTCCAAACAGGTGGGCCTGCGCCTCGCGGAAGCAGGGTTATTTACAGGTAGTTCAATCGCCCCCAACGCTGTTTCTTTCTCTCATTGCTAATACTCATATGGAATCCCTCTAGCTCTCGGAAACGGCAACACTGTTGGCGCAATCCCGTACTTCCTCGGCGGAGGCGCTTCCATCACCTCCTCCATCACCGGGTTTGGGTCTGACCAAATAATCTCCGCGCGGGTCATCACCGCCACGAACGGCGGAACACTTGTGGAGGTGACGGAATTCGAGAATCCGGATCTTTTGTGGGCGCTACGCGGTGCTGGCCAGTTCTTCGGGCTTGTCACCCAGCTGACTGTTCGTGCTCATTCGCTTTCTTTGCTGCGAAAGCAGGTGGGCCTTATCTGGGTTGGGGCGTTCGTCTTCCCGCTGCATCGCGCGGCGGAGGTCGCTCGCGTGATGAAGCCGCTCATGGCAGACGGGCAGCATGCGACGGCTGGCTTGATGATGATCATGGCCCCTCCGCCGGCTCGCGTGCCCTCGCTGGTTATCTCCGCGCGGTACACGGGTGACGAGGATCCGCATGTGCCCTTTGGGCCACTGTACGAGCTGCAGCCGGTGATGGTGACTGGAGGAGAGGTACCAGTGCAGAATGCAAGTGATGCGCGGGAGGTCCTGTGCGCTAAGGGTGACTTTAAGCAGTTCGGCGTGGTAGGGCTGCATGAATTCAATGAGGATGCGTTTGTGCAGACGGTCAAGTTATGGGAGAGAATGGTCAAAGAATGTCCTGATGCAATCAATACTGCGTTTAATTTCCAGTGGGATGCAAGGCCTGTCAAGGCGCCTGATGTGGACTCGGCTCAATCGCTGCATGACATTCGCTACTGGCAGTATGTGCCTCCTTTCCGCTGTTCATGAGTAAGAATGCTAACTCTGCCGGGGTGACGCTAGGAACAACTTGATCTGGCATACAGACGCAGCCAACCGGGGCAAGGTGAACAGCTATAACGAACAGTGCATTGCCATCATGCGTGGAACGGACGAGTCGCGTTTTGTGGACTTCCAAAACGGAACCCGCACTGGACCTATCCATAGACGATACCGCGGGGAAGCGCGACTTGAGAAGCTGCGTCGGTTGAAACGAGAGTGGGATTATGAAGGGGTGTTCACTCGGCAATTGCTTGATTGAGCGTTCATATAATGCTCTCGTTGTGACAGGCGCCTGGGGACCATGAAAATGACGGATCGTGTACTATCTAGAAGGAACCTAGTCAGAAGTATACTATAGCATAGACAAATTGCATTCATATTTTGTGAATTGACATTGGACGAATAGTGGCTTAACTTAGGAAACGCGAAGTTGAGGTCTCTGACATGAAAAGGTACTGTTGGAGCAGGCCATTGCGCAGAATATCACGTGATTCACATCGCGCCATTACCTCCACCATCTTGATTGCCTTTCCTCCATCAATCAATCAAACATATCTCACCACTGCTTCCAGACATCATGGTTAGAGGCTGACGATCACCTTGTATGAGCTAAGATACTCTTTCCACAGACTCCGTGTTCCTACTCGATGTTTTACGCCTTCCGTGTCAGAAGAGGACTGATCTACAGACTGCCTCGTCCACGATACACGTACGTCATTGGGGGCATCAGGCACAGCCATGATAGGCATCGGCTATTGAATCCTTCAAGTCCAACATAATAATCATACGCCGACAATGCGGGGAATCAAGCATTGAGAACCCAAGATGTGTTGCGGCTTGTGCTTGCAGCTGCAACAGGGTGGTCATTGGAGGAAAAACTGCCGGCTAAGAGAACGACTGGAGTTCGTACTCGGGACGAGATCAACCGAGTGACTGCAGGGTCATCACACGCAGATACACAAATACGCAGATGCGTGCGATGTTTCGTCGGGACGAAAATGCTGTTGTCTACAGTGTGCCTCTTATCGCCAATCTACAATCTTCGCTATGAACGCCTCTCTATATCTGTTACTCGCCTTGTGCAATCTTCTCCAATTGGGGAGCTGGGCAATCGCTGCTACGGTGTACAATGTGACCAGTACAGTTTCGCTGGCCCCTGCCTCGTCACCTCGCCCTGAGAAGCCTGTGCATGATGCTGACTACCACTCCTTCTCCATTGAATTCTGCTATATTGTGGACTACGCTGGGAATGATACGTGAGCTTCTTTCTCACCCTTGAAACTCCGAGAGGTGGAGCAAAGAAGCATGGGTCTAATGTATAGCTGGATCGTTTCCACAGACACCCCAACCTCTTCTCGCGCCAGGTCATCCAGAACCTCAAAGACATTGCCGGCAAGGCCCCCATCTTCCGGGTGGGCGGGAGTACGCAGAACTCGGCGGTCTACTATCCCGACCAGACAGAGGCGTTGATAGATCCGTTTGATTCAATTGCCTCCAGCCAGCCGCGTCACTCGTACTTTGGCCCGGCGTTTCTGCAGTCCTTCCGGCAATTTCCCGCTGGGTCTCAGTATATCTTTGGTACAAAAAAGCCTCCAAAATGCGGATGAAAGGCGAAGAATACTGACGTGGATGACTTTAAGGTCTGAACTTCTTTAATGCTGAGAACGAAACTCTGTTTGAGGTGGGGAATGGATTGGCGCAGTGTGTTCTCGAGGCTCATGCTGCCTATCATGCCATCGGGGATGCTCTTTACGGATTTGAGATTGGAAATGAGGTTGACTGTGCGTTTGGACTCCTTTCCCAACCCCAATTCTTCTTCTGTTTCGTTCGAATCCCGGACTACACGGTTCATTTCACTGATCGATTGACGTGGGGCGTTATATGCAGCATGGGCCGGAGGCCAACGACGACCAGCGAACTGGACAGTTCAAGACTATGTCAATCAGTGGAACGAGTATGCGTCGGCCATCAGCGAGAACCTCACCCAACACGACGCAGAACAGCTGTTTCAGGGATGTGCTTTTGAAGCTCCGCGCCATGTTACAGCAGCAACGGATTGGAACGTGGAGAATGCCGAAGCGGATGGGATGCGCGTGAACAAGGCGAAGAGCGTGGCTGACCATGAGGTAGGCTGCACTAAATCTATCCTTTATTTCCCTTGTCCCTTTGGAGCCGTGCTTGAACTGGAAATAATAACTGACCATCAGGGTTATAGTATATGGGTGCCGCCTGTGACTACAGCGGGGTAGGCCCCACGATCGCGACCACGATCTTTGACCGTACGAATGTGCTGTCGCGGGTGTGGTATCACGACTATCTGGGCAACGTCACCACGGCGTCAGGCATCCCTTACGTCTTGGGTGAGACCAACTCGATCTCGTGTCAGGGCGCGCGAGGGATCTCGGACGTAATGGCGGCGGCGGTCTGGGCAGTCGATTACGTGCTGTACCTGTCGTCGCTACGGGTGGAACGTGTGCATTTCCACATGGGGACGCGGTACCCCTACGCCAGCTGGCTGCCTGTGACCTTCAACGAGACGGCGCCCACCGTGTTCCCCATTTACTATGCCGCCCTGTTCAATGCTCACGTCTTCTCAGGCGGCAACAAGCAAACTGAGGTGCTTGTCAACACCACCGACTTTGGTGCGTACGCCGTCTACAGCCAGGGAAAGCTGGAGTCCCTCGTTGCCGTCAGCTTGTCAGTGTGGAATTCCACCTTCACTGCAACCGAGCGCCCTTACACGGCCCTCGAGCTGCCGGCGACCGGCTGGGAAAATGCCAAGGTGATGAGATTGACCAACCCGGGAGTAGACGTGGCCGCGAACATCACGCTGGCGGGCCAGTCTGTGAATGCACAGGGGAAGATCGTTGGCACCGCGGTGTATGAGAAGGTGCAACAGAGGAAAGTCTGGGTGGGAGCCGGAGAAGCTGTGTTGATTCAGCGGGGATGAAGCGGTATTTCTTGGTCGATGAAGAGGATGAAAAATTCTGTTGAATTGAAGTTGTCCAGATTTTCTGAGGAGAGGGACCCTCGCAAGTGTAAGCATTGGATTGCTGGTCGAAGCTGTAGGTAGAGACTTCTGTAGGACTCGGAGGGATTAATTAGTGACCATACATGAGGAAACTTGAACAATCGAACCACCCACACGTATTTACCGGTTGTCTAAACAGGCCCTGTTCTTGGAAATGTCGTATCTTCAGGATCTTATTGTCGTTTCAAGGGTGAAAGGAAGACAAGTGCTTACCGTTGTAATGAATCTTCTGAGTTCGAAGGGAACACAACGGCTCAGAGGCGGAGATTAGGGACGCCGACACAAAGAGAACCTTGGAGGCGACATCCTCTGTCATAGCAGGCTCGCTGGACATACCAGCACGTGACTCTTGTCGCAGCTTCACTTTCCCTCCATCTTCATCTTCCAACTTTCTTGATCACTTTTCACTCCTTTCACTGATCAAGCGTATTTCACACCACCACTTCCATACGTCGAAGTTGACAGCTGAATGTCAACAGCGACGCAGTAACGCACTGGAATTGCCGAAACGATATTCTACGACCATCCGCGAGCGATTCGGTGTCTGTGCTCATATCCACCATCTGAAGCAGTTGACCCGAATAGGACTCTACCATTGAAGCAAACGGACTCGGTGCCCGAGCCCCTCCACGGACACTTATTTATCCACCACAATTCTCCACTCACCTGTACCAAGTTGTGGGGAAATTACCCCTGCTTTACTGGAACTGGGCATGGGAAATCATCCTGTCGGGTGCAGGCCGCAGTGATGAAAATGTCTCACACGGGTCGGCTACTGACAGTGTCCCCTCGGAGGATCATGGACCCGGTGCGAGGAGGAGGTCTGATCGACTGGCTGATTGATTCTGTCAACGATGGACAGTCCATGCTATTCGCCTTACGAATAGATCTTCTGAGGTGTCTCAGTGAGTGACGTACACGGGTCATTTCTGCCCGTGTTGCGACGGTGTTATGGCTGTTGTCGATCAAGATATCTACAGAGTGCAAAATGAGGTATATAAGGTCTCCGGAGATAATCCCTCGAGAGTTGAAGCATAGCATGATCAACAACCAAAGCCTACCCGAAGACAATCGTGACTTGACCTCAACAGAAAAGCATTCCAAATGTATTTCTTCCAGATTATCTACGTGGTGTGGGCGATATCTGGGACAGTCTCGGCGCAGCTCTCCGGGAGCGTTGGCCCGCAGACCTCCTACTCGGACAAGGCCAATGCCAAGATCTGTAATATTTCCGACTACGGAGCGGTCGAAAGCGATAGCACCAACGACGTCGGGCCCACTCTCCAGGATGCCTTGGATGACTGTGCGAGTGGGGGAATGGTGTACATACCCTCGGGGAACTACTACATCTCAAGCACGGTCACCCTCAGCAGTGCGACAGGCATTGTGCTGCAACATGACGGAATCCTGTACCGCACGGCTGCTGAGAACTGCGTGGCACTTGTTTTAGAACTGGCCTAGGTTCTACTCGGACAATTCGCGCCCTACGATTCAATTATTGTGCTCCACAAATGATACAAACACCCATATCGTCTTGAACAACATCGCCCTCTGGACTGATAGCGGCGCTGAGGTTACCTGGACCTGCGAGAATGCTTATGACAGTGAAACTTGTGTAGAAGGTGAAAATCATGCTGCTGTTTCTACAACATCAGCGTTAGTGGTGTAGCGGTTAGCATTGTTGCCTTCCAAGCAATAGATCGGGGTTCGACTCCCCGCTGACGCAATCTCTTTTTTGCTTTTCATTTTTGGTGGCACACGATCCAGACATGAAACTACAGAGGGTTGTTGTTGTTGTCCCTTATCTTAGACACAATGGTGGTGGAGCTATACGTCGCCATCGGCTTGAGAAGAGCTTCATACTCTTGATCTGAAGAGACAGCTGCATTGAGACGGAATCAGTCCAATCCAATCTAGTCCAGACCGCTGCCAGCAATAGCCGATTGGCGTATTTGCGTGCCCTCGGCGTTGACGTCCTTATTGCGGTCGTTACACCATCACTAAGGGCGACGAGTACGGGTCAGCATATCCACCTGGGCCCCCGTCATGAGACAGAAACCGGGTTCCTGATGCAAACGCTGAGCTAGGCCGTCCAGAGCAAGCGCTTCAATGGCGAAGCCTTCATCTCCACATACGCCCAGTTGAAAAGAGGATACGTACTTCCTACCCTCCGCCTTCAACCGCTCCACCTCATCGGGCGACCCGCCGCTCAATGACACGATCAGGAGGTCTTGTCTAGCCTCAATAGCAGTCCGCGCTGGCGGAACTGGGCACAACGCATGAGAAGTTTGTTGTCAACCTTGAGGGTTTTGAGAATGTCGCTTTCGATCACCCCCCGGCGCGCTGTGACTTTTGGCCGGGTGTTGCGGTGTCTATTCCTGTGTAGGTTCACACCCTGCTAAGCGAGAATAAGCCTCATTAGCTTTTACGAGAAAGGTGAGCGGAGGAACTCCATATTATCCCGACCATATTCACAATGATAAATTACTGTGAGTAGCCTGGATAGGGCCCTACATCATATTTACTGCAGTGCCGGGTTACGCTGTAGGCACTGGTTTTGATCAAAACAAACGGCGGATGGCCTGAAAAAGTCACCCCGCCACAATCTATTGCTTCCAGATTATATTACTGCAGGTAGCGAGAGTCAAGGACGAGGTTTGCTGTGGCTTCACACCTAGCAAATCTAATTGTACCCGAGATGCTCATGGCCCCTGCGGATGGTATCACGTGCTAACTTTCACCTTCCCAATTGCGTCTCATCCCCTCATCAAACACTCATCCCTTCATCCACCATTGCTGCTTTCACATACGCTCAAGAGCCCTCTCATCTTCTTGTTCGAGAGCAGGTCGACTCCTCTTGCATTGCTCCATGAGTCTGTACTCTACCGAACAATTTCACCGTGATGCCTGACAGAAGGAGATAAGTCATTGAATAGCATGTTTCTCGCTTGCTAAATTTCACTATGCAGCGAAAGGCCAAGAGCTCCGATCATTATTGCCTACCACGTATCCTATTGGTCTCGAATAACACAATCTTCGTCTCAGAACCCAAATTCCAATTGTACGCTCGGAACCGCTGTGGAACTCGCCGGCAAGGAGAATGTCACATTCCAGAACTCAAAATTGCTAGTGAACGGTTAGTAAGTTCCAATTTACCATGGGATACAGTAGGAGATGGCGATGTGGCAAAGGAGACTCACTGAATCACTTCACACGTGCCGCCCAAGAGCCCGCAAAACGAGATATCTGGAACGGGATCAACAGTACCGCCTACCACTTTGATCCTGAGCCCGTCTACATCCTCGAACCCAGCGATATCACGCTTCGCGCCGAGAGGGTTCGAAGCCAGCACGAACGTAAATGTGCTCGACGCGTTGCCCAGCGGGTAGGTGAGATTCAACGCGTAGGGGGCGACGTCGGCCACCAGGGCAGTCTCTTCAGCATAGAGGTTGAAGTACCCGATCGAGGCGTCAGGGCGGAGCCACTGCACGACAACGGGGCTGAACGAGGTCGAATCCTCCGAGAATCCACCTACAACAGACTGATTGAAGGAGGCGGTTCCGATGGTCAAGTTACGTGACAGCCAGGTGGTGATGTTGCGCGGTTCGAGATCCGCCGGCGGAGCAAAGGCGTGCCCATTGTAGGTACGCTGCTCGTTCTCCGCGAACCCTTGCAGACGCGCGCGGGCAGCGGCCGGAACGAGGGTTTGATGAAATTCCGACAGAACGGCAACGAGCGGCGCGATCTCAAAGTCGTCGGCGTGGGCCATCGTCCAGATTGGTGAGGTCGCATTGGGGAAGACGTGCTCCTTGTCGACCAGCGACCACACCCACAGCGACATGATGGCCACGTACTTGTTCATGTCATAGCCGTATGATCGATCCCACGGCCCGGCGAAGTTGCGCAGGTTGGCGTTCCACAGCTGCGACTCGTAGCCCCAGATGGTCTCGATCACGCGGTGCGCCTGCTGGCCGATGGTGGCGTTCGTCGCGCCGAGGTACTTGGCCGCGATGGTGAGGGCATACAGCGAGACGCCGGCGTAGGTCGGTCCATTGAACTCGGAGAGCGTGCCGTTGCGGTCGAACAATTCCAAAAACGCACGGGCGTCGTGGTCGCCTGCGGCCGTCATATTGGCATTGCCGAACTTGCGTCCTGTCCAGGAGCCCACCACCGTCCGCATCAGCCAGGCGTTCGAGTACGCGGGGTACAGATTGTCGCCATCCACGCCACCGACGCGGTAGGTATCCCCGACGGTGTTGTTGTACAGGCTGTCGAGGATCAGCTCCTGCACGGTTCTGGGCAGTCGGTCGCCGAATTCCTCGTAAATGACAATCAACGCCGTCCCGATGAACCCTCGCCAGTTGGGATCCCACGAATTATAGATCTAGGTACCAAGTTAGCTCCCAGCATCCCGCCCGCCCTTGCCCCCGCCACAAATTTATGGGCTGAATATATACTCACAACAGGAGGATAAGCCGGCGTCCCCACCGTCGGTTGTTCTGGGTACTTGGTGTAATCGCCGTACCACTGCACCGAGACATTCTTCTCCTGCCCCCCGATGACATTCTGCAAGATCCTCACCGCTTCATTGCGGTCCTCTCCACGATCTCGTTGCAGCAACCCCGCCGCATACCATACGCTGGACCGGGTCTCATGCGGCCCAGCCGCAAGCGGGAAGTAAAAGTATCGGAGATACGCGGCAGCCGGGTCGTAGATCGCATCTTGGATGACCATCGACTCGTCGAAGAGACTCTGTGCAGAAGTGCTGAGGTTCACGGCCTGCACGGCAGTTACTCCCAGCAGGCCCAGCCTGAGGAGTTGAGGCCAAATGATTTTCCAGCGCATGGTCGACGATCCTTTGATGGGTGGTACCCTAGTTATCGGATTGGGATTCGGCAAATGATTCCTGGGTGGAAGTGCACCCCTGTCGTTGACGGTACTTTATAACTTCTGCCTCCACCGGAGAAATTTCACCGGATTGCACCGCAATGGCCGGAAATACTGCTAGAGTATGATGATCTTGATTGCCCTTGGGCCAATGATGCCTTTCAGTGGACCAGTATGCGGGGCGAAGGACCAACCCTAAGCGGGGCGCGATAAGATAAGATACCCAGCCGAGGTTGTGATTGTGCCTCTGCTTGTTCCCCCGCATCGGTTGCTCGCGGTGGTACCACCAGCCACCACTTTGTGTTCCCAGCCACCCCAAATGAACATGGCGCTCTTGCGGGGTAGAGTGGTTTGATTGCTGTGATGATGTCACTTGGTGTGCCCTTCATCTTTATCATCTGCTTGGATAAGTGAGATCTGTCCGCCCACCGGGTTGTTGATGGTTTGTTGCCGCGTGAGGCGTTTGGATTCCAGAGATGGAGCGTGGCATGATTGTTCGGCTACTTGTTTTTCTGTTGAACTTCCGCACACTCTAATACTTGTGCCACATTGGAGAGATTGCGGGATGAAAGGGAAGAAGACACGTTCGAAACCTTTAGCTTGAAGGATCAATAAACGTCACCCGTTCCTCCAATGTTCGACTACTGACGGACGGGGATTCATTACCCGCGACTGCGGCAGGTCCCTCGACCCGGGAGCCAGGTACATGAGTGTGGTACAGTTACACCGTCCCGCGCATGATCTGTACTTCCTACCAGCTGTTGTACCACAGCACCTCGTCTGTTGCAAGATACCTTGTACAAAATGACTTCCACCCCCGTGGAAGCAATTGATTAATGCAATAGCAGGACACAACCCCCACCAGCGTTTCCCCTGTTCAACAAACGACGCTACTGCCTCAACCTCCACTTCACATACGACCTAGAAGGGTAGCGCCGCTCACTCACCCGTGCCAAATCCCCCACACACCCGGGGATATCCTCATCAAACCCGTAGAAATCATAGACCACCGCATCATCATCCGGAATGAGCCTGTCCCGCAGATCGAAGAACAACTGATAGAGGGCAGACACCTTACCTCGAGTTCCCCGCAGCGTCCGCACAACATCCAGAATGAACGACCCAAACGGCGCATACGACAGAATATGCCCGTAGACATCACCGTCGCCGGTGCGACCAGGCTCCCACGCTCTGCCATGAATACTCTCCGTCACATCCTCAATCACCCGATCAATGTTCAATATCACTTGATAATTGGGGGCCGTGCTATGCGCCCGGATAGCCAGCAACATCCACCGCAGCGCCAGATCGGCCAACACATGGTTCGGCTCGATGACTTTGCTCGCAAACCCAAACCACCGACTAGCCAGCAGAGACTCGAGCCACCCACCACCAAACTCGCGCAGAAACCGGAAGCGCTGCCGGCCGAGATCGTAGTGGCACCCCGGGAGCCACTCCTGCCGCGTCACCCCAAACCGGTCCCAGTCCCGCTCACAATGCCTCGCCAAATCGCGACTCACCAGACACGGCTGGAAGATAAACAGCCGATCGTGTAGCGACACCGCATGGTGCACATTCGCCACGACCGTCGAGACGTGCTGATCGTAGAACACCGGCCAGTCCAGCCCCACCCCGCCGGTGTACTCGGGAATACCCAAGCTGCCGACCGTGTCGAGGAGGCCCATGAACCGGATGGGCGGGTGGAAGCGCGGCGCAGCCGCATCCTGCGGATCCTCGTCGCCAATCAGCGGCCAGGATTTCGTCTGCCGGAAGCGCAGGGACTGCGGCGCGTGCGGCGCGTTGCTCGCGTACGGCGAGCGGTAGAGGTTGTAGACTGTCTCGCAGAGGAGGCGGGTTTGGGCCATGTCGATCTCGCCGGTGCCGGGAATCCGGAGCGGGCGCACGATGCCGCAGTTGTTGATCATCCCCGCCACGGCGCGCGCGAGGTAGGCGCCCCGCGAGAGTCCGAAGAGCCAGATCTCGTGTGAAGGGTAGGTGTAGTTGTGTACGAGGTATTCGTAGATCGTGATGCATTGCTGTCCGATGTCTTGGCCGGTCATGCCGTTGAAGAGGTAGCTGGGTGGGGTGGGGGTGTGTTAGTGGTGGTTGGGCTGGGGGTATGGTCGTGGTCTGGGCAAACAACGGGTGTGGGATGAGCGGAGGATCAGGGAAGGGGATATACTCCAGGAACGAACTACCCAGTCCTACACCTTCAAGATAGAGGACCCCGTCCGGAGATTGGATCCGGGCGCCGATTCGTACGCCGAACAGTTCGGCGAGTTTGTAGATGTTGCTGCGGGTGTTGGTCTCGCGACCGCACCAGGTCCCGTCGCAGAGGATGATGAGGGGTTTGGTCGGGTGGTCTGTTGGGGCTGGGCGGGTTAGCGTGCGCGATGGTTTCGGTAGGCAGGACATGATTGCTCTTGTATAGGCAGTGGTGGATATGGTTAGATCTGTGTATGCATTGAGTGAGAGGTGCCAGAGAGAAAGAGAGAGAGAGAGAGAGATCAGCACGGAGAAGGGGATGAACGAGGGAGGCAGCTACTGCAGCCTTAACAGGGCAGCGGCACGGGACGGACTATCCATGGGTCTCGCGCTGGATGGCGTCGCAGGGCCCGTGCACACGAGCTCCTCTCCGCTTGGCCCTGCTACGCCAAACACGAGTACGATCGGCGGAGTGTCAGATGGGGAGTGGGTTCGGCTGGGGAACTTTATTTGTGATCTAGACCCTGGGGAGGGGAGGGTGTATATGTTTTAGGTGCTGTTCGACACTGTCTTTGGGGGGTCGCCTGTATAGAGTAGGTTGTTTGCGGCTTGAGGACACTGGATGGCGGTAATTCCACCCGAAGACCTCGTGCTGAATTGAACCTCGTGGTATTCTTAGTTCTGTCATTAGTAGGTTTCGTACTTCGTATTCTTGACTTTGATCTCGCTCACTGGACCCTGAAATCAGTACAGTACAATCGTTGTTATGGTGAGAATTATTGGAAGCGGAACGTACTGCGCCGACCCCTCGAGCTCGGAACATCGGATCACCCACATCTAGACAGATGATATCAATCGCACTGAGCCCTTATGATCTTATTCCCTAAATAAGTGAGAGACGTCCCACAGAGCTTTGTCGATTCAGTCCTGTGGGGGGTCCAGCCTTGTCAAGGTTATATAAGCAAGGGCCTTCATGCCTGAGGCACAAATAAGGCTGACGGGCCCCGGCGTGGACGGGGACATGAGAACTCGACCTATATGTACAGTACTGTACTCTCTCCCAATCTTTCCAGACGAAGCAACATATGAACATTGTGACTGAGAGTGTACCGTTCGATTTTGGACGTTCATGCATGTACCACTATCAATCTACACCGCATCATGATAAAGATGAACTGAGAGATGCCGATTGCCAACTGGTGCAGTGCGGCGGTTTCAGTTCCGGGTACTGGACAATTCCGTCTGTAATTCCGACGATCGTTCGGTCAACGATGCCGATTCAACCGGAGACTCGAATTACAACCCACCACCTCATCTCCTCCCATCGGACCAGTCTTCTGAGCAAGTAGTTCCAATCCCTACTTCACTAATATCATCACGTGAACAGAGTAAACAAGCCGCTTGTTTCAGCTGGCTGCTTCTACAATTTCAAGTACTCACCAGATGCCGCGAAAACAAGGTGGGACTACCTTCTCCACACCAACAAACATTCGAAAACTCGGGCTGATCTGATACAGCAGCTACAAAGAAGCGCCATGCAGTCGAAGACCACAGCAGCGCCTCTGAGCTGAACCTGACCGGCTCGAAACGACAGAAACGGGGAAAATATGTCTCCCAGGCGTGGTGCGTTGCTCGTTTCGTCCCCCATCCTGATCCCAGCAAGCGCCGCAGACGCTAAGACTCCAGCAGTGACCAGTGCCAACAAAGGAAGATCAAAGTAAGACACAAATTCAATTCCAGGTTCCGAGTCGGATGCAATAACAACGATAATGATTTAGTGTGACGGACTGCTCCTCTGCACACCTTGTGCCGTGTACGGGCGCACCTGCGGCAAGCGAAGCACCGATATGCGGCGTCGATCGGCCAGGAACCAAGCGGATGCTATTCAAGATCGCGGTTCGGCCAGAAGGCGTGACAGTCTTGAAACAGCGGAGACAGTTCGCTCTCATAGCACCATACCCCTGCACAACCCACTTGAGAATCATGGTCACGATGGTAGCCCAACCACCAGAGAGCTTGCATTCCGCCTAGAGCATCTGGAGCAGATGGTTCATCGCACCCTTGACACCCTGGCTTTACATTCTGCAACGGTACGTGGTGAGCGACATCCTGTCGCTGTGACGGCGTCGCGCCAGCGTATGCCTTCGGGCGGGACCCGTTCAAGTACTACACCCAGGCAGAATGAGTTGATGCAGAGTCAACCCCCCAGCTTTTCAGGCGAGACATCCATTCAATATACTCTTAATCAGGTGGAGGGTGACTTGGTGAGATCGGACCGCACATTCGAGACTGCGATTGCTCACAGTCCAACTCGACGGTCGACACCGGCCTTAACCCCTGTCCCGTCTTCCCCAGATGCCGAAGCCACATCTCGCGAGGCATCCGATCTTGATAGGCTTCTACACAAACATGGCATTGAGGCAGATAGAGTTCACTGGGATGAATTCTTGCATATCTTTTGCAACGAGATTCACACCATGTATCCACTCCTTCATCTCCCGACCCTGTGGCACCGATACACACAAACATGGACCACATGGTCCTTGGGTGATACGGAGCCAAGTATGCCGACCGGACGGCACAAACAATTTGTGGTCGCTCAACTACTGATTTGTCTCGCTACGGGACGTTGTACTGCGTCGCCTCGCATTGCTGGTGCAGAGGCTCGACACTCTGCGGGGTGGAGTCTGTATCGAGCTGCTGCAGAGCTCGTTGGCGACATACTCGATTGCTTCGAAGAATGCTCCGATCAGATCTTGGTGTTGCAGACGCTAGCTTTGATGGTATGATATGTTGTTTCGCCAACTTCCTGTTGCTCCTCTGGTGAAGGGGAATGTTGTGAGCTGACCATGAGACATCCAGGTCATTTATCTATTTCGCTTGGACATGATTAACAAAGCAGAAAAGCTTCTCGCGATTGCCATTTCGCACGCTCATTATCTGGGGCTTCATCGGTCCCAGCCTGTTATAGAAGGGCTGACACCGTCTGAGATTGAAATCAATCGGCGGCTTTGGTGGTGTCTCTATACCATGGATCGCCGACTCGCCATCGACACTGGGCGCCCATTTCTGATCCAGGACATCAACGTAAATACACCTTTACCACAGGACCTACATGATGATTACCTTTTTTATCGTCGAGTGGACTCGGTTTTGAGTCTAGTCTCCGCTCTGCAAACACCCAACAGAGCCACCGGCGCAGTGACCCCGATCCCGTACCTCACTGCAATGGTGACATATTCTCGGGTGCTGGGAAAGGTTTGGGAGGGGATGTACGGTGCTGATTCAGTTTTGCAACCCTCTCCTCGGGATAGTCCCCTGCTCCGCGAACACTTCGAGCACTTGATCTCTCGGGCGCAAGAGGAGATCCCACCAGAGTTTGTCTACCACCTTTGGCAGCGAGGATCCCATTCCAAGCAGCCAGTAGAATGGCTAGCCAAGCAGCAAACGCTCATGCGGGTCGTATGTTCATCACAATCTCCAACATTTGGATCTTCTAGAGTAATACACTAACATTTTGCAGCGATGGCTCTCGCTGCGTCTACTCATCCGCAGGCCCATGCTTCAGGAGGCCACTTCATCCCCCGCCGCCATTCTTACCAGGCTCGACAATGAACAGATATGTGCACAAATTGCAGATGACGTGATCCAAGAGTGCATCGAGATTCCCGAGGAGCAGACGGTCTCCACATACCCTTTTTTCCATTACCTACTCAGCGCGGCCATCATCTCAATCGGACTGATCATCAAACAGCCGTCATACAAGGATGCGTTTGGCGACATAACCGTGAAGGCAATTCAGGTTTTGGAAGCCTACCCTCGTAGAACATGGGTCTCGGGGAAGTTAATCCGGAACGTGTCAAAGCTGGGTCACATCGTACGGCGAGTCATGGCTAGAGGCGCTCGCTCTTCTCCAGTAGTTACCGACCGTCATGACCCTCCGAAAGGATTGACACCTGTCTTGCACAAATTTCCGGCATCACATACCGATAAGCTTCCTCCATCACCTGTATCCAGAAACCCAGAACCTAGTTCGTACCTTCGACTGAAAGCGCCAGCCCACCGGCATCATCGCGTGTCCGTACAAGATAACAGTGTGACTAGTGGGTCGGAGGTAACAACAGCGCCGTCATACATACAAGCCCCTTCCAACGCATTGCCGAACCTTGGTATGACGGATTGTGATCACGAGGACCTATACCTCGCGCACGACAGAAATCCAAGTGGTAACGGAGTGCATGTTCAATCGAACGCTAGGTGCTGCGCACATGGGCCGCCTCTACGGTCGCACGAAGCTACTACCACCGTCCCGGAAGAGGATGATGCCTGCTGGATGTCGCTGGGTAGTAGGATGAGACAGTCACCGCCTACGGAACGATCGTTCGAGTGTGCAGATCGGGCAGAATCCGTGGTACAAGAGATGAAGTGGCTCGAAGCGCTTTTTGGGAGTTACCTCGACTCGAACCTAATTGTTCGGCCTGGTGAATAATCGTGTGACGGCCGGACTTTTGAGACTTGTAAAGATATTGAACATAAACGCCCAAGGCATACTGTGCCTCTTCATCCTAGATGTTCCTTCTTGATGACGCCTCTGAGAGAGGTGGAAGAGGCTTGGATTCTGACTATGTTAGGCTATCTGTGAGAACTAGCTAAGGCTGCTGAGGTGGGCGGTGAGCTGGCAGCCTAAGGCAAGGCCACCGGGCCGCCGTCGCTTTCCCTTGCTCTGCATCTCTCCTTCCTCCATTATTCCAATACTAATACCAGAGGTTAAGTCCAAATTGATCGATCACATGACTGTCTTCGGTGATCGGATCATTCGGCTCGGTAGTAGAACGAATGGCGACCGATCGTCCGAGACAACAAATCCCACTAACAATAACAACAACAGTCAGAATCCCGAAGAATAGGCCGGGCGCGTGGAATGGCAACAAATCTCTCACACTTGTCCAGTTGCTGGATCATAAATTATCTTGTCCGAGTCCCCCTCCGTGTACTCCTGCCCGTGGAGGCGCAGTGCTCTGGAGGAAGCAAGCAAAATTAGCAACCAAAGCATAGAGGTGTAGACGCCGAATCCCCTCACTCCACCAGCTCTACCACTCGCGCCTTGATCGCATCAACCTGCGACTGCTCGCGGAAATCGTAGATGTAAAACGTCAGAGGAAAGCCCGGCAGCCGCGTCATGGCGATGAGATTCATCCGCCCGCCCGGGTTCTCGAACTCGGCGCTCTGGACGGTGCTTTCCCAGTTCAGGAGCTGGGGGAAGCCGTCCAGCCCCCGGGCTGCCTCTAACGCTTGCACTTCCCATTCGAATTCGGGTTGCGCGACGCCCTGGAAAGTGCATTTGTGTGTTGGGTGTTGGCTGAATGCGGAGAAGATAGTGGAACTCAATTTAGCCTCTGCTGGACCTGGGTGGTTGTAAGGAAGGGGGGGGGGGGAAGGCTTCTGACGAGGGACTCTCACTGGATGAAGAATTTGACCACGGCTTGCTGCCGCTGTTGCTGCTGCTGATCATCGAGCTTGGTGGCATGAAAGACGGCGCGTCGCTCGCTGTAGGGGCGGAATACTTTCTCGGAGACCAGTCGGTCCAGTCGATATCTGTCTGTGCCGACTGGGAACTCTCTTCCTTCGAATTTCAGCAGAGTGGCTTCTTCGAGGAGAGGGTAGTCGGGTGGTTCTTCTGGGGTATTGTCGGCCATCGTTTCGAGGGGAGGATAGCAACAAGGTGTTGAGGCTGATGGGGATGATCAGTTGCTGTCAATTGATTAGTAGAGAGATGGAGGGGCGGGGAAGTACCGCAATAGATGGTGGTGGCCCGGGAGATGGCGACACTATGTGGTCATGGCGGGTTTGCATCCCTTGGAATAGTTGCACGGCTTCGTGTTCGCATCAATCACTTAAAGAGACGATAGAGCGCGATTTGCATGTCTTTATAATAGAGAGGTTAGGGATGGCTTGGGAAGGAGGCACAGGGTTATTGATTTGATACCTATCTGTGAAAACAGAAGCTCGCCGGGGATGGCACACTTATTGAGCTCCTTCCTCGATGACTTTCCCGCGGAGCAGTTTCTGCTCGACTTGATCTCTGTATTACACGCTATATCTTTTGTTAAGTGCTTTGGAATCTGAAGAATGTCCTGGATGAGAATGGGACGTCCGTGGAAGAGACAGCAGGAATGCTTATGCGAGGGGAGGAGAGAGGGTAGATGTGCAAGTGCCCCAAAGAAGGAACAGTTCGTTAAGTGGTCTCAGAGTCTAGTGAGCACTGATGATGCCAGTATCTGAGAGCCAAAACTCATGACTATCCATTAACATTGTTTGAATTGACTTGGCCCAGAAGAATCATTCACCATGTTGAGTACTGAAGTTGATGTGAAGGTTTCCTTGAGCTGTGTGGCTAACTGCGTTAGATCTTAGTAAAGATACCAGACTGCAATGGAGATAGAAGCAGTACAGCTTCCAGGTTGTGAATTGCAAAGGTTTGCGTATATCCTGTGAATTCTCGCCAGGAAAAGCCTTTATAAAAAGATCTCCTCAGACTATTCACATATACATTTTGACATTTGACCGAAGGAGTGCATTGAGGTCGCCTGAGTGAGAGGGAAGTGCGTTATTAGGAGGTATAGTAGTTTAGCGTTATTCCCTTCATTCTTTTGTGTTAGAATCTGCGTTTTAAGCTCGTAGTATTGTGGTTGGGGTTGTGATCTGCATGCTTGCCTGACAGTTGTATTTCTCTATAGATAAATATTCGCTGTAAGTTCATGGAGAATAATTTGTGTACTTTGCATGAAAGCTCGGTATCCTGGCGAAGTGAATTTTCAAGCGGTCACAGAGACTTGTGACAAATAGAAATTTACATCGAGGTCTTGAAAGCCTATATATTGTTTCCAGGCTGTGGAAGGTGAGACTGTTTTCTGATAATGAGCCGTGGCTCAATCCCACTTATAGCCTCGCTATCCGGTACTTGTGCTGTATTTTCAACCCGGGCACGAAATCCTTTACTAAGTGTCCCTCAAGCATAAGGATACTCCTGCCTTAAGCAGCGAATGGAGCAAGAAAAGGAAATTTTCAGGGTTAATGATGTGGTAGTAAGATTATCGTTACTCGGGACGTTGAGACTGATATTCGACTGATCTCAACACGAACTAATCATCCTACCAACAGCTAAGCTTTCCCTCATCCCTCCCTTCAGCGAACAATTAGAAGAACCATTCAGCCCTTGGCTAAACCGGTAAACCTCCATTCACCGTCCCCAGCGCTGCCAGAATCCTGCCTGAACGTCTTCTAACAATATGGGCCACAATGGCATGAAACGACCAGAATATTTATGCATGAATGGAGCCTTGATAACCATAGGCGGCCTCCCAATCTTCCCACCCCCATCACTTGGAAGTTTGTGGTCCAATTCGTTGCAATCGTGCCACTCCACCCTCCTCCGTGGACCGGACCTAACCTGCCTTTTTCGTGCGCAGAACCGCCGAGAAATGCTCGCATGTCGCTGTTTCACCTGCTCACTTGCTCACCTGCTCTCCCAAAAGACTTACAACCAGGAACATAAGGGGAGTGGGGGCTAACCAGGGTTGTCGACTGGGGAAGAATTTTTAAACGCGAACTCAGTGACTTGGTAGGTCTTGCAATCCACAGTCTGTTGGAAAAGTTGCCATACTACATAAGAGACACGGGCCGGCTTTCCCTCACGAGGCAGCGCCTTTCACCGTCCTTGACCGGCGAAATCCCGTGAACCGAACATTTGTTGCCAAGTGTGATTATCTAGGTTGATGTTACATCGCGGAAGGATGTCTGGGCCCTGCGCTGGGAGTAATGTTCATGATCATTTATTGCATGTGGAGTTGCAGAAGAAATCGCGCAGATTGCATATTCGAGACTTCCCCCAGGGTACCAGAAGGAAGTGTGTTGCCACTGTTCGGATGATGTGTCTATTTTGCCATGCTCGTCTTCATTTGTCCCTCTCGCCCTTGGTTTGGCATTTCAAGCCCATTTGCCCGTCGGGAGAAGTCCCCGCCCGGTGACTGAGACAATCCGTTCCTCAATACGTAATGATTCTTGATGGATCGGCCTCCAGCTGAAGGGATCTTGTTGGCGAACCCTCCGTCTGTCTCGTAGCGCCACTCCCCCTCCCCAATACCTCCATCGCGAGGATCAAAGTCTGATGGGAAAAGGTAGCTGTGTTGCTCGCAAATCCTTAGATTTCCGAGTTATGAAAAAGATGTTGAGTTGGAGAGGAATTAAGCTGAGCGAAGAATTCTAATATTTTCGCAATAGCCGAGCTCTGCAAGGTGCCTGTTGGGGCTTTCAAGGACGATACTCCATCATGCCCAGACCGAGTCTAAGACACATGGATGAGACAGTACAAAAAGGGTCAGAACTCTTGCAATAGACCAGCTGTGAAACTACCCTTGAAAAGGAAGGTGACAATGTTTTGCTTGGTGGGGGCAGAGGCAGTGTTGTGTATGTTTGCAAAACAAGGGCGGAAAATAATACGAAGTATAGGCGTTACGAGTATTTTGGGTATGATACCGGTAATCCGCGGAGACAGCAATATCCCTCTTATCTGATGATCTGATAATCTAACCTTTGTTTTTACGTAAAGCATGCCAATGATCGGAGTCCGTATTGCTTCCGTGGCCGAGATGTTGTCGGTTGAGTGACTGCCGAAATAGAGGTCAACGCTGTTGTTCTATACTTGCTTCTCTCGAGCTCTCACAGTTCTTGCGCCGCTGCAGCCAAGGGTGTTGCTGCTTCAAAATGCCAGCATCAGAGCCTTCGAAAAGCGATCAGACGGAAGGAGCTGTCAAGCGCCCAAGCCATGCACAGAAAGTCGTAAGATTTCACCCTCTTTATTTCTTGCACAAACCACTGACAAATATAGATCCACCTGGTGTCAGGACATATACCAAAACCGAGGGACATCAAGACTGCGTTTAGCTTCATCCGTCTGCTATTCTCGCTCAATTACACCCGCGTCGACCTTGCTCTTATAACCGTCGGCACCCTCTTCGCCATTGCAGCCGGCATCCCCGAGCCTCTGCTGGGGATCGTCCTCGGCCAGCTCATCAACGAGCTCAATGATGTCTCCTGCTCCGCGACGACCTACGACCCATCCTCCGTCCGCACGAAAGTCCTCTACTTGATCTACATCACCATCTTCAACTTCGCCGCCATCTACATCTACGCCGCCTGCTGGGCGCTGGTGAGCGAGCGTCTGGCCCGCCGCTACCGCAAGGCGTACTTCCGCAGCTTGATCCGCCAGGAAGCCGCGTTCCATGACACGTTGCCCTCGGGACAGGTCGTCTCGCGGCTGGTGAGTGACATTGAAACAGTGCAGTCGGGGACCTCGGAGAAGGTGGGCATATACATCGCGACGCTGTCGTATTTCATCACCGCGTACATCGTGGCCTTCATCAAAGTGCCCGTTGTGGCGGGGATTCTGATCGCCATCGTGCCGTGCTTCTTTGCGATGTCGCTGGTGGGAGGCCACTTTACCTCGCGGTATGGCAACCGCGTCGGGAAACATGTCGATCGGGCGACGTCTATTGCTTCGTCCAGTTTGTCGCATCCCCGCATCGTGCATGCTTTCAATGCCCATCGGCGCCTGGAGGAGCTGTTCTCTTCGAATCTCTTCAGTGCGCGCAAGGATGCACTGAAGAAGGCAGCAGTACATGCGGCCCAGATGGGGTTTCTGTTTTTTATTGTGTACTCCTCCAATGCCCTGGCGTATTGGAAGGGTTCGGACCTGATCGCGGACTACATTGATGGTGTGGGCTCTGGGGTCTCCCTTGGGGCTGTGTACACCGTGATCTTTATTCTCATTGATGGTTGGTCTTCTTCTGATTTTCTTGCCTTCCTGTTATGAGATTGGCAGCTGGGAATTTCCCATTGGTCTAGCTACGCATGCTGACAGATGCCGTACAGCCTCCTTCATCTTGAGTCAAGTCTCTCCGTACATGCACGTGTTCAGTGCTGCTGCGAGTGCATCCGAACGATTACTGGAAGTCATTAACCGTGACTCCGCGATCGATGGTACTTCGGAGACGGGGCAAAAGAGGATAGATCTCGCTGATAAGGAGATCATCTTCGAAGATGTTTACTTTACATACCCCGCACGTCCTACGAACCCCGTTCTGCAAGGCGTTCACTGTATCATCCCCCCCAAAAAGCATACAGCCATTGTCGGACCGTCGGGAGGTGGGAAGTCCACCATCGTGGCACTCCTGGAGCGCTTCTATGATCCATCGTCCGGGATGGTCCGGATTGAGAGTCAGGATATCCGTGCTTTGAACGTGGCAAGCCTGCGCGGCCAGTTGGGATTCGTCCAGCAAGAATCCCAACTCTTTGATCGGTCGATCTTGGAGAACATCGCATACGGGCTCGTCGGGTCCACAGCGCACGAGAATCTGACGGAGGTGATTCTGGATATGAGTCTGTCGGGTGTCGTGGAGCAGATTCAAGCGGGAACTCCGGAAAAGGACGTTTTGACTGCTTGCGATCCCAGAATTGCCGAGATCGTTCGTCGGGCGAAAGAGGCTGCTGACAAGGCGAATGCATTGTCGTTTATTGAGGCCCAGCCCTTTGGGATCGCGACGAGTGTTGGGACTGCTGGAGGTCAACTGAGCGGTGGTCAACGGCAGCGCATTGCTCTTGCAACCGCCCTTGTTCGTGAGCCCAAGTTACTTGTACTCGATGAGGCAACCGCTGCACTTGACTCTATCAGTGAACGCTTGATCCATGAGGCCCTCCTCAAGGTGTCGGGGACTACTACGATCGTCTCTATCGCGCACCGGCTGGCGACGGTCAAGGACGCTGATCAAATCATTGTCATTGAGAAGGGCCGGGTGGCTGAGTATGGTTCTCCTCAAGAGTTGATGGAAAGGAATGGTAGATATGCAGCCATGGTTGCACAGCAAAAGTTGGATCATGGGGAGTCACAAGAGCTTGTGACGGCAGCTGGCAGCATGATTGAAAGATCTGACATTCAGAGTCCGCTGGTTCCTGTCACTGAGAAAGACAACATCCACGAGAAAGATAAGATCAACGCGACCGTGCAAAACAAATCGGGACCGGAGCAGGAGGATCCCCCTCACTCGAGATGGCTAACCTTGAATATTTGTTTCTCTTTCATCCGCCCCAACCTTCTTCTGATCGTACTAGGTCTGGGTATGTCGGTCATTATCGGTGCTAGTTACAGCTCAAACGCGGTTCTATTCGGCAATACGCTGGGAGCGCTCAGTCCATGCAAGGGTACTCCCAGCATTAGACACAGCGGGAGTTTCTTCGGCCTCATGTTCTTCATTGTCGGGCTCGTCGAGTTCTTTGCCAATATCATTGGTGGCTGTGCCTATAGCTGGGCTGCTGATCAGACTCTCTATCGCATCCGTGTTGCTTCCTTCCGCTCCTTGCTTGCCCAGACTATAACCTGGCATGGTACTGACGGACGCAGTCCAGGAACGTTGATCTCGTACCTCACCGGCGATGCTTCAGCTATCAGCGGCCTGACTGGAACAACCATTGGTCTTTTGCTAGCAACGACAGTCAATTTATTTGCCGGCATTATCATCTCGTTCATCGTTGCGTGGAAGATATCCATTGTCCTGCTGCCTACCATCCCTGTCCTCTTGGCAGCCGGGGTCATGAAGCTCCGTGTGCAGAATCAATTCGCCGAGCGGCACAAGAAAGCATTCTCGCGGGTTACCGAGATCACCGTCGAGGCGCTGGGGAACCTGCGTTTTGTGGCTGGATTCTCGCTGGAGAAACAGCTTTACCGGGAATTTATCCACGCGATTCAGGGGCCATACCAGAGGACCATGAAGGCTATTGCTTGGGGCAACTTCTGGCTGGCCACTGCCTTCAGCGTCAGCAATCTGATCAGCGCCCTTGCCTACTGGTGGGGCTCCAAGCAGATTGCCTCGGGTCTCTACTCCCAAACGCAGTTCTTCATTGTCCTGCCCGCGTTACTCTTCAGCACCCAATCCTGCGGCCAGATGCTCGCCCTTGCACCCGACCTCTCCAAAGCCGGCAAGGCTGCTTCTCGCATCGTGGACTTGGTAAACACTGACTCCGCGGAGAAGGAAGCCCGAACGGACACGCACAAGGAGATTATCCCGTGCGGGGAGAAGTCGGATGTCGACGTCGAAGCCAACCCAGCCTTGATGCCCCCTTCTGAATCGACAGCTTCACCTACCCCGATTGGCGCCGAGCTGCGTCACGTGCACTTCTCGTACCCTACCTCGCCGGACCTCCCCGTCCTCCGCGGCCTGAGCATCACCTTTGCTCCAGGGGGGTTCTACGCCCTCGTCGGGCCCAGCGGGTCCGGTAAGTCTACCATCCTGGCCATGCTGGAACGCTTCTACTACCCGTCCTCCGGAGCCATCCACATCGACAATCAGGACATCACCCGCCTTCGCTCCACGGACTTCCGCAACGAGATCGCCCTCGTCCCGCAGGAGAGTGTGCTCTTCGAAGGCAGCGTAGCCTTCAATATTGCCCTCGGCGCGCGGCCCAATGACACACCCACACAGTCCGAGATCGAGGCCGCGTGCAAACTCGCTCAGATTCACGACGTGATCATGGACTTGCCGGACCAGTACGAGACGATCTGCGCCCACAACGGGAAGCAGTTCTCGGGCGGCCAGCGGCAGCGGCTGGCGATCGCGCGGGCGTTTCTACGCAAGCCCCGGCTGTTGCTGCTAGATGAGTCAACAAGTGCATTGGACGGGGAGTCAGAACGGCAAATCCAGAAGGCGTTGCAGGGGTTCGTGGGGAAGACGACGATCGTGGCGATTGCGCATCGACTGCGGACGATTTATCGGGCGGATCGGATTTTCTTGATTGAGGAGGGCCGGTGTACGGTGCAGGGGACGCATGCGGAGCTGGTGGAGCGGAGTGCTATTTATCGGGAGAGTGTGGTTCATCAGTCGTTGGATATATGATTGTGTTAGACGGTTGGTAGATAGTACAACTTCATCTGTTGTCTGAATTACTAGAGTGGAGGATTAGGTATATAGACATTTGCACATATATAAGAACAGCCGTCCCCATTGACAGGCACCCAAAAACCGCAAGATCACACTATTAATTTACAAACTTCCGCACAGCAACAACCTAGTAGCATAATTACCCTCCTTTCTCACCCTTCGAAACTCCATCACCAGCACACTCCCCAGACCTACAGCATCACCCCCTTATTCTGCCGCTGATCCACGCTCACGTTCTTCCAAATCAGAATACACGGGAACCCGAGCACCAGCACCGCCGTCGTCGCAATACAGCTATACTTCTGACTCTCGCCCCAGGCAAAATTTATCGCCGTGCGCACCTCCGACCCGACCGGATATTCCATCTGCGCCAGGTACCCACCCAGGTAGATATCCGCCCAGTCGCGTTTGACTGCCAGGGGCAGCGCCTCCCGTAGCCGATCCGGAAAGACATTGGTATACACCGCGGAGCCGACGGTATTCCCCGCCGCACCGCCCAAGCTCGCAAACAACCCCAGGATCGACAGCATCATGGGCACGCCATCGTGGTCCGCGACCGCCATGACCGCCATATCCTGGCCGATGACCAGCGTGCCGCCCGCGACGGCGATGAAGATCTGGCACATCACCACGTACCCGATGTGATGGTGCTCCCCGCGGAAGTAGACCATCAGCCCGGACCCGAGGATCATTAGGGGGAGCCCGAAGTACAGACACGCATGCTTGAAACGCTTCGTCTGGCGGATATACAGCCCGAACAGCGGGGCCCAGAAGCACGACCCGATGTTGTAGATCTGGTTCATGTACCCGCCCTCCGCGGCGGAGAGGTCGTGCACGACCATCGCGAAGTTCAGGAAGTAGAGGTCCCACGCCGCGTACCCGAGGTTCAGGAAGGCCGAGAGCAGGCACGCGCCGAGCACGGTCGGTTGGCGGAGCAGGCTGTACCGGATGAACGGGTGGCGCGCGTACCGCCGTTCCCATGCTGTGAACAGGAGGAGGAGAACGACGCCGATGACCAGCATCGCGATGAAGGTCGCGGAGCGGTATTGCGCGCGGCCGTAGACGGTGAGGCTGAAGGGGAGGAGGAGGAGGATGAAGGCTGCCATCAGGATGAGGGCGCCGATGGCTGTGGGTGCGACAGTTTGGGGTTAGTTAGGAGTTTTAGGGGAGGCGGAGACTGGGGCCCGGGGGCCCGGGGCTTACCGTCGAACTCGTGGATGTAATGCAGCACGGACTGCGTCCAGGTCCGGTTGCTCTGGCGGGGGGTGTAGAGGCCCAGTTGTTTGGCTTTGCGCTCGTGGAACTTGAAGACTACCGCCAGGGGCAGGAAGACGCACGGGAAGACGATGGCGAAGGCGCCATAGGCCCAGCGCCATGATGTCATGCTCAGGAAAGACTGGGCGGCGAGGGGCCCGGTGAAGGCTGTGCAGATGAAGGGGGTGTTGGAGAAGCCGAAGGCGAAGGCGCGGTTGCGTAGGCCCGAGGTGTCCGCCATGAACACGTCCAGGATCAGGTAGAGTGCGTTGTAGCTCACCCAGTACAGCACGTAGCCGGCCGCGAAGCCGCTGGGCCCCGTGCACGACGCTAGGACGATGATGCCCAGCACGAAGAGCGAGGTGAAGATGAGGAGCGCTTCTGCGCGGCCCCAGACGTTCAGGATCTTGGCTACTGGCAGCTTCATCACGCCGCCGACGACGGTCGCCAGGATGGCGGCTGTCGAGATCTCCGGGGCGGTGTTGAAGTTTGCGTATGCGTATACTAAAACGTTCAGGCCGATCGAGGAGTGAAAGGCGAGCATGAAGAAACAGACCCAAATCCTGCGATGAAGGAACTTGTTAGCTTTTTGGATGGGGTGGGAGACAGGAAGGGTGACGGACCAGGCGTAAATCACCAGCAATGTCTTCTTGGTCCAGACGTAAGCTGCAGCCTCCACCTTGTTGACGCCAGTTGCTCCGTTCTCCATTGTTTCGCTGACTTGCCCTTGAGCTTCCTTGTCATTCGAGGTGGGATGGTCGTGCCTCTCAGGGTCGGAGGTAGTCACTTGGTCTGCGGATGAAGTCTGATGGACTCGAGTACGATCGAGCGAAGCACGACTTGCCATGGCTGGTTTGTGGAATGAGCAGACACGATGGTCAAAAGAAGAGCAGATCTTTGCCCAATGTTGCGCTCGAGAAGGGTGGTGCTTAAGACACGCGTCGAGACCACAGAGAAAGGTATCGACAGCACCAGCAGACAACCTTCCGTAGAACAAGCGGCTTGCAGAGGTGGCAGGAGAGTTTTTCGTTCTCGCTGGCGTGACTCGGCTTAGTGGCACTATTGATTCTCACCGACACTAAAATCTGATAGAGACCGCTTGTCCTCCGCGGAAAAGGGAATTGTCGTACGACGGCCCCTGCGGTACGGCTAGTATCTGGTATCTCAAAATTACCGTCGGGTGGTATCAGGACGGCATGGACCCTGTTTCTTATACGTGACCAATCAGCACTCGCACAGTTGACTGGGACCCACGGACGGACCACCATCTAATCTGATAATCGCATCTAAACTGAACCCCTGTTCTGGGAAGCCCCCATCATTGGCTACCTTGCTTCTTGGCATGCACTCGCCAGGGTCTATAGTGAGACCCCGAACTCAATTCCACCTGGCAATTGGTAATCAGATCCTTGGCATGCAACCTCAATTTATTTGACATCCTCGGAAAGTCAACCCTGGGAGGATTATGACGCAGAACCGGCCAATAACCCAAACTGGCAAGACACATCCTACGGTGCCACAAGCTAAGAGGAGACCTAGCCCGTCTACATGTACGATGGAGGTTCCTTCTGGGCCTGGTAAGTGGCTACACGCATAGCCTGCCATCACAAGTCCGTTCTTTAGCGTGCAGGCAGAGTTTTCCACACCCGTTGGTCCCGCTCCGTCGAACCATAACCCACCGATCACGAGCCATTTGGCGTAGATCAAGCCTTCTTATCAATCTGATAATCGCCGGTACCGGCATCGTGCGCTGCTGACAGAGCGATTCGGGGTTGATCGGGATGTGGTCTGCCTGCGGGTTGCATGCCAGTGTCGTGGTGTCCGTTGCCTAACGATCCGTACCTGGGTCTGCGAAACCATAGCATGTATCCCCAGGGCGCATATATACTTTGACTGGAGCTTGCTAGACCACAATGGCAGCCCTCCCAGTATAATGAGTACTGTACATCATACTCCAGCGTAGACGACATGAACCTGACGAAAACGTACTCACCCCTCAAGAACTAATCGAGTAATGATCTCCTCAGCAAGCCGATGACCCAAGCAAGCGCGGAAAGCGCTAGAGGCCGAGCTGCCAAGAGGGGCAATATGTCTCGCCAAGCCGCAATGTCTTATTTGCCCCTGTCCGTAGTATGATCTTGGCAGGCTGCAGAAATTATTAGATTGAAAATTACAACCTTCCAACACATACTTACGCAGTTGTAAAACATTGTTGCGTGAAGTCGGCCGGCTCTACGGTTGCTGTATCAGGACAGGTCGTTGTTCTGTACTGGGAGTGTAGTTCCTTCCCGGTGTGTGAAGAATCCGAGCAGGGAGGCGGGAGGGGAAAGCTCATGTAGGAGTGAAACATAGGTAGATGACTGGGTCAGAGAACGCTCGATGTGATATGGATAAATAGAGACATAAAACGCTGTTTTTCACACCGAATAAGACAGAGCTGATATGGTGTGCAATCACAGACCAGCACGCAGTCCATGCTTGTTAGCACGCAGTCGCAGAACATACACCAAAAATCGAGATCATGATGATATCAGCCCCCAAGCTCTGGGACCGCCTCGTGCGTCCGACGAACGAGCTGGGAGATACCCCTGTCCCGAGCACTACAATTCCCGAGCGCCTCTTAGCGTCAGCGGATGAACAGACTATGGAGAATGGCGTGTACAATTTGAAGCAACTGAGAGGCCTAACAAGCTCAACAGATGTCGATGCCCTGGTGGAGGGTTATGCACGCTGGGTGATGCATGCGACCGGTCAGACACAGGTTGCCTTCTGGGTCATTGCACAGGCGGAGGACTGCAAGTCTGAACACATCCTGGTCATCGCACAATGCATGGACAACAGCCCTGCACTCACGTGGGAGGCCTTTGGGGTTTGCCTTTCAGTCGTCAACGCAAAGCTGAAGAGGGTCGAGTTTGGGCTGTGTCTCGTGCTGGAAGGAAAGATGCCAGCTGGGTCGGAAGATAATGTATGAGATCAAATATTGCCCTGACTATCGGATCTAGTGCGAGCGCTGACCGTTTCTTTGTGTCCTTCAGATCCAGCTCAAGTTATGTGTCGATATCGCATCCTCCGAAGCCAGGCTCATATATAAACCACGATCGGTCCAAGGCAAAGGTCTTCTGGCATTGGTGCAACAGCTGAAGCCATATCTGCCGTGCAACGACAATCAAGAAAATGCTTCTCAATTCTGGCATAAGCATCTCGAGGGTTTCGTCGGAGTATGCGAAAGACAGTTCCCAACACTCTCTTGCGTGCGCATGGTTCTTGAGCCGGACTACCCACCAACCGTGTCACGAACCCTCACGCTAGAGGCGTCCAGGGAACGACTTGAGCAATTTACTGCTCAGTCCAGCTTAAGGTCAATCGACACGATTTCTCAAGGCGCATTTGCGACAATCCTCTGCGAATACCTTGAGCTTGATAGAGTGATGCTCGGAGACGTCACCTCATCCACCGCCGACTCGACTATTCTGACTTCAGCTTCCATCCTACCTGTCCCAATTGTCATCGGTCCTCAAATGACAGCGAAAGAGTTATTGCATCGCGTCGATGAGTTCACGTCGAGTGTGGTTGCACCGAAAGAAGTGTCACTGGGGTTGACACGACAGATACTGCAATGTCCTCCTTCACAGGCCCTTTTCAACGCACATTTCATTGGGAGTCCTCAGACCGGGCCAACAGAGATACATTCCGCGCAGTCTAACATCAATAGCTCACCGATAACATTGAGAGTCCAATCTTCCGAGGAATGCAATATGTCATGCACGCTCTCGGTCCGAGGTGACTTGATGGACACTGATCATTTAGACCTCGTCCTACAGCAGATTGATGCTTTAATCACTGCAATGATCAGCAATCCCACGGAGCAGATCCATAACCTCACTCAAGCCTTCCCAGAGCATCTCCTCTCCAGGCACGCACCTGTGGTCAGCGAGCAAGTGAAGCAAGCACCCAGTCTATCTCCTTTTTACTGGGTAGACCACTGGGCGAACTCGAATCCAACTTGGTCAGCCGTTGAAGTCATAGAATCGGTCAGTGAGGGCGTAATCCAGTCTCAAACATGGAGTTATGGTGAGCTGGCACAGACTTCTGATCGAGTTGCTACGTGGCTCGCCCGCCGAGGCTGGCGCAACTCCATGATCGGCGTGTGCCTCGGTCGTTCCTTTCTCGCTTATGCAATAGTCTTGGCGATATGGAAGACTGGAAACTGCTACATTCCCATTGCGGAAGATCTCCCCGAAGCACGACGAGTTCTCTTGCTCAGTGATAGCGGTGCTACGGCTTTGTTCTCTGACAAGGAGGTGCTGGGAGACGTAGTTCCCCCCGATGGATGCGAGGTTATTGATGTTAACAATCCTGAGTTCTATGAGCAGTTTACCAGTGCTGGGGGACCGGCCGTGGTTGATGCAGACCCGTCTGACAATTGCTATCTTCTCTACACTTCCGGGTCCACGGGGCTGCCGAAGGGCGTGTTAGTGACTCGTGGCAATCTGTCCGCCTTCACAGAAGCGCAGTCCGAATACATTTGTCGGGATGTGCCAGATACCCTGAAGCTAGGAGGCGCGGGCAGCTACTTGGCGCATGCCAGTCGGGCCTTCGATGTCCATATCTGTGAGATGGTTCTGGGCTGGCGCCACGGGCTTCGTCTCGTGACAGCCCCACGCACCATGCTGCTCGATAACCTCCGCCTGGTACTCACTCAATGTCGTATATCTCACGCGGGATTTGTGCCTTCACTCCTCGAGCACACGGGTCTCAGTGCTGAGCAGTTGCCCGATCTCCGATATCTCGGGGTAGGGGGTGAGAAGATTTCCGAGACAATTATCGAACGCTTTGTCGGAAAGCCATCAATCGCCCTGGTCAATGCATACGGACCAACCGAGGTCACGATTGGGCTGACAAGCCACACGGTGACCGCTTCCTCGACGGTCAGAAACATTGGCTCCGCTGTGGGGAGCATCACTCTCCATGTTCTTGAGCCGGAGACCAATAACTATGTGAAACGAGGCCAGACAGGAGAGCTCTGCGTGACTGGAGATCTGGTAGCCAAAGGGTATCACGGGAGGCCGGATGCCAGAGGATTCACCGACTTCTACGGGCAACGCATGTACCGGACGGGAGACATCGTGCGTCTAATGGCAAACAACTGTGTTGAATATCTCGGTCGACGAGACAGTCAAGCAAAGGTCCGCGGTCAGCGTCTGGAGCTGGAAGAGGTATCCATCGCGGTTCGTCGATGTGCGGAGCGTCCAGTGAACGTCACTTCGATAGTGACACCATCGCCAATCACGAAGCGGCCCCAGTTGGTCACCTTCATTAGTCCTGCCAGCCATCGTCCTGAAAATGCCACAGCACAGCCAGTATTTGCGCGGGGGGAGTATCAGAAATGGGTCCCTCAGGTCTTAGAGCGCTGCCGTCAACAACTCCCAGCTTACATGGTCCCTAGTGTTCTGCTGCCTGTCACTTTTATACCTATACAGATATCGGGCAAAGCAGACAATCGTCGTCTAATAGCTCTATACGAGAGTATCCCTCCTTCCGACCTACTGCATGGAGCCGAGAGTCCTTCTGCCGCAGAGCGAGAACGAAGTCCGGAAACAGAAAATGCACCCTTGACAATTGAAGAGCAGCACATTGCCGATCTTGTTTGTTCCCTAACGTCCGCCGAGAGCCATGCCGTTGCGAAGACAACTAGCATCTTCCAATTGGGACTCGATAGCCTCAGTTCCTTGAACTTAGCAGCTCGGATGCGTGACGCTGGCTTTGTCTGCTCCGCGTCGGACATCATGCGCAGTGCTACAGTGGAGCAATTGGCACTATTGCCTAGGTGTGATGACAATGCAGGCCGAAGCGCGCAGTCTGAGCGGCAGACCATCGAATCCACGCAGCAGCTGGTTGCCCTTGATCGTGCTGCTCGCGCCTCCCCGAAGCTCATTCCAAACTCTTCAATTGCCATTATAAGGCCGTGCCTGCCGCTCCAGGAAAGCCTTGTCTCCAGCTCGGTTGACAGCGAGACTTCACTGTACGTCAGCCATATGCTATTTCGGGTGCGGCCTACCACGTCATTGAAGGCACTCAGACTGGCATTTGAGGACTTGATACTGGAAAACGAAATCTTCCGCACCTGTTTCCACATCATGGATGACCGCGTGGTGCAAGTGGTCTTGAAGCCTCGAGTGGTGAAGGTAGCTTGGGATGAGATTGAGGTTGCGGATGAGGCAGCCGCTCGGGAGCATTTCAAGAAATGCCAGTCACAAGTTGCATCTAATATTGTTCGTGGCATTGAGAGACAACCCCCTATGCAAATGACTGCTGCGTACTCCACGGAAAACCACGATTCCGGATGGCTGATGCTGTCCATCCACCATTCCATCTTCGATGGTGCCAGTATGGGAATTCTTCTCGACCGACTTTACCAGCACTATTCAGGGCAAATGTCCATGGGTCCTGGCGATCTTAGTCCCCTATACCGCCACTTTGTCAGCTTATCGGAGGAGGATGCTGACCAATACTGGTCTCGATATCTCACAGATTGCCGTCCTGGAGTCATCGTGATTGATGACCCGAGCGATACGACATACAGCATCACGACGGGGAAATTACCGCTGAAGCTGTCTGAGCTCTCCAGTCTTGCTTCTCGCACACCGACCACTGCCCCGCTGTTAATGGAAACAATCTGGGCTATTGCCCTGGCAAAGCTTCTGGGTCAAGGTGATGTGATATTTGGCCGGGTCATGAACGGTAGAGCGATACCGGTAGATTCAGTCGAAACCATGTTGGTTCCCCTCGTGACCACAGTCCCTGCACGGTTCCGGCTGCCCCCTGGTGCGTCAAGTCTGGTCAGTCTGATCAAGGAGCACACTAGAGCTAGTTTGGACTCCTTGCCTTACCAACACACTTCGCTTCGTGCTATCCAGCGATATTGCAACGCCCCAGGCCCTTTATTCAACACGATGTTCTCTTATCTTGCCATACGCCCTTCATCAGCCGATGTCTTACTGCAGGAGATGGATAGTGTCATGGTGGTAGACTTCCCACTGGCACTAGAGGTTAGAGCAGACACGGCGACAGATACCGTCACACTCCGGCTGAGGACTGCCAATGATCCTTCTTTGACTCAGCACGCTACTTCCATGATCAGCACAATACTCATCCTGTTGCAAAGCCTGGAGGCTGCAGGAGACGCAGTCGTGGATGAGCCTGCTCTGGTTATGGTACACAAGCAAAAGCAGACAGCGGCGTGGGACGAGAGTCAATGGACGGAGGGTGAAACCAAAATTAGACAGATCATTTCTGAGATTACTGATCTACCTGAAGACGAGATCTCCAAGAATTCCTCATTCTTTGCGCTCGGCATCGACTCGGTAATCTCTATCCGGCTCGCCCGTTGCTTCCATGAACATCAGATGAAAGTGTCATCAAGCGATATTTTGAGATATCCGTCTGTCGGGATGCTGTATAATCATTTGCTGAACGCTGCTATTCTACCTTCCGTACGCCAAAGTGAACAGGCTGAAGTGGCCCCGAACGCAGAAATCGATTTATTCCAAGAAGACGACTCAATTGTTGAGACATATCGCTGCACGCCACTGCAGACAGCCATGATAGCGCAATGTTTGAGCTCCCAAGGGAAGGATTATGTGCACCACCACATCGTCACTTTGGACGACTCCGTCGACCTTGATCGTCTGAACATTGCGTGGAAGCAGCTTGCAGAGCAGGCTGATATTCTGCGGACTTCATTCCACCGGCACGAGGCAAGTCATGGTTTCTTAGCTGCGGTTCATAAACAGCCATCCCTACGGTGGTCCTATCATACTCAAGAATTGTTGTCGAGGGCCATTCACCGAATTTCGGAAGAGACAGGCTATCCTGAGATAAAGAGCTTCCAAAGATCACCATGGAAAGTGACTATTCTCCAACACGGCCCGCAGCGGCTTATGGTTGTGACTATGCATCACTGTCTTTATGACGGCTTCTCCCTTCCACTCTTATTTAGCTCCTTGGAGAGGATCTATCGAGGACAGGATGCGATGATCGAGCCATTTGCGCCGGCTGCTCGTACGGTCGCATACCTTCAGAAACAATCCACGCAATTCTGGACCAACGCCGTGGCAGGGTATCGATACTCTGGCATTCCAGTTTCACCAGACTCTCTCACAGAATCTCAACCGCAATGGGCAGAGGTGAAGGTGCAGGTTTCAGTCACAGAATTGCTACATCGATGCGGTTCTCTCGAAGTGACACTGCAGACTGTCGCCCTTCTTGCGTGCGGAAGGTCACTGGCAGTTCTGTTAGGCCAACGCGACGTGGTATTTGGCCACGTTGTTTCTGGACGGGGACTAGATGGCGGTACCACCGGCTCAATCATGGGCCCTCTTATCAACACAGTGCCCTTTCGTCTGACATTGGACTCCATTCTGCAGAGTACTCGCTCGACCTTGCGGGCTATCCAACACTTCTGTGCGGATGCTCTACAGCATCAGCGTGTATCGCTGGCTCAAGTCCAGAAGAACTGGCGTTCAACGAGCCAAAGCCCCAGTCCGTCACTGTTCGACGCCCTCTTCACATTCAATAAGTCGGAAAGTCCGGATCCTACCTCGCTATTCCAGCCGTACGTGTTGGGCCGCGAGCTGGTCTCTCCTCACTATAAATTGAATGTTGAATTTGAGCAAGCTCCGGAATCTCTGTTCATTCGGGTGTCTTGTCGCGATGTTTTCGGGGGAAAGGTGGGGCTCGAGGCCTGGCTCGAAACGCTTGCTCAAGGACTGGTCAAGATAGTTAATTGCCCCGATGCGCCCGTGGTGCGCTTTCCGACTGGGCTTAGTGCTTTGCCCCTTGCTGCTCCTTTCCAACACGATGTGGATGATGGAACTGGCGATACCCCGGCAACGGCGCAGCAAGTGATGATCGTCAGCGGGATTCTTGCAACAGTTACAGAGATCCCTGTTGACCAGATTCATAGCGATAGCAGCATTTTCACACTTGGGGTGGACTCGATTCTAGCAATCGACATCAGTGTCAGATGCAGAAAAGCTAAATTGAGACTATCTGCGAGCGATGTTCTGCGAGGAAAGACAGTCCGAGGGATCGCGAGAATTGCTGCGAAGCATCAGACCACCTTATCGGACACGGGAGCTGAGGCTGTTTATGATACCATGATAACTCGCGAGTCAAGAGAAAAAGCCTTGGCTATGTTGTCTCTGACCGAAGATGACGTTGAGGCTATTCTACCTTGTCTCAGTGGTCAGCTCTTCTACATATCTCGCTGGCTTCAGAGTGGCAGACGACTTTGGGAGTTCACGTTCGCGTTCCGCAGCAGCGTTCGGATCGATGAGAACCGGATTCAGGATGCCTGGCACGCGCTTCAGGAGAGACATAGTATTCTTCGCACATCTTTTGCCGCCGTGTCTTCCACTGAGGTCGTGCAGGTTTTGCTTGGATCTCTTAGGGCTGACAAAGCTCACGTGGAGAGGAGGCTGTGTAATGAGACTTCTCAGGATTGTGTTCACCATTTGATCCAAGAAAATGCAGCTTCTCCATCGAGTATGTTTAAACCACCAGCCAGGCTGCGTCTTGTGCCTTCGCCTGAATCTGATACCCTCCTTCTCACTCTTCATCATGCCTTGTACGACGCCTGGACAATCCCTATCCTGCTGAGAGATCTGGAAGCACTGTACCTCGGTACATCCCTGCCGGCTCCGGTGGACTTCTCCTTATTTGTCCGTCAAGCCCAGCGCAAGCCCGATTCATCCTGGGAGCGAAGACTCGCCATGGGACAGCCCACAATTCTCGGGTCGAATCCTTATGACCAGCAGGATTTCCGGGATGTCAAGTCATCCGAGTTCTTGTACCCGCAAAAGCTGAGCAAGGTAGAAAATCTGTGTCATCAGAAAGGGATCTCGATGCCCTCCCTCATTTTGCTTGCTGTCGGGCGCAGCTTAGCGCGCGTCACAACGGTCGACCACCCGACATTTGGCCTCTTCCAGGCAGGGCGATCCAACGACTTCCCTGATATCCACCGGCTCGCCGGTCCGACAGTCAATATGTTACCCTTTGTCGTTCAGAATGTCCTTTCTGCCCCTTTATTGGCCAGTATAAGCGACATCCAGAAATGCCTGAACGAACGTGCTCTGCAGGACCAGACAGACCTCCGACATCTGCTCCAGACGATGAAGTCATCCGGTCACGATCTTAAGTTCAACGTGCTTGTGAATGTTGTCTGGGGCAAGTTAAAGCGTGACGCTGGTGGCGATGCTGGGAATAGTATTCTGACCCCTTTTCGCATCGAGACTTCCGAAGAATCCATGAATGAACCGTCAATCGAAGAGAGAACGTCCGTCGATGCCCTGGACTGCAACGAACTGCCGTGTCGTCGCAATGTGATGCTGGAGGTGGGGTATAGCGAGGAGGAGGATGCGCTGCTGTGGAAGATTGACTATACCCTGGATATGATGTCGTCGCGTGAAGCAAAGGAGATTCTGGGGGTCATTGGAAAGGAAATCGAGAAGGTCGTTGAAGCTCTTGCATCGGAGTAGCTGTCTTTGTTGGAATCTGCTTCCATGCTCGTGTTCCCGTTTTCTTCGATTCGGGCCTTTTATTTGTGGTAATACATATTCCGATATTCAGTTTCATTCGCCGTTTAGGGATATGATGTGACCTCAGCCACACGGATCAAGTAATATTGGTAACATGAGACGAAAGTAAGAACACGAGAGATATGATGAGAAACCCTCGACCCCTGCAACTTTTTAGCTCAGTGGAGGGCGGGAGGATAGGCGCAGCCCGTGAATCAAAATGTCTCTGTTCGTGTGCCTCCGCTTTCAGGGAGACTTAGTTGTTGGTAAGCCTTGGTATCTTCATACTCTCTGAGATTATATTTGGGGGGCGAGTGAATGTAATTGATGAGCATCTTGTGTTTCATGGAAGGATGTGTGATAGGATGAAGAACGATTATTCGAATCTATCGAGGCGGAAGCCACAACTATGGGCGGGCGGGCGGTGAGCGGCTTCGCCTGAGGCCGCATAGCCGCATTCGGGGATACTACAACTTCTCATTCAGTATATAGGTATCAGCCTTCATATTTGCGTGTGTATGTGAGACCCTGGTGATGACCATTTTGGGTGAATGGTGTTCTGAAAGACCAGTCTGGCCCCCATTCAACTCGTCTACGATGCCAAGCCTTCTCAAGCTAGATACGAGGTTATAGGGATACTGCCAATGCTGACAGTAGAGACAATCGGGGCATGGATTGAAAGCTGCTTAAATTGGCGGAGTCTGGTAGACAAATACCCCTGTGGCTTACATCCCAAAGTGACCGATGGAGATGTATAAGTAATCGGCTCTTTCCATGAACTGCCGCAAGGAACAACCAAACTATCAAGAACCCAAAATCATCTTTCAATCCTTATTTCCAATAAGTGCCAAGCTCCTCTCACTCACTCCCACTGTCTCATTCACGGCCACTTTCTAGCGTAATCGCCTGTCCATCCTCACAGTCCCATAGATCGTTCTCCCATTCACTTAAGCAACACTTCAGCCATCCCCAAAATGCTCCTCAAACCCCTGATAGCCACCAATCTCCTGGCTGCCACTAGTGCCTAGGCCGCATCCCACTACATCACCGTGCAAGTGTGGTCCCACTCGAACTGCACCGGCACCCCCCACGAAGAGACCCTGGTCTTCAACACCGGCAGCGGGCCCCAGGTCTTCCAACAAAGCTACGCTTGGCAGAGCGGAACGATCACCAGTGGTGTTTCTGTCTGCGGTGTGAGTTTCTGTCAGTGCGGCGCGAGCTGCTTCGGCCATCCGATTGTCTATGTGGGATGGTCCCCCAATAGTTTCACGGGGGGTGATTCGCTGAATCTCGACAAGATTATAGTGGATACGTGTTAGTTTGGGAGCATCATAGGGCTTCTAACTTTTCGTTGCGCAGGGAAAGTTATGGGCCACACCGGTATTATTGTCCTATGATGGAATTTTCCTGAGCTTGGGGAGACTGTCTAACGTGAGGCAGTATGGAATTTGCATGTAGTACGACGTGCTTTAGCATCGGTGTAGGCGTATTAGTTGGGGATGGTGAGGTTTGCTAGTCGAATGAAGGTAGAAAGCTTGGTGTTGTTTTCGAGGGCATAGCGGGAGGTTCGAGTAAGAACGGCTCGAAGCGGTTGCATGACTGAAGGAAAGCGATGTGCATAGATAGGGCGACTTTAGATGTTGATGGCTGGATCTACAACTGTCTAATATCCTACCGATTCTCTTTCTAATCATGAGCCGCAACATGGATGTCTGAGAGATTCAGGGCTTCGGCACTTCAAAGGACCGACTGGTAGCCTCGGATGATTGGCTGCGCTACTTTCATTAGCCGCAGATTGACACCGCATACTGTTACGATCTAGTTATGCTGCTTAAAGAATAACACCGTTCGTCTTCACCAGAATAAGTCCCGGCTTGATGAACATCAAACGAGAGACTGTGTCGGTGGAGGATGCAGGTCCCCATAATTTTATATGCTTGAACGAATATGAGGATAGTACTGTCACAGGGCTGGGGAAAGCGAAGAAATTCCGCTCTTGTGACTCGTATTCGAGCCGCAACTTGCGAAAGTCTCGAGGCCAGCCTGATGCACCTGCAGGATTAGCCTATGTTAGTTTCCGGCTAGTTCCATGTTAGACTCGATTCGTACTAAGTATCTCTCATGCCCAGGACCTTATTGGTCCTCTACTCCTCCTGATAACTCCCGTGCATGCAAGACTGACTCATCGGCACCTCACACCTCTTGTAAGCCCTAACTCTGTTCCGTGGCACATAAATACACCCTTCACCCCCAGCTACCCCCTCTTACCGCGCGCAACTAGAATATCTCAATGTCAATTCCACCGCAAACGGATCCTCAAGCCCCCGCCCGACCAAGCCCTTACAGCTATACCGACGAGCAATGGAAAGTCCACACCGTCCACCCCCAGCGCTACTATTCCCGCAGTAAAGAAGATGGAACGCTTCGCCCCACTCGCCCAGCGCCGTGTTTCTCAATAGGCAATCCAGACATTGGGCCGAGAACGGCAGCCGAGAAGGCCCGCGAAGCCGACACGGCGCTCTGGGCGAGCTGCAAGAGCGTGGAGGAGTACGAGGCGAAGCGGCGGGAGATGGATGCCGCCGCCGCACGCCGCGCCGTGGAAGCAGAGCGGGTGACCTTCCATCCGTTTTCGCGCCTGCCGGCCGAGCTGCGCTGTCAGATTTGGGCAGTGGCCATGGAGGACCACCCCACCCGAGTCGCGATCACCTGCTCGGGGTATACGCCGGCGCGACGGCCGCGGGGAGGATTGTGTGGGACGGTGGCCCCGGGCCGTCCGAGGATCTATGCGGCCACCGCGTTCATGCCGCCGTTAATGCTGGTCAACGGGGAGGCGCACGCCCTGGCCTCCCGCCACTACCGGCGGGCCTTTCGGGGCGTGCAGGGCGGTGGAGGCGTCCTCGCCGCCTATCCGAGTATTCTCACGATCGAAAAGGCCATGATCCTCCTCCTGCCGGTGGATCGTGCTGAGGACCTCAAATTGCTCACGGAGATCGTGGTGATTGTTTCCCCAGGTGCTGGCGGGAGGGTGGCGTTTTCCGGGGAGTGGTCGGAACGATTCAAGATTCTGCTGAGGATGGCATCCGTTCGTCGCCTGGGAATTCGGCTGACGAGATCGATCCCACGCCACCGGGTGCGTGGGGTAAATGAGTACTTTGCACTGCTTTTCTCGGAGATACAGGCAGCGTTCTCGGGGTGGGTTGCGCCGGAACTGCAGGTGGGGCCTGTGCATGATGAAGAGAAGCCTAGAAATGATTCAGACTCGTCTTCAGAGGACCTGTACACTGACAGTGATTAATGGGCTGATGACTGACTGGCCGTAAGCGTTAGTAGTAATATAATATACTTAATTAACGTTCGGATGGAGACAGCATCGTTCCATTTAGCCGATTTGCATACCAATTGCACAGATCTCAGGATAAGCACGCACCGATTATGTAGTCCCAGTATTCTTAGATTGTAGAATTGATCTACTATCTGCCCTCACAGTAAAAGCAAGCTCGCACAAGAATTTATACAGACAAAAGTCATGGGAGCGTGATTACTCCTGCGACTGAGTTCACTTTATATAGAGGAAAAAATAATTTACGTATGTGCAGTCCCTGATGCATGTCATTAGTTAGTAGCTGGCAGCAGAAGCAAAGACAGATCACATCACCTATGAACTGAGGAACCAATTAACTACGGTCGCAGTGGATTACTCCTCACCGCACTTCGCAGTGCTGCGCAGTAGCGAACAATTCAACACTGTTCACCAAGCGACGCCGCCTGCGACCAGTATGAATGTATAAACATCTTTCAACTGAGAGCAATATCTTGTCTGAAGTCTCTACTCTCGCAAAAGGTGCTTCCCAATGCTACCAAGAGTAAAACCGGGAACACTGCGCATAAAATCATGCTGACACAACACCAGCAACGTCGGGTTCACAGTGATGGGACCTGCTCCACATGTAGGACATTCACCAGAAGAAGGCGGGACACTGACTTCCGGGACAGGTTAGATCATGACCCTACTGGAACTTGAGGTAGCTGGCATTGTCATTGTTGCACGAGACAAAATGTGATGGTCAGCGTCTAGCTTGCAACAACACATGCCGGCAAATAGAGGAAAGATCGCGATTCCCTTTTTTGCCGATGAAATCATCTTTGGTTTCTTTACAAAGGAATCAGTATTTTCCTCAATGGATCAGATATTATGTATGCTGTCCTAGTGATACGTTGACTCTATGATTTTCCAACCACGCGGCCGTACTTGGGCCACAGACCAAGAGGTCAGAATTCAGGGTAAATTACCGTACCCCTGGCGAATTTCTTCTGCACTTCGTACTCAGAGTCCGTGGGATCAATTCCGACAGCATGATCTGCATGGGATGAGATAGGTAGCGGGTGTGGATCCACTGATCGTCAATGTCAGCCTATGGCCCCGGAAAGCAGTCCGAAAGAAATGTTCCATTTGCAGAAATGAAGCCGGGGGCCCTGCAGATCTAAATTCACTAGATCACGGTAGCTGTCCAGATCTGCGGTCAATGAGTTGCTCCTGCCTACGCATACACTAAGTAGTAAATACTCGTCATAATGCGAGCTATAAAAGAACGACATTTCCCCGCCTCTCAACCACCATCCTCGAGCAATCCCATCCTCACTACCAGAATCGCTTACCCATCCGAATCCCACTTGCCCAGTGAAACCATTGTGTTCCAGGAGTGTAAGTGAGCTTACAATTCACGCATAATGAAACGGACTATAAACATACTCATACCTCAACCCAGTAGTAAAAATCCGCAACCCAGACACACAAAGACACCATGCAATTCTCTCCGCTCCTGGCCATTGCCATTGCCAGCGCCGTCGCCGCTCAATCTCCTCTCGTAAGTCACGCACCGCCATTGCCTCGAAACACGAGCCGACGTGGCGTGTCTAATGTGCCTCACGCAGGCTATTGTTTATTCCGACTCCGACTCGTCCGGGCTATCGGAGCCAATTCTCGCGGAAGGCGAATGCGTCGGCATCGGGTCCAGTGGCATGGCTCCTGAGGTGGGATCCATCTACGTCGCCCCAGACGTCACATGCACCACCTACTTTGACCCGGGGTGCCAGGACACGAATCAGGTCTTCTCAAGCACCCAGTCCGACATCCCGGGAGAGCGGGACGCACAATCTATTCTTTGCCAGAAGAAGAACTAGGACCAGGGTAGATAGTGGTGACGTCGAGAGCTGGGGTTTCCAACACCTCTCTGATTTGCCGTATGTACCTATCTCGTGTTCTTTGTATACCGCAGACTTGAAGAAGCCATAAACAAAGGACATTATCATTATTGTTAGTGTATCATTCTCTACCCTCAGACAACCTATTTCTTGGTTTCAAGAAATTCCAATCCTGGACCGTTCTTGTTACTCCCAGGAGAGGACAGTCTATATGGCCAAAGACCAGTCCACGGCTTGTGCCAAGATCTATTGGAACCCACTGCACTGAACCGTAAGTCTCTGAACCATACGATCCGCAAAGTATGGATTATGCCGCATTACAGTGCTCAACGACACCCTGCTGACTACCGCGGCCACTCGTCAGGATATATGGATTGTGCACGCCTGCCTGGTGTGTTGCATACACATCAGCTCCCCTCATCTTAAGCATCCTGACACAGTACATCCTGACTAGCCTACAAGCAAAGATTAGTCACGAGTGAAACAAGTTTGAGAATTCAGATCTAGACTCTTACTCACAATCGGAAGTACGCAGCATTTTGCGGATTTGCCCGCCTTCGAGCAGATATCTTTGAAGTCCGTCTGATCGGATGGCGCAGGGTTTGGGGTCGTGCAGTTGAGGTCCAGAAGCCCGAGGACGTCGCTGCCACAGCATTGGGGCTGGCCATACAATCCGGCGGGGCAGAGTGCGCCGGTGCCGGCACTGCTGCTGCTGCTGCCGCCGCTGTTGGGGCCCTGGGCGAGAGCGGTTCCGAGTAGGAAAGACACGACTGGGAGGAACTTCATCTAGAAAGGGGTGGATGGGAAGATGGAAAGTCGATGGGGAAAGCACCAGATTCGGGAATATTCTAGAGTGGAAGAGAGCGAGATAGGTTTCTGCAAGCACGGATGGATGAGAGAGATGGAGGGCAAAAGAACTCGGGCAAACGGTCCTGTGCTTAAGTACCTTTGCGGCCGGGGCCCCGTGCAGACTGTAATTGGGTCCTTTTCACATTGATTCTACTTTGCTAGGTTTAGTTCCACGTTTGTGTATATCATTTGCCGGAACCTAGGGCTTCAGATCTTGCCTATAGTGGCAGCAGCAGAGGTAGTGGAGAGGGGTCAAGATCACAGTGGTCACAACCCGTCCACAATCGTGGAAGCATCGAACCGAGCAGCAGGCGAGTTAGCGATCTTTGATGGATCTGCGATCGTGAGAAATTTTGCCATTCGACACGTTTCTTCCACACATCCAAATAAGGAAGGGATCGTAACGTTGATCCAAGGAGATCGATCAGCCACTGGCGATCACTGCAGCGTCGGGACATAGCAGATCTCTTATCCTTTTATATTCTGCGTGGAAGATTGATGAGCCCCCTCCTCTCTCGGGCCAGTGGTAGTGTTACTCATCTCCTCGCTCCCCGCACCCCCTGCCCCGGGGGCTTCACAAGGAAGCTCCTCTCATCTGTCATATAATGCGGACAAGGATATCGTCAGACCCTCAACTCACCCAGACACGCGAGATACGGTACGTCTGGCACAATCAATGCTCGGAGTTAAATAGTAACTGTCTACTCCATAGTTACATGCTATCGACTAAAGCGTGTCAAAGGAATTACGACAGTACCAAGAAGTCGAGCCCTGCGAAAATCTATCCCCGCAGTACCTTGTCTCCACTTTGACGAGATGCGTTGTTTTGGTGATCCATGATGCCCTAGACCATCTTATGCCCCATAGTTCTGAGCACGTCTTTTCAGCAAGCACTGCGTCTAGAAAAGTCCACCAGATATCTAATTTGTATCATAAATTCGATTGAAAAGCCGTAGAACAAGGATCCGAGATAATGAGCCCATGACGTTCCGAGCGTTGTCACTTGACACTGTATACTAATACCCTGGCAAATTCTTGTCTGCGGGGTACTGACTTGTCGGCATCCAATCATTCCCCCTCTGCTGTAAAGGATTGGATCTGTAGATACTATACTGTACGTCACGTGCTCCCCTTCCGCCACAAACCGGGTCTGAGCCCAGGCCATCGTGACCAGCCTAGAGGCCAGATTTCAACAAGACAATCGTTCGCCCGAAAGAAAAAAAAAGGATAAAGATCGTTACGTTTCTGGGCTCGGCATACGAGAGCAAGCCCGGCTGCTTTCGGCTGCTTTGCTAGCCAATGGCACAAAGACTTCCTGGAGACCGCGCCGCGTCTAGAATAAAGGTAGGTCTCTGGAACCTCGCAATCGACGCCCGAAAAGCTCTCTTCTCCCTCCCATCGCCCCCCTCCCTTCCTCAAACACCACTGCGGCATGGTGACTTGCTATCAAGCCCAGAGACGGGCTCAAAAGCCAACACCACCAAGGACACCGGCGAGCCCACCGAGCGCCGCATCGAGGTCGAGGCTAGGAACAATTTCTTCGGCATCGTCGTCGTCGTCGTCGTCGTCGTCATCAAGAAAAGGAAGTTCGAGGGTGTCGTTGTCGTCATCGTTGTCGTCGTCGTCTCCGCCGATGGCGCCGAGGGTGTTCTGGCTAACGGCCACGACCCCGTTGACCCCGGGATCGACCAAGCCCGGATCAACGGCGGGATCAACGGCGGCAGTGCGGCCGCTGACCGGGTCTTGGGCTAGAGCTATTCCCAGTAGGAAAGCTAGGACGTGAATGATATTCATTGCAGCGGGCTTCGGAGATGGAAGAACTCAAGCGAATCGGCAGAGCTTCCAACGAACGATGACTTCCGGCTGCCTGAGGTCGACCAGAGGGAGCTGATCAGGCCTATTTATCGAGACAATGTATGTATTGGGCCTGGACATCGGAAGTTCTCGGGATTCCCCAGTCGGGAGGATCAAGCCTTTCATTGGGGCGATCATTGATTTCCGTAAGTAGACTCTTCCGTTGCATCGAGCCCAAAGAAGATGGGATCATCAAGAAAAGGCAGCTCAGCTACGGGTGATTATTGGAACGTTGGGAGATGTCTGATCCTCAGGCACTTTGCAATACTGTACAGCTCACCCACCCTCGAATCCTGACCGGTGCAACAAGCACGCCACATTTGAATAGTGCGTTTCCACAAAGCCTAGAAGATCAATAAAAATGCGCCTTGGGCGATAAGCCTTGGTATATGTTATGAGGTATATGATACTACCCGCAGCCCAATATGCTTATCCTTTCATTTGTGTTCCCGCCGGTGGACCACGGGGCATTGTCAAAATTCGCGGCCGGGGAGGGTACATTGTTCTAACACATCCCATACTCACACGGTAAGATGATAACTATCCCTGGTGACTACTCCGTACAGCGGCTATTTTTCGGCATCTGAACGGTTTACGCTCCCGTGGTTGAGTTGTAGATACATCACATCCCAGTCCCCTCACCGTTTTCCACGCAAACAGCATCCTAAAACTAGAGGCAAGAAGAAGACAATGTAAGAGAAAGATATCAGAAGAAGGAATCGGAATGTCACTGGACCTCCATTGAACTGGTTCGAGATTAAGTTTCAGGCATTTTCCAGATTATGTAAATGCCATAACGTGGCGGGGGTCGAGTTCAGGAACTTGGAAGGAAATTGTACCTACCTCATAAGTTCCCCAGGGGTATTGAATGAATAATAAGCGTAGGGATGACCTTTCATCAAATCTTCCTACCGGTATTTGACTTGTTCGGTTTACAGAGCCAGAAGAAGAAGGGATCGGAGGGAAAGCAGATGATCAATCTACCGGCAATCATTGCAGCAGTGGGGCATGTCAATTCCTTGGCGCTGCACACCGACGCAGAAAGGAATTATAGGCAGATGGTACGGATTACAGTATACTACTAGACAGCCGAACGTGTTGTCATAGCCCTGCGTCACGGAAGTTCAAAAGATTGACAACCCCGTGCTCCTGTCAATCTCTCTGAGCCAGCCCTTCGGAACCCCCATTTGCCTGGCAATGAAGCCGTCCGCCAAAGCGAAACTCGACAAAATGCAGCCACCGGCCGCTGATACGCTCCCGCTCACCAACATGAATGACCGGCGAGTTCGGGTCTTCTGGCTTCTGGAGATCGTGGCCATACTCCAATTCATTGTCTGGCTTGTTGTGGCCAGCCACGTGGCAGCTATACCCGTTGGCTTCCGTCCCTCGGCGGCAAAGTTCACCGTGCAGTCTCATCTGAGTCCATCTTCAAATGCGACTATACTCCACCATTCTGACCGCGAAGGGGGGGTCCATCCTGTAAGGCCTGCGCAACAGGCCGCGATCGATCTCTGGTTTGGCCTTTGTTTCCCCGTGGCCGTGGACGCCTTCGCGGTCGTCTTGACGTTCAACCGCGCGCTCATCCGGAAGTTCCACAACGCCGTATCGCAGCGCTTGGTCTTTCTCGCTTCCATGATCCTCTGGGCCGTGTGGTCGTGGAATGCAGAGCCAGGGGCCTTTGCGGCGCAGCACCCAGTTCTGTCCCTGGCGGGCGGCTTCCTTCTCTACGGGCTCCTGGGCTCGATCCTCGATACGCTCGAAACACGCGCCACCCCCCCCCCCCGGCCTGTTGGGCCACGTTTGCAGAATACAGCAAGACTCTGGGCCGGACGGAGACATCTTGGGCGCACGCGGCCACTCTCGCAGCGGTGGTCGGCGGGCTCGGGTTACTCTCGACCTGGCTCATCCCGGCCCCCTGGTCGGCCGGCCTTCCGGTCATACACATCCTGTCAGAGGTTCGTGGAGACACACCCCAAGCCCCCATCAATTCTTCGGTGACACTGACTGCTGGGGGGGTCCAGTCGCTGATCGTATCGACGATGGGCGCAGGGAGGACGCCTCGCTATATCTCGCTGGGCAGTCCTCTCTTCTTCGCCACGGTTTGCGTGCATTGGGGGGTGGTGCCGGTATCGCACAACCCGCGTCTTTCGATCACGCCCCTATGCTTTCTGGGGCTGGTTCTTCTCAGTCGGCTGCTGCTCGACGCGCATCTGTCGACGGTGCTGCGGTCGCGTCCGGAGCTCGAATGGTCTCGGCAGAAGGTTTTGATCTCCACCCCGCGCCTCCTGGCCATGTGCATTGTGATGCTCGCTTGCGAATATGGCGGACTGAGGGTCATCACGTATATTAAACTCATCTCGGTGTTGGTATTCTTTGGCTTGGGAATTGCTGGGTATATGGGGGCGGCTGCATACAATATCGTGGTGAAGCTGAGTGAACTACCTGATTATCATGGAGACAAGTTGTAGTTTGGGGCGTTCCTTACGTGGACGCGGGCGTCTCAATGATTGCCTTCCGTTGAGGGCGGACGGAAAGTGCCAAGTGTTGGTACTGGATTCTGAGTAGTGTTGCTATCTTTATTGGGGAAATATTTCATGTCAGCCGAATTGGAAGCAGAGATTCTGTTAAACTGAAGAGCAGCGGAATAATTATTCTTAACCGAGCTCAATGATTCTGGCTATCAGAACTTTATGGGGAAATGTATCTGATAAGGAGGGTCCATCAAGAAATCCCCCTAGAGGGTCAAACCCGGTGTGGAATGTGGAATGTAGAATTCAAGAACAAAGTGCCAATTGTAAGTTCTGTAGTGTAAACGATCGTGGGTAAAAACGCAGAGAATGCGAGGGATTGACCGTTCATGATGGCGATCATTGAATCTGATATTAGATCTGCTCCATCACAGTGCCGGATAAGGAAGGGGTCGTCAGGCAAGCAGATCAGTCACTGACGATCATCATGTTGGGACAATATCCAAATACTTGGCACTGCACCCTTAGTCACAAACTAAAAGTAAAGGATCGTATAATGCAGAACAGTACGGAGTGCAGCTAGCATGCTTCTCAATATGCCTAAGTCATATCCTTTGCGGATGATTGAACAGGAGGCGCCTAGCCTACTCACTTTCAGCAGATCATCTTAGCAACAGTGGTAGAAGGGCATCGAAGCACATGGAGGAACTCCGAACTCCATTGTTAGAGTTCAATAGCCGGCGAATAAAGATGGTCGACCCGGAGGTTATTTTGCCCGAAAGACACGAACTTGATTTATACTATACGAAAGACTGCCATGTCCACATCACCAATGCACCCAAACCCTCTCCCCGGCACCGCCCAAGCCCTAATTACTTGTAAAATAATTCACCGCCACCAACGACCCCAGCTTAAACTCCGCCTCCGCGGCATCAAGATCATAACGCATCCGATGCATATTCCCCAACTTCTGGCCCCCAGGCGGGGCGTACTTCTTCCCCTCAAAGCTCGCCGGCTGCTCGTACAGGAAGAAGATATACCGGTGCGGCGAGCTCCCCGGCGGCGGGGCGGGACCGATGTAGTTCGCCACGAACGGGGCCGTAACTTTCAGGACATGGACGTTCGGATCGGTCTCCGATGGAGTGGGTTGTAGGCCGGGCTGGATCCAGTGCAGGATGGGGCCGAGGACGCCGAAGGAAGGGAAGGGGGCGTCGATGTCGAGGCCGATGACCATGTAGGTCGTGCTTGGCGAGAGGTTGCCGAAGGAGAGTTCCGGGGGCGATTGCGCATCTGTCACACAGCATGAGGCTTGTCAGTCTTGGTGGCACATTGCCCCGCATTTTGTGGGTTACTGACCCGCTCGGGGGATGTACTGGCCCGGTTGCACATCCCTGTGTTGGCCGACATTTAGGCCAAGCACTTTGGTGGCGTCGGCCTCGATTAGCGAGATGGCTTTCTTGACGCTGTTGTTGGTAGGCATCGTGTATGAGGATAGAGAGGCTTGGCTGCTTTGCTAAGTTGTGTGCTTTACATGAGTAATGTCGAGAGGATGGTTCATGGTCTCTTCACCGGTTTGCTGAGTTGGCGATCGGCTTTAAGGGTCGGAGATTGGGCAGCTCCGGCGGAGATAAGATTCAGGTGTTGAAGTCAACAATGTATACAATTCTCTAATAGATGGTACAGAGAAGGGCTCCGGAGATAAGAATGCATCTTTTATCTCCGTCTCATTATTACTGGTATTACTGGCTCCAATTGACACAACAATAGAATGACAGAATGATTGCCGGAGAATGACCTGCACAATTAATATCCCGAATTACCTTGACTGCCCTAGAACTTGATTCTCCATCGAGTATATTTCTGATTCAACTCCAAGCTACATTGAAGCTAGTCAGATGGATCGAAAGCAAAGCATGATACACGCACATCCTACCGCACTTCCCTAATCCTTCGTCCGAACATGCTCGTCGGAACCACCTTCCGTGCCACTAGAGTCTTCATCCAACCCCCAGCCAAATGGGTGTGGCACCACGTGTCGGGCTTCGATGAAGATCTTCCAGATAATCGTGATGATATCACGACCGAACCCAGCACCCTTGTAGGGTCTGGTTGTGTATTGGTACTAGAAAAAATGCCATTAGCGAACGCTCTCTGCATGCCCAAGACTCTTCAGGCGGGGTTGCTTGCCTTCCCCGTCTTTTCCAATCGGTAAAAGACCATGGTGTCCCCGTCGGTGGCCAGGCCGTAGACGACACGCTCCAGCTCGCTCGCGTCTCGCCGGGCTTGGACAACCATGACTAATATGACATGGCATGGGGCGGTTAGTAAGCTGTCTGAGTTTCAATATGCCTACAGGAGAAGAGCTAAGGACAACATACGCAGGTAGGCTAGGAGCTCCGTGTCCGGATTCGAAGTCATCGGCCTGTCCCTCTCCAGGACCACGAAGTGCACCCGGGGGCGACGGTTACGTCTGCGGGAGATCACAGTGAAGTCCGGCATTCCTGAGAGTCTGGCACGTCTCCCTTCCAAGTTGTAGTTCAGTGCGGCTCTAGACTGCACGTACGTCATGCAGGCATCAATGCCGTTGACGACGTTCACCTCATAGGCGATGCGGTGGAGCGTCCACTCGAGCGCGCTGCTGGGCATTCTGTCGCTTCGCTTGGGCTCGACAAGAGAGGGTTGCGTCATCGAGGTGAGGAATTCAGCTACCTCAACTATCAGTTACCCGCGAGCTTGACGCACCAAACACCCCCTTTGTGGCAACCGACTCACCGGAGATCGGAACACCAGCTGAAGGGGCGTCCCAGTCGTAGCCTTTGTCGCTCGGTGAGACCCCGAAGGTGCTGGTGAAGAAGTTGTGTTGGAGGGTCCAAGCCCAAAGGGTAGACGTCTCATGCTCGGGTCCGAATCTCAGGCGTTGGATGCGATACTCGAGGTCGACCAAATACTTTCTCTCCTCTTCGATCCGTTCAATTTCCATCCTGGCGCACTCCAACGCTTCGCATAAATCTTCCATGCAGTAGTCGATCGTGGTGATGGCTGACTCATGGGACTCGAGCAATTTCTTCAGCTCTTCAGATGCGTCGTTCATATTGAATGAATGATCCGGGCGTGGGAGCAGAGCCCCCTCCTGCCATCGATCTGGTATTCTTGACATCGTGCCACAGGCCAGGGAAGATGCAATGTCTTTTCCTCGAGATGAGAATAGAAGATGTTGTTGGGTTGGACATGTGAAGTGCTGTATGAGGTTGTTGGTAGGAGCCGTGCTTGCGAGGCCAGAGAATGAGGACAGGAGTCATGGGATGGGACGGGTTGCCAATTTCGATCCGGATGTTGTCATGATGATTGCCACGCTCGACATAGATGCGGTAGGAGTAGCCATGATGATGTACCCACGGCTAGGTAATGAAGGAGGCTTCTTCCCTAGGACAAATCTTTCCCGTGTCATCCATCTAACAAAACACCATCTGGCTCATTTGAGACCCCACACAGATCTATCAGCCTACTCCTATATCTCCACATCGAATCACCAACCATGCGGTGCTGCCTATTCATCAAAGTGGGCGCATGGATCGACGCCAAGAAAGAGGTCTTCCACGAGCATCGCGGAAACTTCCACGAGGCGCAGGGCGCGCGCCTGCGACTGTTCGCCTGGGACATAGCAGCCCGCAAATTTGATACTGCATCCGAACAGCAGCAGGCAGTCCATCTCTGGCGCAGCATGAGATCCCTCATCCAAAACGACAACGACCTCAATCTCGCGATCCAACACGAGGCAGCCCTGCAGCACAAACATAAAGCTCTGGACGCAAGGCTCCAGCATCTCGTCGCCACCAGCCACGTCGGTCCCGGGCCCATTTTCTCGGCCATGTCCCAGCTGCAGGCCCTCGAGATCCAGCTGCGCACGGTCCACGCGGAGATCTGGCAGCTCGACCGGACGGCGCACCGGATCCTGCGCGGATTCCCCGCCGGCTTTGGGCCGGTCAAACGTGGGGTGTGCGCCAACCGGGCCAGGACGGATTGGCATATGACGGAGTCTCTGCAGGAGGACTGCGCGGGCCGCGGCGGGTGCTGCGGGCGCGGGTGCGGCTGTTGCGCGAGACCGCGGAGTGCGCACCGGGCGAAGCAGGGCCATTGCACCGCGGCCTGTGCGTGCTGTGAGCGGGCCCGTGGCTTTGCAGTAGACAGGCATGTCCGCTGGGAGCCGGTTCGTTTGCCAGCTTTGGAAGGTGCTGAATGGATCACGGGGGACATGCTGCAGCTGTTCGTCGCCTATGCGTTTGGGCTGACCGTGGAGGATGAATGGCTTTGACGGGTGGTGTGAGGTTATGCTACAGAAGGATGGCGGTGGACTTGCTAGCTTTTGACGTTAAATGCTTGTGGTTTAAAGAAGAGCCTGTTTGGATTAATATTATGCGCTTTTCCTTCGGTTCTTGCCGTCCGATCACCTACAGTTCTGTGCTTCCGGGCCTTTCGAGTCTTGATGTTCATTGTGCCCGTTTTATTGTACAGTACCTTTATATATAATTGTGGAACCCCTGTAACATGCAGCCACCAGAGACCCTGCGGAAAGCTTGGGTCGCTTCCACAGCAACACCTTCTGAAAAAGAAAAGCTTACGTAATAACAGGCGGATCCTTGATGTGAAGTATATCACAGGTGATAGAAGAATTAATTATCAGCAATTTGACAATTGCAGGGTGGTTGTATAATAAGTAAGATGATGACAATATGATAGGCCGCAGGAAGCCAGGGCCGTCAACAATATCCATCCATGATGCACTCGGCAGCTCGAGATATACCAATGATGTCACTCCCAGCGTGTTCCAATCTTCAGACTGCTGACCTGCAGATTCACCACCAATCAATGCAGGTCCATCCGACGGACATACGCTTAAACCCGGGTCAGCTGTCAGCATTTAGCCTGTGGTCCGTGCAGTAATCCACATGCATGGAAGAGACCACGAATAGGAAAAGACACCGAGCTCCCGAGCTCCCGAGTTCGGCGCTTCTCTGTCATCAACCTTAACTTAGCCGAGCGATGAGCCGATCGGACCCTGGATTTAGCGATGCGGTGCTCGATTGACTGTCGCCTATTCTCTTCCCTCTGACTTATATATACCCCGTCCCAGCTGCAACAGAAGTTAGACAAGACTACAGCATACGACTGCAATTACCATTTCATCACTATATCCCAATTCACCATGGTCAAATTCCTCCCTTTCGGCGATCTCCAAGTCCCCTCGCCCGGTTTCGGCGCCATGGGCCTCAGCTTCGGGCTGGGCAGCAACCTGAGCTACGAGGAGGCCGAGCCCGTGCTTCTGAAGGCGATCGAGCTGGGTTGTACTTTCTGGGATACTGCCGTGCGTGAACCCTCTCACTATCTTCGTAGCAGCATTTTGGACCTGTCTAACCCTCAATTCACAGGTTGTCTACCAAGCCGGTGTCAACGAGAAACTTCTGGGCGACTTCATTCGCAAGCACAATGTCCGCGACAGGGTCTTCAGTACGCTCCTCTCACCTTCACCACAAACAATCCGACCACTAACCCGAATGGATGAATGATCACAGTCGCCTCAAAATGCGGCTTCGACGTCTTCGGCAACAAAGGCGTCACCAACTCCGCCGCCCACATCAAGCAGTACATCGAGGGAACGATCGAGCGACTCGGCTTCGCCCCGGATCTGTACTATCTACACCGAATCGACCCTAGTACGTCGCAGCCCCCAAGCACAAGATTCCCCAGAACTTGAAACGAATCCTGAAAATGATAGACACGCCCCTCGAAGAATCCATCCCCGCACTCGACGAGATCCGCAAAGCCGGGAAGACCAAGTACATCGGTCTGTCGGAGTGCTCTGCGGCGACGCTGCGGAAAGCGAACTCTAGTAAGCCCCCCCCCCCCCCCCTTTTCTTCTTTTTTATCGACAAATTCCTCTTCTGGGGTGAACGTATGGTCAAAGTATTAATGGAATATGTCTAGTCGCCAAGATCGACGCCGTGCAAGCGGAGTACTCCGCCTTCGAGACCATCCACGAGACGGACGGGCTGATCGCGACCGCCCGGGAGCTGGGCGTCGCCTACGTGGCGTACAGCCCGCTGGGCCACGGCTGGCTGGTCGACAACTTCGACTACCAGTCACCCGAGGACTTCAAACCGGATGATTTCCGGCGGACGTGTACGGCACCCCCCTTCTTCCCATTCCCATCCCCATCCCCATACCCGGCTCCATCAATCTGGACCCCCCTCTCTTCAAACAAAACCAAAAAAAAAAAAAAAAAAAAAAAAAAAAAAAGAAAGTGTCTCGTGGCTGATGATTTGGTTTGTCCGGCAGCCCCCAAATTCCAAGGCGAGAACTTCTACAAGAACAAGGCGATCGTGGAGGAAATCAAGACGCTGGCCGCGCGCAAGGGCTGCTCCGTCAGCCAGATCGCGCTCGCCTGGGTCGCCGCCCAGGGGATGATTGCTATCCCCGGGACGACCAAGGTGCACCGGCTGGAGGCGAACTGGGCGTCGCGCGAGGTGGAGCTGACCGAGGCGGAGCGCGCGGAGATGCGTCGCATTGTGGACAGCGCCAAGCCGCAGGGGAACCGGTATGGGGCTGCGAATCAGGCGCTGGTTGGGCATTAGGGTGGTGGAATCGGGATGAGGCGGGGGAAAGGGGTGAGTTGGTTGGGGTTTGATGATCGAATTGAAATATTGAAGGATTCTGGATTGATAGGCTGTTGCTCGGAATTCACTTATATCAAGTCGAGCGATGTCCGGTTCGAAAGTGCACTATTCGGTAGTGTCGGTGTTTAGGGCGATCCGACATGGGGGCCTGTGGTCTGCGCCGGGACTGGTCACACGATGGAGGTCTGTTCTTAGCCTCGGCGAGCTCGATGTAGTGTATCAGGCATAACGCGTCGCCCATCTACCCATACAACTTTAGGGTAGCTGCTTCCACATCGGATCAATGGTCGAATCATCGACAGCCCAACTGCTACCACCCTTGGCACAGAACACTGAGACGCATTAACACATGATATAATGGGGAAGGAAAGCTAACTCTATCCCCCACTACAAAGTTTATCCCACCATGCACTCATTCAAAAAGACATAGAAAATTGTCAAATCACATTAACCTAGAATACCATAATAGAATCTGACCAAAACAACCAATGAAACAGATAGTCAAACAAAAACACCACGCCCCCAAAAGCTTCCAGGGCAGGGCTAGCAAACTAGCAAGTGTTCACCAGAATCTTATCGAACGCCATAGTCGGGCCGCCCGTGTAGCAGTTGGGCGACCAGCCGGCGGACACGTCGGGGTTGTTGTAGCAGCTGGAGCCGTACTGGCAGAAGGCGACGCCGCAGGCGGAGGCCCCGCCGGCGATGGAGCCGCTGGCCCAGGTGTAGCCGTACTGGTAGACCTGGTTGCCGTTCCCGGTGTCGTAGGCGATGGTCTCCTGGTGGAAGGTGCCGGTGCAGTCGTCGCCGGTCCACAGGTTGACGGTCACGTACTGAGAGCTGGCCAGGGCGCCGGTGGCGGCGAGGAGGGCGGTGGTGAGGGTCTTGGTGAGCATTTTGAGGATATTCGGTGGTTGGTTTGGGGGAAAGTTTAAAGTCTGTGAGGGTTTAGATTGGCTCTGATAGCTGGGAAGGGAGATGGATATGCTTACTGTGAGGGATTGAATGGGAGATGAAAGTGATAATTGTGATCGATGCTGATGAGTGGACTGTAGAAGAGGGTGTCTCGACCTATTTATATTGTCGAGAGCTTCTCCTGGATGGTATCAGTTGCCGGGCAAACACCTATCCTGCTCATGGCATCGGAATCAGTCCTCCCTCTATGCCCCGCGTGAGTCCGTCGGAGATAATCCAACCCTCGTATTCATCTATACTCCAACCCCGACAATCTGAGACCCTCGTATTCCAATAGACTCTAACCTCAGCACGGCTGGCGGGCCGGACCGGTGGGGCGAGAAGTCTCTTATCTCTCTCAATCAGCAGCCGCACCTTTTCCTGCCAAGATCGCAGGGCCCACTGACGACCCTGATCACTAACCAGATTCAGAATATGGAGTTGAAGACCTCATCTACGCTGAAGAATTTTTCCAGTGTGGACCTCAGGGGAATACGAGATTGTCTTTGCAGCGGCCGCTCTATAGGGCAACTCGACTACGCTGCAGTCGTCTTGGCGGAACGTAACGAGGAATCTCGTCGCGTCACGAGAGCATTAACTGCTGTAGGCTATATCAAAGGTCTTAAGACGCTAGGGTAATGGTGTCAGAAGATATGATGCCCTAGATGAAAGGCGCAGCTGTGACTGTGGTATCGCAGAGAGACATACCCCAGGTTACACTAGATTCTTGAACCCCTGATTTCCTACATTACAGATCCCACACGAACTGTGACCCAGATACTGCAGAATTCAGGAACAACAAGGGTCTCTTCTTCAGGGATGCAGCCGGCGGCACGAGCGGGGAAAACCCTACCAAAGATCTCTGGGTTCCGATCCGCTGCCAGACCTGAGTGGGTCGGGCTATGCGGTGACTAGGCCGCATGAAGCTATAGCACCATTGACTCTTTCGCAACCATTGGCTCTTTCGGTTGGAAACAATTCACTAAAACTCAGCAATTGAATAGTGGTGAGTGTGGGTCCTCGTCCGAAAGGATCAATTGAGAAAACGGCCAGACCGGTTCATGATAACAAGCGAACTAGTTACCGCTCTCCTGTCCAGGAGTGAGCCGAGGCTCATTAGTTGATGAGACTTGAAGCCTAAAGGATACCACGAAGTCATAGATCTGGAAGTTTTCTAGTCAAGACCTTGGCTCTGCTGAGAACCCGTCACGTGACCTCTTAAGACCTTGCTCGCCTCCACAGGTATAGTTGATTCTTTATTCATCTAAGTAAAGTCCTTCCTCCATACAACATTATAAGAAATAGGGATAGCCTTCACATCCCCACTGATATGCGTCTCAAAAATCAACGATTTTGGTATGTGGGGGGGAATCCCAGCCCCAACAGGTTTGTCATACTAAGCACATATATCCCGGAATCCAGTAAATTGTGATTTGCATAGGAGATCCGCATCCACAATGGTGGCAACACTCAACCCGTCGCAGTATTCCCACCACCCACCCACCTCAACCCTCAACCCCTACAATCCACACCCCAAGAAAACCACCTCTACGCATCCCTTTCCTCCCCCGTCGTGTGCGCACTCGCATTAATCTGCACATCCGTCAAATACCCACCAAACTTCCGCAAATTCACCCTCTTCTCGAACCTACACACTCATCAGCACAGTCACCCAACCCACAACCCACAAACACAAAACCTGAATGTAAGGGGTAACATACAACTCATCAATCTCCGCCGGCGTGCGGCGCGTGACCTCGGGCAGAATGAACCAGGCAACAACCACCGCGACGGCGCCGGTGCCAGCGAAACTAGAGGTCCCCCGATTAGCTCACGATCGATCCCAGCCGGACGATAATACCCAGTGAACATACAAGAATCCCGTCTTGGGCCCCCAGTGCGTCGTCTCCCCGTTGATCATCAGCGGCGTGCAGAAGCTGAACATGATGGCCACGAGGTTCGAGGACGCCAGGGACCAGGCGGCGGTTTGGGCGCGGAGGCGCTGCGAGGGGATTTCGGCCGCGTAGGCGTAGCCGATGGCTGAGGCGCCGGTGGTGGAGAAGGTGGCGAGGCAGGCGAAGAAGATCTGTGCGTGGTTAGGTTACTCGGGGGAGTACAGAGGGGAAGGGGAGGGGGTTAGTAGGCTTACGAGGAGCGAGCTCAAGCTCGACGTCGTGTAGTCGAAGCAGCCGACGATCCCTAATGCTAACACGGAGAGGACGGTCACCCCGTACGGATAGACGGTCAGGGGCCGTCGGCCGACGCGGTCGGTGAGCACGCAGGTGACGATCATGGCAATGATCTGCACGCACGACAGGATCAGTGTGACGAGGAAGGGGTCATCGTTGCCGGCGTACTGGACTGTATCGATGCGTCAGCGGCATTTATCAGTGTGGGAGGAGGAGGGACGGGCATACAGAAGTAGGTCGCGTAGGTGTTGAACACGGAGAGCCCCACGAACTGCTGGGCGATCTTGGGCCAGCCCGCGATAACAAAGCGGAGGAGGTTGCGCCCCTGGAACACGGCCCAGGCCCCTTGGCTGCGGTTGCGTTCGGCGAGGCGGCGTTCCTCCGTGATGGTCGCGGTCATGATGCCGATCTGCTGGTCCACGCTGTAGCCCTGGACGCGGCCGCAGCAGAGGCGCAGCACTCCGGCCGCCTTCTCCGGCCGGTCCTTGCCCACCAGCCACCACGGTGACTCTGGGAGGAGCACGAAGATGACGCCTGCAACCCCGACCATGGCCCACTGTTTGCGGTCAGCGCAGTCGCCACGCCGAAGTTGTCAGTACGAACCTGGGAGTAGATCGGCGTTCGGAAATCATAGGGATCCGTAGAGTGCAGGCGGTTGAGGGCAACCGAGGCGAAGAGTTGCCCGATGACAAACCAGCTGTGCCTGAATTAGCCAAGCGCTGAATGAAAATACGTAGGTAAAGTCCAGCACTGTACAAGCTATACGCGTTGATGAGGAACCCTCGCAACTGGGTCGGCGCAATCTCGGACAGATAAAGAGGCATGGTCGACTGCAGCATCCCCACCCCCATGCCGGAGAAGATCTTGGCCACGAGCCAGTGGTCCCAGTGCGTAGCGAACGATTCGATCATCACGCTCTACACCAATATCGTTCAGCAGGAGGTCCGCGGACGGGAAGGGGAGGGCGCATACAATCACGAAGGTAAGGAAGATGATGTACAAGGCGATCTTACGGCCGTAGCCGTCGGTCACGTACTGAAGCAGCTGTATCGCCGGTCGTCAGTCTCATAGAAAAGTCAAGCGAACCGCAAGACTGACAATTTGACCGACGGTTTGGCCAGCAGACTGAATCCCACCCCACGCGGAGATATACTTGCCCGCGATGATCGGCGTTCCCGGGCTAGCCATCTGCTGGATAAATCCGGTGTTGGACACCACGCCGCCGTTGAGGTTGATCTCTGGATCAATTAGCGACTTTCTTCTTTCGTTTTATGATTTCCCCAAGACAAGCTTACGATACCCGTCCAGCGAAGCACTGAAAGCCGCAGCCATTGCGATCATCGTGACGAACCGGTACCGGCCCAGACTCTCCCAGACACTAAGATCATCGAGTTCCGACCGCATCAGCGGCTGGCCTTTTTCGATGGAGGCATGTTGTTGCTCGGTGGGGAGGTGTTCCACCCTCTCAATCTCGACTTTCTCGTGTTCCATGGCGATAAGCACCTGTGTAAGGGATTCGAGTACCAAGAAGGCAGAAAGAAGCCTTCTGCGGGGCCCCGCATTTGGATTTATACGGGAGAGGCGCACGGGGCGTGTCGGCTAAATGGAGTCGCGGGGAAAAATGGGGTGTTCTCCCGCTCAACAATATTCCCCCAATCAGGGTGTATACCAGCGTATGCCAGCGTCGGCAAGCTTTTGCCAATAATCAGCCCAGTTGCAGCAGTGCTTGCATTCACCGCACATACCCCGCAACTCGCTGTCTCTTGGCCCGAGGAGGGCAAAATGAGCCTATTAGCCGTGCTTGTGGTAGCTCGCCAGGGTTCTACATTACTGAACCTTTCAGTGATTAGTTAAAGGGGACGCTAGGGTCTTTTCGTGGGCACAGTTGACGCAATTCTATACCTGGCCATACATACGCCCCTCTCACAAACATAACAATAGTTTGTTCACAGAAACCGAAGTCGAAAGCCTTTCCCTTTCTTGCCATGCATTCATATTCCTTCCCCACTTCCCTGATATGGTGGATGAGAGCATCAGGTTTCCGATCGGGCTGCTTTAAGTCGACAACAAGCTAGAAGTGGCCAACTACTTCCAGAGTTCACCCCTGGTGACATACGACCCAGTTCATTCGGGTTCCAGAACCTTTCACCTCCTTGCAACTCGAAATCACGGTCGGTGTAGAGCAAGTTCTACCTAGCCAGGACAGAGGCAAGGCACGCCAGTTTACCCTCAACCAAAGCTCGCAGCTCAGTCGGTACTTGACCTTTTGAGCGAGGGTGCCGATGAACCTAACCCAGACCTAGGGTTCCCGATGACTCGTGACTTTCGGTCGGTCGGGCGGTTCCACTGCTTCATTCCTTCTTTGACGGACGACCGACTTTAAATGATCGACGGAAAATGATAGAAAGGGATTGATCCAAGCCTCACCGGACCGATGACATTCAACAGATCTGGAAACTTCACTTCGTAGGTTGAAGCTCTCCTTGCGTGTGTCGCGCATCACATGGTGATCTCGGCTGTCTATTATCCGAGCATACCGAGTGCGGAGGAAGTATCCACCCCTGATAAGCGGCTGCAGCTGATCCGCAACCCCGCAATAACTCACAGAGTAGACCGTATGATACTTCAAGTAGAGCGATCATCCCTCCTGAGGCCATGGCTGGACCCCAGGGACATGACGCAAAGTTCAATCCGAATCATCTGCCATGTCTCCCCAATATCATCGGAAAGACGAAGCCAGAACCCATTCAAAGAAAATCAGAATACAGGGTCAACTCCCCTAGATCGAGATACTCGGGACTATATTCCCCGCCCAGCGGAGACGATATCAGCGCTCCTGAATCCCCACAACAGCAATTCAAGGGTGGAAAGGTCTCAAAACTTACAACATCTGCTGCGTCGCCGAGAAGGCTGCCGCCGCCGCCGCACCATACTCCAGCTCCGCCGAAGGAGGCCGAATCCCTTGCCCCAGACACACAACATCCGACCCTCTATCCAAGTCCACCACGCCACTACAGAGACTCCTCACGATGCGCCCCTGCAGCGCCGCAGACCCCCACACCTCCGCCGCGGAATCCATCACCTCGAGGGCCTGGTGGATCCGATCGCGCCACGCCGCCGCCCCCTCCGCCCCGGACGACTCGTTCCGCACGCACATCACCGGGATCAGGACGGCGGGGAACAGGAATTGGAGGGCATACCAGCTCTCCCACGCGGTGCGCGGCTGGTGCTTCCCCAAGAACCAGAATTCGGCGATCGCCCGGATGGACTCGTCCGCCGCGCGCTGGCAGCGTTGGATGGCCGCCTGGACGCTGTCGGGGTCCGCGGGGAGCTTCGGGGGGCTGACGCTGTGGCGCGTGGTGTAATGCCACACGATGAAGGGGCGGTACATCAGGATCTGGAAGTTGAGGCGGCGCCAGACGAGCAGGGCGTGGGCGAGGCTGTATCGGGCCTCCTGGGGCGCGGTGCGGCGGTAGAATGCGGGGAGGGAGGCCTCCCATCCGTGGATGAGGGTATCGTCGTAGTGAAGGAGCTCGCGGGCGCGCGGGTACGGGACGGTCGTGATGCTGCTGTAGACCTTGCTGATGGTGGAGTAGAAGGCGGCCGTGAATTTGAGGCCGGAGTACAGGATGGTTTGGTTGGCCTCGGCGTGGATCGCCGGGGTGCTTGGGGTGAGGTCCTGGATCGGGTCAATTCTGTTGCAATTTGGGGGGATTCGGTGCAGAGAGACGCACGAGGTCGTGAATATTCAGAGGCAAATTGACTTCCACCCCGGCTTGGGGGAAGTCCTGCGGTCGGGAGAATGCGATCGCATCTTCCAGGTTCAGCGTGTACAGGCTCCACCACACGCGTCGGCGGACTTCCTGGTAGAACGGGTTGCTCTCCGGCGCCGGGAACTCTTTGTACAGCCCGATCCCGATCGCGGTCCGATTCGCCAGCCCCAGGTAGTTGTAGCTGGCGTTGAGCTTGTTGCGCATGCGCAGATATCGCGACATCAGGCTCAGGGCCTGGACCAGGGTCTTGTTGCCCGTCTCCATCATGTCGCTGGAGAAGCGTGCCTTGGCGGCTTCGAAGAATCCTCGGTCGGTGGTATCGTCCGTCGGGGAGGAGACGGCAAAGGCGCCCAGCGCAGCCACCGCGTAGAGGAGCATTTCCCACAGTGGCTGTGCTGGCCGTGGGTACAGATCCATCATCTGGGCGCGGAATGCAGTTTCGTGCAGGAAGGGATGCAACGGGTGGCAGTGGGTGAAGTAGGCGTCCACGTATTGCCCGATTGAGGATAAGGCAATGGATGCGTTCGAAGTAGTCCGGGGAGGGCATGCTATGGCCATCGGGGGGTAGGCTTCATCTTGATGGCCGGTCGTGCGCAGGAAAGCTCTAGTCGAGGCGATGCCTGTAGATTCTATTAGCATCAACCCGCGCAGGTGGAACGGCGGAGCAGACCGAAATAACCGCCAATAGAATGCTTGAAGGGCGCCTCGGCGGCGTTTTGTAGGCTACTATCCCGTTCGTCCCATTCGAAACTGGCGACTGGAGGTGCAACCTCGGGGGGAAGCAGGGCGCATCGCTCCGTCTGCCGCGTCTTGAGTAGGGATGAGCCCGGATCGACTGCAGCGCTTGTGTCGGGGGGCTGTGAACCGAGGTCATCATTGTCGGGATTGAGGCGCGCAGTCAACTGGTCCTCCCGTCGGGTGTCTCGCAGAAGTGTCCGCGCTTGACTGAGCTCGTTCTCCAGTTGCGTTAAATACCTTCGGGTCAAAGGGGTTCGGTTGGGCCGTTGATAGTCGCATAGGCTGCGAGAGCGCTCACACGTCGAGCACACGGGCTTGGCACGGTCACACTAGCCACGTCAGTATAATCGACCTACTAAAGCGCCTTGTAGACGTCAGACCTTCAATTTCCGCCGCCTACACTCTCGACAGGCTCTTCCGGGAGTCTGGGGTGTCATTCTCGCACTGTCAATGGGCGGTGGGGTTAGGGTTGGTTATGACTACAGAGAAATAGGAAGAAGAGGGGAAAAGAGATTTCCGATCCCGCCCGGGCAGCTCGGACTTTTCTTTCCGCCTTCCCGCCTAGGCCTCGGCATTCGCCATCCGTCAAACTAGAGAACTGAACAGAGTATACGATTCCTACATAGCCCTCGGTAAATTCACATTATCAATTTATGATTTATGACAACAGCCAACAGTCTACTATTTGTACGCAATACACTCCATCTCCACCAGCGCACCCAGGGGCAACTCCTTCACCGCCACGCAAGTCCGCGCCTGGAAACATGTCCTGTCAGCCCTAGTCCTCACTGTCCCAAACTATGCCGGGGACCTACCGGCATGGGTGCAGAGAAGTGTTGTGCATAGACGCGGTTCATCGCGGCAAAGTCGTTCATGGTGGTGATGTAGACGGTCATCTTGAGGATGTTCTGCAGCCCAGATTCGGCAGCCTGGAGGACCAGGTCCAGGTTGCGCAGTAATTGGTCCTGAGGGGTCCAAATATTAGAAAAAGTGTGAAAAGGGCATGGCTTCACCTACTGTCTGTTCTTCCACTCCACCGGTCACCAAAGTATTGGTCTTTGCATCCAAGCCGATCATGCCGGAGCAGTAGACTGTGTCTTTGTGAACGATCGCCTGCGAGAAGATCGGGAATGGTGCAGGGGCTTGATCAGTGAAGATGGGGACTTTGGCTGCCATGGCGGATTCGAACAATCTTCAGAAGAGTTGTAGAGAATGTCGAATTGAGCAGAAATAATCTGGCTATGAGATATGGGGACTGGATCCATATCCCTTCACGTTACATATATATGCGTGCATAGTAGATAGAGGTGGGGCCTCGGCGAACTGTCTCCGAGCGGAAAGCAACGGGAGTCAAAATGGGTCGGCGAGAAAACCCCGAGCCCGCCAATCTTAAATCGGCCAGCGCCCTCAACCTCCGCACCTTCTCCAACCACACTTAAGCTTCCTATCACCCTCCTCAATCGGACACATTCAATCCAACATGTCTCTCACATACGCCCTGGTAGATGTCTTCACCACCACCCGGTTCCAGGGCAACCCGCTCGCCATCGTGCGCGTGCCCGCGCAGCAGCGCGACACCCTGAGCCAAGAGACCAAGCAAAAGATCGCCACCGAGTTCAACCTCTCCGAGACGGTCTTCCTGCATGAATCCGCCTCCGACTCCCCCACCGACCTGCACATCGACATCTTCACCCCAAAATGCGAGATCCCCTTCGCGGGTCACCCGACCATCGGCACCGCATGCTACGTGCTCCAGCAACAGGCCTCCGCCACCGGGACCCGCAGCCTCCAGCAACTCACCACGAAAGCGGGGGCCATCCCCGTCACCGCAGCCGACGAGCTGGTGGGCGCCTCCATCCCGTTCGCCTACCACCAGCACCAGCAAGCCGTGCAATCCGCGCCCGTCATCTCCATCGTCAACGGGCTGTCGTTTGCGCTCCACCAGCTCCCCGATCTAGAGTCCCTAGCCGCCGTGACCGAAGCGCTGCTGCCGGACTGCTTCACCACGGCGCATTTAGACGCGGGGTGGGATTCCGGCCCCACCGGGAGCAAGTACTATGTCGATCTGGGGCGGGATGCGAGCGGGGGTCGCACGCTGCGCACGCGCATGTTCATCGGCTGGGAGGACCCCGGCACGGGCAGTGCCTCTAGCGCCCTGGCGGCGTATCTTGCGCTGCAGGAGCCGAGTGAGGAGGGGGCCGGGCCCTTTGACTACCACATCGTTCAGGGCGTCGAGATGGGCCGCCGGAATGATATCTCTGTTACCGTGGAGCGGGACCCCGCGGGGGAGAAGATCGCTAAAATTCTACTGCGGGGGACGGCGGTTCAGGTGGGCGAGGGGCGGCTTATGTTGTGACCGCAGGGAATCGCGGGATTGTAGCGAGGTGGATGTGGTGGAAAATACGGAGCTGCATGCATTTCTTTTATGGTGAAGGGGCTTACGATTAAGCCAAATGAAACAACAGTAAATACATCTTTATTGCGCGGACGGCGGATCTGATTGAACCTCAGGTATTCTCTGACCTGCTGGTAGATCCACTTCAGTTTATGGCTGTTTCCCAAAATAGTTGAAGATGGAGTTTTTCTAGTCCATAATCCTCTTCCTGATTAATCCAATATATCCTTGATTGTTTATAGGTACAACCTGTCTAAGATTTGAGTCGAGACGGGCCATAGCCAGGTACATGTCTTACAGAGATAGCCCATTTGACTGTGTACAGAGTCAGTGTCTTCTGTCTTCTGCACAAGTTTGAGACAGCAAGCTCAGGCTTGGCATCGAGTATGGACCTGCACCGGGAAAAGATCCAGCCACTTCTATTCTCGGCTTATGCCGCTCAGAAATGCTTTTCTTGCGGTACTACTGGTTAGTTCCTTGGTGATTGACATCCGTATTGCGCACCGAGATAATATAATGCATCGAGATCGCGCTGGCGGGAATTATCGCAGTGGTCTAGAGTAGTTAGGAGGCATGTTCTGAGGCCAAGTGTCTCTCTCTCTGTAAGGGCTTCGGGCTAAGCCTAGAAGAATCTACTTGAATGGATACCACGTGCGCGCATCAACAGGATTAATAGCTAGTTCATAGGGTTAATTCGGGGGTGGAATCCGGACTGTGGGTAATGCTGGCTGTGGCTACTGTTTTGGATGAATCATGTTGTCCCATCCTCAAGAACTGGTTCGAGGTTGTGAGCATGCGTCTGCAGATCAAGGGGTTCGTCATCATGGACTACGCGGCACGCTTTGCGGAGGCGCTGCCGATCCTTATCCAAGCCTTGCAGGATGGAAAGCTCAAGATTGATGCAGAGTCGAACACGTTGTTGGTGACGATGTTGAAGAGGTCCTCAGGATCTGGATGCAGCTTTTTTGCCGCAGAGAACAGAGGGAAGTTGATTACAAAGTTTCTTGGGTGCACAGTGAGTGATATAGCCTGTTCGATGCATACCTTGTACGTTAACAAGTGACCCCAGAAACTTAGTGGATCATGGACATTATAACTCTCAGTGATCTTGGGAGTTCATTTTGCAGGCTCTCTTTGTAGAGGCTGGCAAAAGATGCAACGAGGCAAAAACAATGGACCGATGGATTTTCCGACCACCTTCCAAATCTCCAGGTGCTACCGTTTTGCTGGTGGAGGTAAGAGCAGTGGCTCCTGTAAGCGATCAAAGGACTTCGAGCTGGGCGATATGGAACGATTCCTTGGCCTCAGTGGTTGGCTGGCAGTTATAGTAGTTGAGTTTCCTGTATGAAACAGGAGGCGAAGGAAGGCCTTTGGACCACGTGGCGGGACGACTCACAGTGTCGACAGTTTCACTTGAGTACATTCCGTTCAAGAATGCTTCCTCCCTCCAGAGACTGATGGAGATACTGTACTTCGATTTGATGCCGTGATCTGAATGAACGGGGCGGATTCTCCACCAGCTTGGGATCTTCGATGAGATATATGACAGGTAAGGAGATAACCTCTGTAAGCAGAATATGTATTAAATCCGATACAATTAGGGCCCGTTTGAGGGCGCCACGAACAGTTCCCATCGCAGTTGTCCTTTTTTTTGTTACCCCTACCTGATCTCATCACAATGGATCATGTTGTGAAGGCTGATCTCACTGCTACTGAGTATGGGCATAATGATGAACCAAGGATCCAAGAAAAAAACATACAACAGAAGGGATTCGCTGGTGGTCACCCACCCAACTACTAACCTCCCGGCGTGTGGCTTAAGTACGGCTGAGCGGACGGGAAGCCCTGTTTTCCACACCCTGTGGTCGTATGTGCCTGTTTTATGAATCAACCAGTACATGATGGACACAAAACGAACCCTTGACGAAATCCATACTTCTATCAATCTGCCGAGAATAAGCTGATAGTATATACAAGAAGCTAAAAAAAAAAAAAAAAACAGCATCGCTAATCGCTGCACGCAGAATAACCCTCTCCCCAACGATAAATTAACGCCAACGCTCCTTCCCCAAGATCAGACAGTTCACAGATCCACATCAAACGGATCCTCAAACATCCCACCCGGCAACAACCCCCCGGGCGTCGACGGCAACAGCCCATTCCCATGACCCGGGTAGAGCGGATACGACGCCTTCACGTCGTCGTCCCGCGGCTCCCAGAGTCCTCCCCTCTTATCCTCCTCCCCCTCGGACCCCGTCGCCTCTTTCCCACCTGCATCCACCTCCGTGATCGCCAGCAGCAGCCGGAGATTATCCTGCAGGGTCCGCGAGTACCCTCCTCCACCGCCTCCTCCTCCTCCGCCGCCGCCGCCCCTGCCCCCATCGAGCCCGGCTGGGTCTCCGCACCCCATCACCGCCGTCGCGTGCGTGTGGAGGTAGATGTTCCTCGCAATCAGCAGCTTCTGCTCCAGCTCGTGCACCTGCCGCGTCAGGAGGGCGGTGCGTTCCTGCTGGCGCGAACGGTAGGCGCGCTGCGCCACGCGGATTTGGATTTTGCGGCGCTATGCGGAGAAATTAGTCGTGTCTTTTCTTCTAAAAAAAAAAAAAAAAGAAAGAAAAGAAAAAAAGAAAAGAAAAAAGGAAAAAAAGTGGGAAAGGGTTATAATGCACCCTGGGCCAGAGTCTCGGTGCTGGGCTCCCGCGAAGGGAAGGGGAAGGGGAGGGAAGGGGAGCTTGCTTACCTCCTTGGTGGCGGCGTCGTCGACTTCCCCCGTGATCTGGTCGATCATCCTCGGCCGGCCGCGTTTCCGCGGGGCTTTCGTGGGTAGTCTCCTTGGTTGGGCGGAGTGGCGGGGTGGTCGGGGGTGGTTGTGGATTGTTTTGGTGTATTCGTCGTCGGTGTGGGAGTGGGTTGGGCTTGTTGGGTCGAGGATGGAAGATGCTGGTGAGGGTGTGGGGGATCGGGACTGTAGGGAGGAGGAGGGCGATAATGATGATGATGCATTGAGGAGGGAGAGGTAGTCCAGCATCACGGCGGGGTCCAGGGTCCATGGACTCGTCATCATCTCAGCTTGTGACATCGTTTGACTTTAAGTGTCGCGGACGTTGAGAACTCAAAAATTATCTGTAGATCTGTCTACATTCGGGTGGATATGCCCCTCTATATATAGTACCCAGTGCGTACTGGCAGTTGGGATACATCCCCAACCGCCAACGTGCATCAATAAGCTATTAGGGCAAGTGGGGAAGGGGGGTCTGAAGTAAACCCTGCAGAAGATGAGATTCACGCTCGCGTGGACAGAAGAGATTAGCCCCCATTCCTTGGACTCCAACCATCATGACCCTGGTCTCCAGAGTGCACCGTGATTGGAGGTATCGCGATCATCACGGAATCGGGACTTCTCGTGGTTGTGAAGCTATTCCCGTTGCGGAGTCAGGGACTGAGCCTTGGACCTTTTTTTTTGCCGCAAGGGAGGGGGTCGATTGGGTCGGAAGGGAAGGGAAGCCCTAAGTTCTGCAGGAGCCGGGTTATCTACTATAGTTACTTACTATGTACTGTGCCTAGCTCTGGCCCGGGTATAAGAACGGTTACCGGGCGGAGTTTATTTGTTGTGTACTGTGTAGACTGGAGGGCTAGTGCAGGGCACGGTTTACACCTTACCTGAAAGGGAAGACCGACTTCCTGATTCGGCATAGTGGGATGGGCCCCTCAATCGATTGATTATTCTATCGCGCCGGTCGAGATGAGATTGCCAGCGGGGAGGGATCTCAGCCTGAGGTGTTGTGGCCGGATGTCAAGCCACTAGTCAATGCTATGTGACTAAATTATTGGTTGATGGGCAGATCACGGAATACTATTTTGGGAAAATGGTGGTCGGCTGGGTCCGACGGTCGGCAAGCTGGGTGACTCTAACCCTAGCGCGGTTAAGCTTACCATTCTTTACCTTTCATCTCTGCCTTTGCCTCTTACAGAGTATAGATAAGAGATCTGATGATCGATGGCTGATGACCCTGGATTTGGAAGCCTCTCCACCTGTAGACGACTTACCATCCACAACCTGCAATGCATTATAAATTCGGGTTGAGGATGAGATTTGTCATGGGCTTCTGGAAAGATCTGCTTTCTGTATTGTGCTGGTCTGAGGCTGGCGATGTGGGCGATGTGCTTTGCTTGCAATCTGTAAGATACCGGGATTTGCATCTGAGATGGGTACAGTGTGATGAGCGGCACATTCATCTTGCTTGCAGACCCCGGTTCTGGCTTGAGATTGCAGGGAATCCTTGACCATATCGGGACTGGACTCTTTGAGGTCTTCTGACTGTGATGGACTAAGCGGACATTTCGATCCATAACATCTGGTTGTTCACTGGGATGAAGTTGATATATCTCCCAAATCACCTTAATGATCATCCGACAATGAACCAGTATTCTTGACAACTGAGGTGGATCCACCCCTAAAACTTTGGAGGAAATTGTCCGGGCGACAGGGGGATAGGGTTCGGCCGCCGGCGAGACCGAGAAACCCACCTCCACCCTGCATCTCCAGCCCAAAGTCAACCCTTCCGACAAGTTCGCGATCAGACCAATCGCGCGCTTTGGAGTTACGATTTTAGCGTGTATCGCGGCCATTGTCCCCACATAGTGCTTGATAGTCCTTTTGGCAGCCCGTGGATTAGTCATGGGTCCCTGAGCCCCAACTTTTCCCTCACAGCAGCCAAACCCTGACATTCCGGACTCCCGGAGTACCATCCCTGGACCCTGTCCTTACTGTGTATCGTCGTCATCTGTCAATGCATTCATCAAGCCAGCCAGCAGCCACCAAGCCCAAATCCGGTCGGACGCGGTCCAGAACCGGGTGTCGGACCTGTCGGTGAGTAGCAGCCAGTTGCCGGTAGTACTGTTGTGTAGCGGACTACTAATCATTCCAGCCAGCGCGCGCCGTATCAAATGCGACGAGGGCCCCGTAGCATGCCGTAACTGCTCATCGGCCGGCCGACAGTGCGACGGCTACGACGTCCACCGACTGCCGCCGAAACTCAAATGGACCCCCCAAAAGACCCTGGCCGATCCACACCTCCTGAGCCTGGCCGGCGGGCCCCGCCCGGCGCTGGACCGGCGGGACTGGACGATGACCTCGGACGAGCGGCGGTGCGTGGCCTACTTCCAGCACCACACGGTGCCCACGCTGCTGGAGTTCTTCGACTCCACGCTGTGGCAGAAGCTGGTGCTGCAGCTGAGCCGGTCCGAGCCGCCGGTCTACCACGCGATCGTGGCGCTGAGCGCCATCCACGAGAACTCGGAGGCCAACGGCATGCCGCTGGCCACGCCCAGCGACCTGGCGGCTGCGAACCCGTGGCACCAGTTCGCGCAGGACCAGCTGGCGCGCGCCATCACCCTGCTCAACCGGCGCCGCCGCTCGCAGGACCCGCGCCTCCGCGAGGTCATCCTGGTGTGCTGCCTGCTGTTCGTGCTGGCGGACCTGCTGCGCGGGCGGTACGACAGCGGGTTCGCACATCTACGGAGTGGCCTACTCATCCTACAGGAGCAGCAGCAGCAGCAGCACGGTGCGTTCGGGAATCTGGCCTCGCGCCGGGGCCTGGTCGCGCAGTGCATCGTCACCGCGTTCGCGCACCTGGACATCCTGGCCTCGCACTACGACCGCGTCTTCCCGATGCTGCTGCCGCCGCCGCCGCCGCTCCACCACGATCCCGCATCCTCGCCAACGCAACCCTTCCCATCCCTCCCCGCCGCGCGCGCCGCCTTCGACCCCCTCCTCCGCACCTCCTACCGCTTCAGCGCCCCCTGCATGGGCCTCACCCAACCGCAGGTCGCGGCAAATTACGCCGCCCTGCAGCCCCAACAACACGCCGTCTGGAGCGAAGCCACCCGCTTCGCGCAGCGCTTCCGCCCCTTCTACGCCCACGCCTACCCCCTGTTGAGTCCCAAGGAACAGCGCGGCGCCGACATCATCAACCTCCACCTCGTCAGCCTGCGCGTCTGCCTGCACTCGTGCCTGCTGGGCAGCAACCGCGCCGCGCTGGCGCACTACCGCGCCGACCTGCAGAAAACCTGCGAGCTGGTGGAGGCCCTCATGGCCTCGTTCCCGGACCACCGGCCGAGTTTCACGGTCGAGACCGGCGTCCTCCCGCCGCTGTATCTGGCCGCGATCCTGTGCGATGATTATCGGGTCCGGTGGCGCGCGATCGGGTTGATGCGCAGCTGGCCGCATCGCGAGGGCCCGTTTGATTCGAATTGGCTGGCGTCGCTGGCGGAGGAGGCGTTGTTGGTGGATTTGGGGGGGAGGTGTGCGGTGGACCCGGGGTTTGGGGGGGTGGTTTTGGTGCCGGGGCGGGGGATGGGGATGGGAGGTGGTGGTGGTGGTGGTCGCGATGGTGGGGATGGGGATGCAGAGCAAGATCTGACGGCTGATGAGCTTCTGTGCAAACTGCGGGGGATTCGTCGCGAGAAGCTGGAGATGTTGCTGCGCACGAAACGGCTGGAGAAGCCGCCGCCGGACGGTGTGGAGGTGGAAGCGGTGGCGTGGGATCCGCTGGACGCGGTCGGCCCGGTCAAGGGGATGGGGAGTTGGTCGTGCGTGAGGGCGTTTACTGCGGCTACGCAGGGGAGTTCTCATGTTTATTGATTTCATCTGTGATGTTATGGCTAGCGAGCTGCGTGGCCTTTGCCCTCGACCTTGGTTTGACTCTTTCAAAGCGGTGGATCTGTTTCAGCTTCCAAGCGTTTCCTAACCCTAACTATCAACCAAATAGTATTTACAATTCCTAATGTACCCCGAGGCCCACACCCTCCTCTCCCCCCCCCCAACCAACCCCCAAAACCCCAGGACTACTCCCAAACCCCCTTCTCCCTCATCAACCCCTCCGCCGTCTCCAAATCATGCCCAAAGATCAACCGCGCCCGGAACAACCGCTGCAGCCGCGTCACAAACTTCCCGCTGGCCACCCATGCCCGATGATCGCGCAGCAGCCACCCCTGCGCCTGATTCTGCTCGAAGTTCTCCCGGACGTGGAACTGGTCCGTCGTCCAGATGAACGTCCCGTCTTTGGGCAGGTTCACCTGCATGATGCACAGCCCCGGGGTATGCCCGGGACAGTGGTAGAGGGTGATGCCGGTGCAGAGGTCGAGTTGGGGTTCGGAGAAGGTTTGCCAGTTGAGTGTGTCCAACGACAAATAATCTGCTCTGTGGGGGGGTGTTAGCATTTCTTCCGGGTGGGTGGGGACTTGGGGTAAAAGGGGTTGGGGAAGGGAAAGAGCTACAGATACACGCCCCCGTCCGCCCCCGTCGCCGCCGCCCAGCAGGCGTGCTTGAACTCCTCCTCGTGCACGTAGATCGGCACCCCGGTGTTGCGGAAGTGCTCGAGCCCGCCGGCGTGGTCCAGGTGCAGGTGGCCCATGATGACGGCTTGCACGTCGCGGATGTCGTGGCCGGTGGCGCGGATGGCCGCCGGGAGATGGTGGTGGGCCTCGTAGTGGGTGCGCGGGAAGAGGTCGGTGGCTTGCGGGCCCCATTGCTTTTTGTCTCTGGGTGGTTAGTCTTGCGGTGCGGTGGGGGGTGCTGCATGGATTTATGCTTATGCGGCAGCTGGGCAGGGAGGGCAAGGGCAAAGTAAAACCTACCCGATCAACGTCCTCCGCGCTCCCGGTTTCGAACAAGATCAGCCCCATCTCTGGGTGCTCGATCAGACCCGCGATCAGCATCAGGTCCCGCCGTTTGCTGGGCGGGTTGGGGTTGCTGGCGGAGCTGCCGTTGGCGCCGGTGAGGAGCCTTGGCTTGGTTAGGTTTGATGTTTCGGATTGTGGGGTAAACGGAAAGGGGTAAACGGAAAGGGGGCGCGGTACCATCCTTCGTCCACGTTCATCGTCCCCAGGTTGAGGATGTGCATCTTGGTCCCCGGCGGACAGGTGTAGGCGGGCAGGGCCGCGGCGGCGAGTTGCTGCATTTGCATTGGGGCGGTCATGGTTGATGTTTTGTGACGTATTTCTGGATGATGATTATAAGGATGATACGACTGGTACCTGGAATTGAAGAGGTTACTTATACGATGCTATTGGCGACCGATTACAAAGATGGCTTGGTGATTAGTGATCTGGTCCGGATGAGGTTGTTGGTCGTGTCGCCGTGTGGTGGATTTGGTGATTTCTCATCAGTCTTGCAGAACTTGATTTCTGGAGTGCGTGCGTGGGAGATTGCTACGTCTGGTTGTTTCTGTATGCTTGATATACCAGATTCATTCGTGTTGAGGATGATCGGACCAGTTGCATCGGTGGTGAGCAAGACGAGGTCGCTAAGCCGGCTACTATAGATACTGGATAATATCAGCCCATTGTCTACTACCCGGCAGATTCCACTATATTGGGGGAAGGCTTGGTTTCTTATCGCTCCATCTCCATCTTATCGTAATGAGCCTAGAATAGATACAAAATTTCACTGATTGTCAGAGCATGTCAATGCATCTTCTTTTCTGACTGCAGGAAGATAAATCAATGAGATTATATCCATGCAACGCACTGCACTAGTAAGATGCATTCTTCAGAAGCAAAGCATACCCGCATGGGGTTCAACCTCCCACCCCTGCCCTAACACCACACAATACATAACAGCAAGCCAGCCCACCCAACCCACCTCTCATCCCGTCAACATGTCCCATGGATTCACGCAGCAAAACTCCGATCATACAGCTCCCCCTCGACCTGCTCCGCCTCCTCCAACCACCCGCGCTGCAACCGCCTCGACGCCGACCGCAGCGCACCGCCGCGCGCATCCACCGGCGCGCGCACCCACATCCTGCCCCCGGGCCCCGTTTCCTTTCCCCCTTCCTCCGTCAACTCGGCGACCGGAAACCACGCATCCGCCAACCCCGTCGGCTCCGAATTGATATAGATATTCTCCCACTGCCCCGGATTGACGAGGTACGTCTCATGATAGATCGCGATATGCGGATGCGCCTTGACGACGCGCGCCCACCACCGCACGCCAGCCATATGCACCTCGTCGTGCGCGAACCGATGCAGCGCGTCGTAGTCCCGCAGGTAGAACACCCACATGCTCTCATTGCCCGCGGCGGCCGCGTCCTTGGTCCAGTGCGACACCCCCAGCAGCCCGTACTTCTCCGCGTCGGCCGTCATCGCCGCCAGCATTCGCTGGTTGTACGCGCCCAGGTCGCGCCAGCCCGGGGCGAACATGCCGAGCGGGTGGTTGACGCGGGCGCCCAGGTGGAAGACCACCAGCGGTTGGGCGGCTGGGGTGGCGGGGTAGTATTTCGAGAGGGTGCTGCCGGGGTTTTGCGGCGTGATGGATGGGGTGGTTGGATACTGGGCGGAGAATTTGGTCTGCAGGGTGTGGTCCATGTAGCGGTTGCGGGTGATGTGCGCGGCCATGAGGAGGTGGTCGATCACGCGGTACAGGAGGATCATCGTCGGCGGGATGAGGGACTTCGGGCCGAATACCGTGAACGCTAGGCCCTGGAGGAGGGCGCCGCTGAGGAGCCAGCTGCTCAGGGTCATGTTGTCGCGGAGCATGACGGAGAGGTTCGGGGGTTGGAAGGGGAAGCGGATGGGCCCATTTTTGGGGAGCGGTTGGGATGGGAGGAGGGGGGTGAAGGTTGATGGTGGTGGTGGTGGTGGTGGGGATGATGATGACATTGTGAATGGAATGGGTTGTTGTTGGGAGGGTTAATTTGGAAGGAAGAAGGAAAGGAGAGTAGGCTGGGTTTATATGGTCCGTCCGATCCTTTGCACGGACTTCATCTTTAGGCCGTACTCCGTGATTGAAACTCCATTCATGTAGGCGAGGTGGCCAATGATAAGTGAGGGGAGATAAGCAATTGCCACATGGCAAGGCTGAGCCTCACTGCAGTGCAGCTGTCTGGCTGTCTGGCTGCCTGGCTGTCTGACTGTGCTTAAACTAGTATCCATTATTGTACTGCATTGCATTCCGCCTTCCAAACGAACAAGCCACTCATCCGTGCTGCTATTCCCAATTCAGCTAAACGCTTACTCCTGTTGACCCCACAACCCCACCTCAATCATCAGTGAATCACTCTAATCACAAATGCTACAAATGTTGAGAAATCATGAATTATCCCTACATATGAGACCGCTGGCCACCTCATTCCACCATGTTCATCCCCTACAACCCCACCGAGATGCAACCGGGCAAATCGCGTCGACCCGTCCACGCCCTGGTCGCCGCCCGCGCCGCCCAGCGCCGCCAACAGCACCAGTCCTCACGGTTCCAGCGTGGCTTGAGCACATTCGTGGTAGAGCCCGCAGCAGACCCAACGAACAGGGATGATCATCCAGACCAAGATCGACGCCGACGGGCCGTGCAGCGCATTTCCGATCGAAGGCCTCCGAGCCTGAGCCCGATCGGCACGGGGCGGTTCTACCCGCTGGCGACCCCGGCCTCCAAGGGGCCCTGCACCGCCCGCGCGCTCTCCTACTGTGCGTAGCCCTAACCATTCCCTCCAGTATACTTCCTGTCACACGCCCCCCACCCCCCTCTCTGCTCTAAATCATCCGAGGCAGACTTCGACATCCTCCTCCCGCACGACTCGCAAGTCCTCAGCCACGCCCCCGCCCAGCGCCGGACCTACGGCTCCGTCTTCCTGCACTGGTCCGCCCACCACGACATGATGCTGCACGGCCTCGCCGTGTTCGCGCTGTGCAACCTCGAGTCCCAGGCCGAGGACCTCTCCCCAGCCTCCGCGCAGCTGCACGCGGCCGCCCTCTACCACCGGGGACGCCTCCTCGCCGAGATCCAACACACCCTGGCCACGGGCCACGTCACCGACCTCCTCATCTCCGCGCTGACCCTCCTGATCACGGTGGACGACTACCTGACCAACGTCGCCTACAGCCGCGCTCACACGGCGGGCTTCGAGGCGGTGATCCGCGCCCGCGGCGGGGAAGCGCAGGTCGGCTCGTCCGTGCCCGCCATCAGCCAGGACCTACGGATGGCCGCGAACGTCGCCCGGAGTCTGTTGGTCCTGCACATGCAGACCTCCCTTTCCTCCTCCTCCTCTTCCTCCTCCTCCTCCTCCTCCTCCTCCTCCTCCCCCTACCTTGATCACCTACACCCCACCCCAGCGTCCCGATCTCCCTCAAGGCTTCGCCACCCTCCTCACCCACAACCGCATCACCGGGGCCTCCCTCGCCCTCCTCGCCAGCTTCCACGACTGGCACGACCGATACCTCCTGGTCGACGACCCCAGCCACATCCCCGTGTGGCGGTACACCGCCGCCCACCCGCTGAACCCCGTCGAGAAATGCATCTTCGTCGCCCTGCTGTGTCTCGCCGACGACGTCAGCCACATGGGGCTCCACCCGGCCGCCGTGATCTTCCGGCAGCCGAGGAAACGGGCGGAGATGCTGTGGGCTGTGCCCAACTTGTGGACGGATGCGGTGCTGCGGGACTGTGTGGTGTGGTTGTGGATGGTGATTACCACGCCCCGGAATCCGGGGTTGACGCCGTTGCGGGTGCAGCGGGGGTTGTGGGACCGGATCCGTAAGGAGGTGAGCGGGGATTTGAGGGCGTGGGAGTGGGCGGAGGTGGAGAGGGTGTTGAGGGGGTTTGTGTTTGATGGGCGGAGGGCGGGGGTTTGGGAGGGGACTTTTGGGAGGATGGTGCGTGGGGATGGGGGGGTTGAGGGGTGAGAGGTTTGCTTCTGGGTCGAAGAGAATTGGTGTTCTTGAGGTTGGATCGGATACGTTGAGGGTTGGATTTCTGTAGTACGTGCGGAGGTTGTTATTATCAACTGCTGCTGGAAAACCGAGTAACCAACCGACTCAATTTGTACACTTCTCAAGACATATAAGGCCACCCCAAAAAATCCACATTCCAGAACTCGTCCTCACACACTAAGTCGGCCCACGGTGGCTCCTCCACGACAGCCGGCTCTCCTTCCGACAAACTCCCCGACGTGCACCCAGCATCAGCCGACTCGCTCGGACCGTCAGCATAGACCGACAACGTCCACGACTTCAGCATATGCACCATCTTGATGAACGTCGCGAACACAGGCTCCGCCGTCTGCGACCGGCCTCGCTCCAATTTTTGTGCGATCTCGTCCAGCACGCCGGGCAGGTCGACGGACCGTCGAACCAGCCCCGTATCCCAGGCGGGGTCGTCGAGCGCCCCCAGGCGGAGGGTGACGAGCACGACGGTTCGGAATTGCTTCCACAGGGGAAAGGGGAAGCCGAGGTACTCTGCTGCGTCAAACTTGAGCATGGTGCGGATCCAGGACTTGATGGCTTCTAGACATCGGAAGAGATGGTCGAGGGTTTGCAGGTCCGGGTCGGTAGCGATGGGGACGGTTGAAGTGCGGAGGAGGGTGAGTTCGTTGATTGTGAGTTCTGTGTGGGATGTCATGGTCTGGAAGATTCCTGCAGAACAATGTTAATGTAACGTCTGTACTAGTCCGCCAAAGTAGGGCTGGGCGTACGGTTCGTCCTGACATGGGAAGGAGCCTGATCCCGCACAGCCGCCAACTCCATATTGAGCAAAGCAACATACGGCCCGATCATCCGCGTGCCTTCATCCGTCTTGCACTCCCCACTCTCCACCCAGATCCGGGTGACTTTCGCCGCGATCAACTGCAGCTTGACCAGCCCCACCAGCAACGCATCCCCAGGCGCCTCGTGCGCTTCCTCCAGCTCCGTCAAACATTCCGCCAGATACGGCGACCAGGACAGACTCTCCACCCGACTGTGAAACGTCGCCGCGCTACGCCTCAGCATCAACACATCAGCATACTACACATCCCCTCCGGGAGTAGCGCAACCCACCTCGAGGTCAACAGAAAACACGCCAACACGGTCCGTCGATGCTCGTGGTTCCTGGCGTCGGGGACGCGGATCTTGCCCTGGAATTGAGCCGGCACGGCCAGATACTGCAGGTGCGCGGGCTGCCCTTCCCGCCGCTGCAGCTCGAGGTCCAGCGTCAGCGCGGTGCACAGGTGCGAGAAGACCGTCAGCAGCGGGCCCATCGCGAAGCGGAAATGGCCCCTGCGTTCTTGCGGCGTCAGCTCGGGTCCTCGCCAGAGTGGTGGCAGAACGATGCAAGCCTTACCACCCGATCAAGCAAAGCAACCCCAGCAACAGATCCACCGTCCGCCGCCCTTCGACCACCACCTCCCGCGCCGCCATCTCCCGCACCGCGCGCCCCAACCCCTCCTGCCGCGTCCCGTCGCGGCACGTCACGGCCATGACGCACGTCCAGAAGAACGGGCGCGCCTGACGAAGCCCCCGGGCCGTCAGGGTGGGGGCGCAATGCACCACCGGAAGGAGCGCGAGATACCGCGTGCGGTACAGTTCCCAGTTCGCCTCTGCCTCCGCAGGGGCGAACGCCACCCCCGCGGGGAGGGCGTAGGGATCGGCGGGTGGTCTCGTCGAGACTGGGAGGTTCTCCTGGTGGCTATCCCCCGCCAACCACCCTCGTCTCCCACTCTCACGGTCCCCAGCGGCATGCCCCGTCTGCAGCAGCGACACCAGCCCGTCGAGCTTCTGCTCCAGCCGCGCGGTGCGCGAGGCGCGCGGCCGCCGTTGCCGCACCGTTGGCGCGGCGACGCATTCTTTCTTTAGGCGGATGCATCTACCCCAATAGAGTCAGACTAGCTGCGGTGTTCGAGTTGGGATGGATAGATGGATATGTTATGTTGCTAGATAGGATAGGGTGTTACTGTACTGTACTGTACCTACCTCTCACACCCGCCGCCGGTCGTCCGCAGCAGGCACTTGCACTTGGCGCGGGCGCAGTTGAGGCACGCGCGGCCGTAGGGCGCGGTTCGTCGTCGGGGTTCCATTTTTATGGGAGTTCCAGGCCGCGGGGCTTGATCGGACTGAAATGATATTCTGGAGGGGGGGGTTCAGCTGGAGTGCTGTGGACGTTGTTTGGAATGCAGGTGGCTTTTTGGGGCGGCGTTCGGAAGATACTAAGCTTCCGAACCCCGGGTTGGACGGAGCGGGATTCGGTGGGGGGCCGAGGCCGCTTGCTCGCTTTTGCTGGGGCTGGGTTTGAGGGGTCACCTTTTCTACATTCAATTAAGTTTGAAGGTTGGTGATGAGATGTAGAACTATCTGAGATTGGTCAAGAACAACTAGGGTTGCACGTTGATCATGGTTCGTTGTCCTTCTTATTTTTTTTCTTATTTCGTGCGTTTTCTTTCTTTTTTTCGGTATTTTTGGGTGAGATCTGCATATGCTGCTGACTTGAGCTAAACACTCAATACACACTTACTGAACACAGTACGTGCGATGATCAACAACGGCATGCGTCTTCTCATGCAATATTTCTAAACACAGTAGCAGTATACCAGGTGATGCATGGACTTGCATCTAATCTGATCATACCCGATATTGGCACATGTTGAGTTAAGCAGGGTTGATTGCCACAGGTAATGCCTGGAAACCCAACCAGATCAAACCATAATATCATAGTACAGCAGATGTCAACTGTTCAGCGCCAGAATTTGTTATCACGTCCCAGCTGCCTTGTCGTTGCAGTGTAGCCGGGGGACCCAGCTGCCGGACTACATGCCGACCCGAGGTGTGTCCAGACCGGGCCGGAAGTCCGGCACCGACAACAGATTGATTGTGTCGGCCTCAGGGTTGACGATAAGGGCTTGACTGTTAAGCTCAAAGCTCAGAGCTGCATCATGTTTGATGTTCCCCTATACGTCAAAAGAGACTCGTCAAACGAGCTCGGTGGACGTAAACCCTGGAGCCCTCGGCAGCCGTGGTGCAGAATATATAGACCAAACCTGGATAAGCCGCGGGAGCCAAATCTGGCAGCTCACCGCAGATCGACCAGATGAACTCGATCTACTCGTTACCCTAGCCGCGGAACCGCGGCAAGGGGTTCAACCCAGACGTGGGTGCAACAGGTGGTAGAGATAGCATACCGGGTTTATCCAGGCAAAGTGGTACACTAGTGTGGCACACCTATGGCACATCCTGCCAAACCCCAACAGCTTCAACCTTGAATGGGACTCCACCGATCCGGGTAGATCGGGATCGTTCCAATCGCGACATCATCCCTTATCGGGAGTCGCCTCCTTATCAATGCAGCGTCTCGGCTTGCCGTTTTCGACGGGCTCGCGTAGGATCTTGCCTGTTTCGGTAATTGTTGGCTTGGCTGAGTTCATTGCACGGTGCTGTAGTCTGTAGGACACAGTCTATTTTTGGTTGACTACCATGAGAATAGGACTTGTATCGATTGCAATGGAAATGCTTGAGTTATCAACAACTCGGTGTCGATAGCAATTCTTCGCCGACGCCCTGTGAATGACTTCGGGAGCACTGCCCTAACTGACGACATGCACGACTTGCAAGCACTCGGAACAGGCGGCAATAACTGCATCTAAGACCCCAAGTCTAGGCACCAGGGGAGGAGCTGCCCTCACCAATAGGACAGCTGATAATCAATATGCAAGTCTTACGGTGGATACGCAACGGGTTTAGCATAAGGTGCTCCCCTCGCAGCCCCTTTCCCTTTCAGTCGAGCGGCAGTTCGGCTCGCTGCCGCTGTCCGAGCGTTTTGCCTCAGGGAATATTCAAGGTTTCAGGTACCAGAGGCAAATCGCTCATACTGCGGAACTGTTCCACCGGCAGAGTCGGTACGCGCGCCCGTCAGCCTCCCATTCCGCGTATCCGTGCACTCGTACATATACCTGGCCCATTCCCGCGGTCCTCGATGAGGTGAGTTGCAGAACAATACCACAACTTCTTACTTGATACTTTGTGCTTTGTCTTAGTTCTAGTTCTTTCTTTGTCGAATTTGCATGGTTACAGAAATCTCCACTCACTCAACACGTTCGACACCCCCAAAACCATGGAATCCTTCCATGAGGAGCCGTCGGCTTCGACAGCCCCAACCGAATACGGCGACCACTCCGACGACGAAGCTCAACTATCCGAGAAGAAAACACACCTAGGCATCCCCGAGATCAATGTCCGCGAGGCCTCCAGCGCCGAAACCCTGGCCGTGCCCGAGTCCGGGATCCGCGAAGCCCGCAGCGCCGAGACACTCGCCAGCCCCAACCACAACAACCACCCCCACAGCACCCCGCAACAACCGCGCATCGAGACGGAATGGAGCATGGCCGACCGCGTCCGGGAGACCCAGCGCCGCGCCGAGGCGGCCGGCTACAAACGCCGCGAGCTGGGGGTGACGTGGCAGAACCTGACGGTGGAGGTGGTGGCGGCCGAGGCGGCCGTCAAGGAGAACCTGATCACGCAGTACAACGTCCCACAACTCATCAAAGACTTCATGCGGAAGCCCCCGCTCAAGCCGATCCTCCAGGACAGCCACGGCTGCGTCAAGCCCGGCGAGATGCTGCTGGTTCTGGGCCGGCCGGGGTCCGGGTGCACCACGCTGCTCAAAATGCTGTCCAACCGCCGCGAGGGGTACCGCTCCGTGTCCGGGGATGTCTTCTTCGGCGACATGGACCCCCAGCAGGCCGCGCCGTACCGCGGCCAGATCGTCATGAACACCGAGGAGGAGCTCTTCTACCCGCGCCTGACCGTCGGCCAGACCATGGACTTCGCCACCAAGCTCAAGGTCCCCGCCAACCTGCCCGCCGACGAGAACTACGTCGCCGACACCAAGCAGTTCCTGATGGAGGCCATGAAGATCGCCCACACCGAGGATACCAAGGTGGGCAATGAGTTCGTGCGCGGCGTGTCCGGGGGGGAGCGCAAGCGCGTGTCCATCATCGAGTGCATGGCCACCAACGGCTCGGTCTTCACCTGGGATAACAGCACACGCGGCCTCGATGCCAGCACCGCCCTGGAGTGGGCCAAGGCTCTGCGCTCGATGACCAACATCCTGGGGCTCTCGACGGTGGTGACCCTGTATCAGGCCGGAAACGGAATCTACCACCTCTTCGACAAGGTGCTTGTGTTGGATGAGGGCAAGCAGATCTACTATGGCCCGGCCGCGTCGGCGAAGCCGTTCATGGAGGAGCTTGGGTTCGTGTATTCGGACGGTGCCAATATCGGTAAGTCACCGCTACCGGGATTGAAAGGGGCGTGAGGGCTAACAGCTGTCAGGGGACTATCTCACCGGTGTGACTGTTCCAACCGAGAGAAAAATCCAGCCGGGCTTCGAGAACCGCTTCCCCCGCAACGCCGACGCCATCCTTGCCGAGTACCGCCAGTCCCCCTTGTACCAGCATATGATCCAGGAATATGACTATCCCTCCTCGGACATCGCCCGTCAGCGCACGCAAGACTTCAAGGAGTCCGTGGCTTGGGAGAAGTCCAAGCGCATCCCCAAGAAGAGTGCGCTGACCACCGGCTTCGGCGACCAGCTCCTCGCCTGCACGATCCGGCAATACCAGATCCTCTGGGGCGAAAAATCGACCTTCCTGATCAAACAGATCCTGTCCGTCATCATGGCGTTGATCGCCGGATCGTGCTTCTACAACTCGCCGCAAACGACGGCCGGTCTGTTCACCAAAGGCGGCGCGGTCTTCTTCGCGCTGCTCTACAACTGCATCGTCGCCATGTCCGAGGTCACCGAGTCGTTCAAGGGCCGGCCCGTGCTCGTGAAGCACAAGTCCTTCGCCATGTACCACCCGGCGGCCTTCTGCCTGGCGCAGATCACGGCCGACCTGCCCGTGCTGCTGGTGCAATGCAGTCTCTTCTCCGTGGTGCTCTACTGGATGGTGGGGCTGAAGCACACGGCGGCGGCCTTCTTCACCTTCTGGGCGATCCTGTTCACGACGACGCTCTGCGTGACGGCGCTGTTCCGCTGCATCGGCGCCGCGTTCAGCACCTTCGAGGCCGCCTCGAAGATCTCCGGCACCGCCGTCAAGGGCATCGTCATGTACGCGGGCTACATGATCCCCAAGCCGCACATCAAGAACTGGTTCGTCGAGCTGTACTACACCAACCCGTTCGCCTACGCCTTCCAGGCGGCGCTGTCCAACGAGTTCCACGGCCAGATCATCCCCTGCGTGGGCAACAACCTGGTCCCCTCCGGCCCCGGCTATGAGAACGTCGACCCGGCCCACAAGGCCTGCACCGGCGTGGGCGGCGCCGTCCGCGGCGCCGACTACGTGACCGGCGACCAGTACCTGGCCTCGCTGCACTACAAGCACTCGCAGCTGTGGCGCAACTACGGCATCCTCTGGGCCTGGTGGGGGTTCTTCGCCGTGCTGACCATCGTCTGCACCTGCTACTGGAACGCCGGGGCCGGGTCGGGCGCCGCGCTGCTCATCCCGCGCGAGAAGCTGCAGGTGCAGCGGGCGCACCGCGACGAGGAGGGCCAGCGCGAGAAGGACCCGGCCCACGAGAAGGGGTCCGGCGATGCGCTGGCCGCGGGGGACGACGACCACCTGAGCCGCAACACCTCGATCTTCACCTGGCGCAACCTGACCTACACGGTGGACACGCCCACGGGCGCGCGCGTGCTGCTGGACAACATCCACGGGTGGGTGAAGCCCGGCATGCTGGGGGCGCTGATGGGCTCGTCGGGCGCCGGCAAGACGACGCTGCTGGACGTGCTCGCGCAGCGCAAGACCGAGGGCACGATCAAGGGGTCGATCATGGTGGACGGGCGCGAGCTGCCGGTCTCGTTCCAGCGCATGGCCGGCTACTGCGAGCAGCTGGACGTGCACGAGCCGTACGCCACGGTGCGCGAGGCCCTGGAGTTCTCGGCCCTCCTGCGCCAGTCGCGCGACACCCCGCGGGCCGAGAAGCTCCAGTACGTCGAGACGATCATCGACCTGCTCGAGCTGCACGACCTGGCCGACACCCTCATCGGGACCGTGGGCCACGGGCTGAGCGTGGAGCAGCGCAAGCGCGTGACCATCGGCGTCGAGCTGGTCAGCAAGCCCAGCATCCTGATCTTCCTGGACGAGCCGACCTCCGGGCTGGACGGGCAGTCCGCGTACAACACGGTGCGGTTCCTGCGCAAGCTGGCCGACGTGGGCCAGGCCGTCCTCGTCACCATCCACCAGCCCTCGGCGCAGCTCTTCGCGCAGTTCGACACCCTGCTCCTCCTCGCGCGCGGCGGCAAGACCGTGTACTTCGGCGACATCGGCGACAACGGCGCCACGATCAAGCACTACTTCGGGCAGCGCGGGGCCCCCTGCCCCGTGGACGCCAACCCGGCGGAATTCATGATCGACGTGGTGACCGGCGGCATCGCGGCCGTGCGCGACACGGACTGGCACCAGGTGTGGCTGGACTCGCCCGAGCACGGGCACATGATGCAGGAGCTGGACCGGCTGATCGCGGACGCGGCGGCCAAGCCGCCGGGCACGCACGACGACGGCTACGAGTTCTCGATGCCGCTGTGGGACCAGGTCAAGATCGTGACGCACCGCATGAACGTGGCGCTCTTCCGCAACACGAACTACGTCAACAACAAATTCAGCCTGCACATCATCTCCGCCCTGCTGAACGGCTTCAGCTTCTGGCACATCGGCCCCAGCGTCTCCGCCCTGAACCTGAAACTGTTCACCATCTTCAACTTCGTCTTCGTCGCGCCCGGCGTGATCAACCAGCTCCAACCCCTCTTCATCCAGCGCCGCGACATCTACGACGCCCGCGAGAAGAAGTCCAAGATGTACAGCTGGGTCGCCTTCGTGACGGGGCTGATCGTCTCCGAGTTCCCGTACCTCTGCGTCTGCGCCGTCCTCTACTTCGTCTGCTGGTACTACCAGACCCGCCTGCCCACCGACTCCTCGCGCGCCGGCGCCACCTTCTTCATCATGCTCATCTACGAATTCATCTATACGGGCATCGGCCAGTTCGTGGCCGCCTACGCGCCCAACCCCACCTTCGCCGCGCTCGTCAACCCGCTCATCATCTCCTTCCTGGTGCTCATGTGCGGCGTCTTCGTCCCCTACTCCCAGCTCAGCGTCTTCTGGCGCTACTGGATGTACTACCTCAACCCCTTCAACTATGTGACCAGTGGGATGCTGGTGTTCGGCATCTGGGGCGCCAAGGTGACCTGCAACGCGGACGAGTTCGCGGTCTTCGATCCGGTGAACGGCACCTGTGCGGAGTACCTCCAGAGCTATGTGGCGAATAAGGGGTGGCGCGTGAACTTGGTGAATCCCGAGGCTACAGCGGACTGTCGCGTGTGTGAGTACACGGATGGCAGTGATTTCTTGACGACGCTCAATATCAATCATTACTATTATGGGTGGCGCGATGCGGGGATTTGTGTGATCTTTGCGGTGGCTGGGTATGCGTTGGTGTTTGGGTTGATGAAGTTGCGGACCAAGGCGTCGAAGAAGGCGGAGTAGGGGGAGTTCTGAGGGGTGAGCTGGGTTGTTGAGGATCTTGCTACTGCTGCTGCTGATGGGGCAGAGTCTGGGGACGGACGGTGGTTGTTTTCTCTATGAGGAATGTTTTCCATATTGGAATGTGTATATAGCTTGTGCTGTGCTGTGCGCTACTTTGCCTTGCGTTGTCTCTTTGGGAGACTGTGTCAGCGTTCATTTCTTGTCACTGGGCTTGTTTGAGAGTTCATAGATAGATATAGATATAGATATAGACTAGAGTATACCACATAGACCGAATACATACAAATCATTCAGGACTTTTCCCCCCTGCCCCCCCCCCCAATGCTATCAAAATATAAGCCCTAAGAGACCCACCAAATCCAACCGCTCTCAACTCAAGCATCAAATCTTCCCCGATGCCGGTATCCCCAACAGCGGACACCCCTCGTCATCACACCCGACATACGAGACCTCATTGCCCCACCAGTTGATGTCCACCTCGTGATACTGCACGGCAAAGAAGATCACGATCGCCGCGATCGCCACCCCGCACGACATCGCCGACGTGAACACGTACGCGTACTTCTCCCACCACCCGACCCACCGCCGCTTGATCCAGTAGTTCACCACGAACCCGACGACCAGCGCCGGCCAGCCGTAGCTCATGTTGTAGGGGGCCAGGTTGGAGATGCCCGAGAGGACGAGCGGGGTGTAGATGTAGCGGGTGGCCGCGGCAGCCTTGCTGTGGCTGGGGGTGACGCGCGTGAGGAGGTAGAAGGGGACCGGGAGGAGGGCGCCGAGCAGGAACCCGTACAGCAGGGGGTTGTAGATCTGGCCGCTCCCGAACAGGCGGCGTGGGCCGATGGCGCCCCAGATCACGGAGGAGGTGTAGAAGTCGCGGGCGCCGGCGCAGGTGAACTTGCTGGGCTGGTCGAGCGAGCACACGTCCGCGATGTTGGCCAGCGCCCACGCGTTCACCCCCACGGACACAAACGCCCCGACGATCGTGGCCACCACCTGCGCCGCGAAGAGCACCCGCGGCGCGATCTTCATGTAATGTCCGAGCTTCAGGTCGGCCGCGAACTGGATCGACTGCGCGCAGGCGATGTATCCGAACGCCTTGAACATCAGGTTGGCCACGGGTTTCCCCGGGATGGCGTAGCCCGCCACGAACTCGGCGATCACGTTGTTCGTCACCTCCGTGTTGGTGATCGCGTAGATCATCCCGTACGGGATCTGCACGAACAGGCACAGCCCGATGGCGAACACCAGGCCCCAGATCGGCATCCCCGTGTCGTAGTGGGCCACCGCGATGCAGCCGAACACGAAGGAGATGGCGAGGATGGTCAGGTACCACCACTCGGGTACCTCCTTGTACCGCTGCATTAGGCGGTTGTGCACGTCCTCGTGCTCGTCGCGTGCGCTGGTCCACTTCCACAGCGCTCGGACCCCCTTGGTGATCTCTTGTCGGTTGTAGAGCGCGATGTGCACGATGGCGGCCAGGTACCCTGCGAACGACGCCATGAACATGATGCTGTATCCCGCGGAAAGGTAGGGCGGGCTGTATTTGCTGTAGGCCTCGACATCGAACTCAGCCTGGCTGTTGAGGACTTTGCTCACGTCGTACGTGCTGCCCGTGTTGTCGAAGACGTCGTTGCTGTTGATGGGGAAGTAGGCTGTGTTCCAGACGTTGGTGAAGTAGATCGGCACGATGATGAAGAAAGATCCAATGGCCATCCCGACCACGTTGTTCAGGAGCGAGTAGAAGGGATAGATGATCGGGTCGTAGAGTGCGTACACGATGTTCCAGTCGAAGGTGGGGAATGGGTTGAGCGCCATGCCGTTGATGGTACCGGTGATGATGGCCAGTTTGACGTTCTCGGGAGAGATCCAGTTGATCCAGTTGAAGTAGGATAGAGCCTGGAAGATGTACGCGGGGAACCAATAGTAGATGAACATGGCGACGAAGCAGTACATGAAGAAGCGGTAGCGGCTGATCTTCCACCCATTCACCTCCTTGTCACGGCCCTCGTCGCCGTGCAAGGCCTTGTTCAATGCGATCGTGGACAGGCACTTGGGGAAGATCATGGAAGGCGGATACACCAGGAATCTTCGGGTCAGACCGGCACATCCATACCCAATCAGCTGGGTCGACAGGGCCGAGAGGATCTGGAATCCAGCCTTGTCGTAGAGGGACGTCATATTGTAGAAGGACTTGGCCTTGAGGACTTGGAAGATGTAGGTGATATAAGCGGTCCCGTTCGTGCCTCCAAATGACACGTTGGACATGACAGTGATCAGCATGTGCTCTTTCTGATTGAAGGGGCCGGGGTTGAGGGTAAAGTGCCAGCCGAGAAGATTCCACTTTCGCGTGGGTAAGACTTGCGCCATAAACACGCCGCATGGGTATGAGAGCAGCTGGGCCACTAATGAGTAGATATTGATGGTGGGGTAGCGGAGGGTAAAGAATTGATTGACCGCGGTGAAGATGATCGTCGACAGCAGCCCGAGAAACCAGGCCCGGAAGGTGTTGGCCGAGACTTCAGGGTCGTCCGTCGGATCCACCACTGCGCGGACTTCCGCGTACGGTGAGTCGTTCGCAATCAAGTCTCGGTGCTTGGCGATCTCAGCCACGAGAATCTCTAGTTGAGAGAGATCAACATGGTGGGCCTCGGCATCGAGAATCTCCCGTGCCTGGTTGAGGATATGGGCTGGAAAATTGACATCGAGCTCGTTTTCAACCACCAGGTGCTTCAACTGCAGCAAAAGGCTGTCGAGATCGTTTTCATTGATGCTAGTCTCGGTCGCTCCAAGCTTCTCTTGGTCCACCTGAAGCCCTTGGAGGAAGACACCTTCTTTGTGGTGATCAGTCATCTTGACGGACGGTAGACTTCGAGGGTGTCCTAAAACTTGGAGCGAAGTCCTCTCAGACCAAGAAATTTGATGGGGAAATGTGGCATTCCGTCTCTTTAATGGTCGATCAGCTTCTTTCCAGCTGGTGGGTGGCCATGTAGCACACAATCGTAGTGCCTGATAACGCATATGCATTAGTATGAGAGCGTTAACTCCCATCAGGCTCTCTTGGAATAATGTGACCGGAGCGCTTCTGTGATAGGGCGGCTGTTATCGATTGACCAGCTTTGCCCCATCAACGCGCAGGCATCCAATGAGCATATCCTGCACGCAAGACGAAAACCGGCACTTGCATGCGTAATGCGGTCTAGGTGGTCGGCTGAGCATGGAATATGCATTGCAGGCGGAATGAGAGGGGCGACTGCATGATGATTGGGCGTTAGCTGGATGAGAGTAGAAGCAGAGGTGGGTCGATAAGAGACGAGTCCCCGCAATCAATCCACCAATGCGAAGCGTTCGTCTTCAAGTCCATCGAAGAAGTGTATGAGTCTATCCGGTCTTCTGGAAGAGCTCAATTGAACAATCCAAATCCTCGCGAGGTTGTTGAGTGAAATGGATGGTGATGGTGCAGTTGGTGGCGCTCGGCGTTCCGAGGGGCTCGCCGGCATCGAGTAGGAGAGTGTGTACATGGTGAAGTGAGGAGTCGTCCAAGGTGGCAGTCCCCAAATCAATTGAGAATTGGCATCAGTCAAGCTTTGTGGGGCATCGAGCTTATAGACATTCTGGAGCGTAGATGGTGGGAGTCGCAAAAGTCGGGACGGGAAGATAGAAGGGGAAACGCGGGTGCCTGAGCGATGGCAAATGAGCGCCTCAGCCTTCAGGCGCCACTTCCCCTCCACCACCGGGCGTCCGAAACCATCTCCGATTGGTCTTTGGTCTTTCCAATCTGCCACGCACTCTTCGATCCATGATCTTGAACAATTGTGACATTTCTGCTTCTACTATCTCCAGGCTGTCTTCTTTCCTTGAGTCAGCCTTCCCAGTCCTGCTGAGGACATGTACTCGAAAGATGCAGCAGCACTGAAGCCATGAATCTCGAATTCCTTGTCAGTTATGCATACGACGAGAATGATCGAGAAGGCATACAATCCCACCCCAGGATGGCGTGATCTACCAGACGAACAACCTAATATTCTAGTCCTCCGGGTGTGCCACGAATCAATGTAGGATCAAACTTCTCTGAACCGAGATACCCCACCCGCAAGTTATTGACCAAGGAGCAACCGTGGTGGACTAATTCTTGGGGACAATCGACCTCAAGGTTTTTGTCGTGATTCTCTCCAGCGAATCGAGTAACACAGAGGAACTGATTTCCCCCTTCAGACCACCCCATTGCTTCTCGTCTACTGTGACACGATTGAACTCCGCTAGACCATGCTCGAGATATGGACCGGACCAGTCCGCCAACCTATCCTGAAAATCTGGTGCCCCAGCCAACTGAGTTGATCAATCATCCTCCGTACCAAAGCACCTCGGGTGTCTTGACTTTGAAAGGCTGGCTGCACATATACCTTCTTCAGAACCGAAATACCCACCCGTATCAGCCACGAATCGAGACTCCATTGCGCGAGATACGAATCTCAATACTTCCCGAGCGTTCAGAATCCTGACTCGCTTCAGGATTTGAGCGCTACTAGTCGCATCTGGTTGGGCTAGTGTCATTCCATCTGGCCCTAGCCTCGTTGACATATGTGGTCGCCCTTCAGGCCTCGGTCTTGCATTCGTTGCTGCCAGCCAGCCATATGGGACCGGAGTTCCGGGTTACGTATTATTAACGATATTCAGTAACAAAGGAGTACCTTGATTTGCTCCGTACTGTAATCCTGTGAAAAAGAAATTGTCGCCGATGCTTTCCTCTATCCCCAAGTGGGAACTGGTGTGGCCAAATGGGGCTATTAGACGACCCCGTCCTGCTGATTCGCATCGCGGAAGCCTCCTCAAAAGCAACATTTTGGTACCTCTCCTGTTGGAAGCAGTGCAGTCTCGATGGTAGATATTCTGGACTTCAGGAGCATGCTGTGGGTTGAGTCTTTCAAATAATGGGCGGAATCTCAGTGCGCATCTGCACATTCGAAGGTCGGCAATATCTCAGCATTGGGTATATACAAGCTGCGAGTAAAGGGGATGTCTCATCTCTTGCTTGGTCGCCTTGTATAAGAGTGGCTTACCCAATAGTCTCTTTCCAGCATCCCTTTCCAAAATCAGGACTCGCTGCAGTGCATTCGAGTCGCTACCTAAATCATCGAATAAGTTGCATCAAGAAACACGCCGACTTTCACCCCTGTGTTATTGCGTGGATGTCATCAGCCAAGTACTAACCGTCGGAGACAGAGAAATCAAATCCTGGGGCGTATCAAATGTTTGGTGCTATATAATATATGTCGATCGCATCGTCGCAGCATAAAGCAAGTCAAAGAGAAAAGTATCAGTGAACGAAAGCACCGGAGTAGGGCAGTCAGAGTTGATAAGCTTGACGAAAACGTATGTGAGCACCTGGAAACCATGGATCGAGCTCAGCCTTGCGTCTTGGCAGGCCGATCAGGCTTCCTTCCACCCCGCGATCCGGACTCCGAATTCTCGGCTCCGAGCCCGCTGTGGTGTTTTATCTCCGTGGCGCATCTAAGCTTAATCCCAGAAACGCAAAACAACCACACAAGGTCATCATCAATGCTACGTCATCCGTGTTAAGCCCGAATAATCCGTCCGGAGACAGGACAAAGAAGGGGTAAACTCCACGAGATGGCCGAATCACCGACGGCTGCCTGGGGGCAAAGAACAACAAGCTCCAGGACATAAAAGACTCGCACAACTTAACAAGCCACCTACAATCCCAACCTCAAGTCTACACTATCATCCTTAAGCATTCACTTACGCACACCTCAACATCCACCTTCTACATCAACACAAACCCTACACCGCAGTCCACAATGTCCAAGCCCCACGCCCCAAGCCCTCTAGCCTACGCTCTCGTAAGTCCCAACCCACCACCCACCCCAGCACCACAACCACTAACCTCAAACCTCCATTCCGGCGGGAAAAAAGGACGGCCGCGAAATCGACCTCCTCCACTACATCTACTCGCACCCGGACCTCCCCAGCCTGCGCAACAACCCTCCCGCCATCCTCGCCGCCATCGACACCTACAGCCACACGCACAACCCGCTCATGAACATCGGCGCCACCAAGGGCGCCTACATCCGCGACCTGATCGTCGCCCACAGACCCCAGGTCATGATCGAGCTCGGCGGGTACGTGGGGTACTCCGCCATCCTGTTCGGGGCGGCCCTCCGCGCCGCCGGCGGCACCCGGTACCTCAGTCTGGAGCAGAACCCGGAGATGGCGGCGGTCGCGAACCAGCTGGTCGATCTGGCGGGCCTGAAGGATGTGGTGCGCGTGGTCGTGGGGTCGGCGGCGGCCAGCCTCCGGGAGTTGGTGGCGGATGGGGAGGTGCGGGCGGTGGAGCTGGTGTTTCTGGATCATTGGCAGGAGCTCTATTTGCCGGATCTGTGGCTGATGGAGGAGTTGGGGGTGCTGGTGCCGCAGACGTCGGTCGTGATCGCGGATAATGTGGTCATGCCGGGGGCGCCGCAGTATTTGGAGTGGGTTCGGGCTGGGTGTGCGGAGAAGAGGGGTCTGCTGGAGTCCAGGAAGCGGGAGAAGGGGTGGGAGGCGAGGGGGCTGAGGCCGAGGCCTGGCTTGGTGTATCAGACTGTCGTGCGGGAGTTTGAGACGCAGTTTGGACGGGTACGTGTTTCTGCTCGTTGGGCTGGGTTTTAGGGGAGCATTGAATGTCATGCTGACTGGATTTAGGATGGTGTTGCGGTCACGTCGGTTCTGGGTGCGGAGGATGTTTGAGCGACTTGCCTTGGCTACAAGTGATTGGAGACGGAGTATCAACATGGAGAGTGTGAGTACAGGGCATTGGAGTAGACTTGGGTCTGGATGATTGTTGCGCAGAAGCATGGGGAGTTCTACTATCTTTTCTCACAATGTCGATTCCCTTAGCTGAGGGGGGGGCTTGTATGTCTGCAACGGGCTAGAGATATGACAGTGCCGTTGAGAAGCGGTCTTGTGATCAAAATTCAGACCTCACTTTATCAATCGGCCGGATGGTGTAGTTGGTTATCACGTATCGTTAACACCGATAAGGTCCTGGGATCGAGCCCCAGTCTGGTCATTATTTTTTGCTTTTTGTCGCTCCAAGACCTCAGCCTCTCCTTTGACACGGCCATGGTAATGGCTTTACTAATTTCTATCTGCGGTGCGAAGGGGGCTTGTTATCTTGGTGATCATCGGTACAATTCATGGTCTGTAATCGAGGAGAGATTCGGTGCTGGACAAACTGTCTCGGCCGGTCAAGTTAGGGCTCGGTCGGCGGGCATCTGCCGCGGTGAAGACCCTCAATGTTCCAGTCTGGGTCTGAGAGCACTTCTGCGAGGAATCGACTCGTGAGACTTACATCGGGTCAATTTGACTTGCTGAAAAAAATCGAGGTTTCTCGGAGGCCGCATGGGCCCCTGGTCTCGGAGGGAGGGGAGACATTAGGGCTGGAGTCAACGAGTGACCCGCTGCCGCTGTCCTGTCTGCGTAGCCCAGTCCAGTTGAGATGTACCTGAGTTTCGATATCGAATAAGAAGTACATTGAATTATTCGTTCCATTAGAAATTATAGAGAATAATTGTATAAGCTGTTTTCTTGGCTCGGCATCTCAGGGCGTGTCGTTTACATTTCGTATGCACTTTCATCGACTGGGCGCGTTAGTCGATACCAGATTGCGACAAGGCACAATGTCCGAGGTGGTACGCCGCGACTGGACTAATATTCATGAGAGTATAAGATGCTGGCCATGGTGCTGAAATCTCTGGTTGCGTCAGAGTTGTAGGCAACATATCTCCATCAACCGCCACCGCCGGAGCCAGGGGTATCCTGCAACTCATGAACGGGCGCAAAAGGTTCCAGAA